AAAGAAGCCTTCGGAGCCATAGATCCAGCAGGAACCGCCATGTCCAAAGTCCGCACTGTTGAAATGAAAGGGGATCTCCAAACTTATATCTCCAACTATCAACTTCTCGCCCATAAAGCAGGGATAAAGGAGAACGTCACTAAAGTGGAATTTTTCCGTGGAGGCCTAGACAAAGGCCTCCATAATAACCTCTACCACACTGGAGAAAGTCTTGATGACTTCGAAACCATTGTTGCCACCTGCATCAACCTAGACAACATGTTTCAAAGGTTGAAGGCGATCCAGAAGTGGGAGAACCTGCAGTCCTTCCAGAAGAAGAAGAAATTCGGAAATTCCCACTACACCCCTCGCAGAGACGATGCCATGGAAGTAGACCAGCTTGAAATAGCCTGGCTCTCCGAACCAGAAGTAAGGAGGCATCTGAAGGAAGGACAGTGCTTCAACTGCCACCAAGTCAGACATTGCGCCAACAATATTGCATTTCATCCATGCAAAGAAAAGAAACAGAAAGCCCCTATCAGGAGGAAGACTGAGAAAGAGGAAGAAGAAAGCAGGGATCAGATGCCGCGGGAGGCCTTATCTCCCGATACTGTGTTCTTACTGTCAAAACTGATAAAAGAACCATGATAGGGAAGTTTAACATGGCCAGGCTTGCTAAACGTGACAAAATCTTGTTAGGATACCCATGGCTAAAAGCCCTCAACCCTGATATTAGCTGGTCAGAAGGGACACTATCACTCCCAGAAACCGAATGATCCCAAAGAATTGAACAAAGGGTTGACCACGCCAGAAAACGCAACAAACTCCCTCTTCTATTCCCATTCAACGAACCACCCAATCACTACTACCAAAAGACCCTCCACGTGGAAAGACTCTAGACTAAAGAAAGCGACACAGGTGAAGGTGGTTACTGTTGAAACCCCCTTACCCTCCGTACACTGGGGGAAGGGACCAATTTGCCCACGGATCAAAAATTGAACCCAGTGTGATCTCAGACAGACTCGGATCACCTTGAATTCTAACAGAAAATGATAACAACAATTTAATTTTTGTGTGCATTTTTCTTAGTTTATATCAGCTTGAGCTATATTGTCACATATGAATTTTGTTCAATATATACACACATTTTCACCACACATCACATTTACTCTGTGATATCTTTTTGTTCTGATTTTTCCCTGGGGTCACATGATGACCACATTTTCAATAAGTTATAAACTTACAGTTTGAATAAATTCAAACTGTAATTATTTTATGTCTATTCTTTTGTCATTAGAAGCAAGCTGAGATATTTTTGTCTGTAAATGCAAGCAAGATAGTACTTTAATTTTGATCGCATTCTAAACAACTATTAATTTATATCACCCTATGTTCTTCCTATGTCTATACTGTTGTTTCCCTTATTTATAATAACAAACACAGTATCAGTCAGGAGAAGAAAAATTAACAAAATGTGAGGATAATACATACTGTGTACTGTAAACAAAATTGGTGATAAGATAAAATCAGACTTATCTTTGTTGGTGAATGAAATTTTGACCAAAGTTGACATCGACAGTCGACAGTTAACAGTCAACAAATAAATCAACTGTTGACTGTTGACTGTCGACTGTCGATGTCGACTTTGGTCAAAATTTGATTCACCAACAAAGATAAGTCTGATTTTGTCTTATTATCAATTTTGTTTACAGTGCAAAGTATACACCATGACTACATAGGACATGCCAAAGTTTTGGCAAAATCAGCTGCAATGTCAAACTTGCAGCAATCCAACCTGTTCCGGCCCAAGCCAGGTCTAAATAAGCTGAGCCAAGCCCAGGCCCAGGTCACTGCCCTTGGGCTGCAAAGCTGAAGCCAGTGGCTCAAGCTGCAACTTGCAATTCATTTGCACTTGCTGCCTGCATGGAGATGATTGAGATATGACTCGGAGCTGTCCAGGCCGTCAGTACTAAAGTATTTGCACAGTGGTGGTAATTGAAGCTGATGGAAATGAAAATTGGAGGAATGACGAGACAAGTAAGTTTTGATCTGGAAGAATAATAGATTGCACGGAGGCAGGAACAAGGAGAACATTAGTATCTGAGGCTTTTGTGTCGGCCATTTTGAGTGCTCAACTGGTGTGAGAAAGAGGGAAAACAAGTTGAAATTTTCATTGCAAGAGACTCAAATCCCATGTCAGACAATGGCTTGCTTCTCTGAAAGAGTTGCATTGCAAACTTCTAAGTTAATGATCAATGATCTGTGAGGAACGGCAGAAGATTAGAATGCGACCCACCAAGACCATGGGGGTCAACAGACTTATTAGCACCATGTCACCACCCCATGGCTGTGCGCCTGTTAATAACACACCTTTTTTAGCAGTGTTATTAACAACCGACTTTTCGTCCGGCATGTTTGTGCCTGGTGATTGTCTTTTATTCATCCACATCTGACTCCTGAGACTCATTTGCATTCATTTTCACTTGTTCAATATAGTAGTTGCATTGATTTCACTTACATACTATGTATGTACATTGCTGACAACTGTCTACATACTATCTATCTGTGAAGTTGTGTACATTTACTTTTTGGCACTTCATTCATTTTCACATGCTTGAGCACACCTATGCTTGTCCCGAGTCTAGGGATGGATACTGCATAGGTGATTTCCCAAGCATGTACTGGTGGGTGGCTTCATGACGTGCAGTTGCCTTTTTGAGCAGAGTCACCCGTCACCTTGGTGGCGCACCAAAATCCTCATACATACATGCTGCATACTCATACATACCTCATGTGAGTCTTGCAGTGATTTGTAAGCACTACAAGGGCATGCACCATGCACTTTTGTTGATGAGGTTGCTGGCTACTTGAAACCAGGATTCAACCACATGACTCATCAGGGAAAACCTCCCACATGAACTTAGGATGAAGTAGAAAATTTTTGATAAGGCAGATAAACTACTATGTCTTAGAGCTAGATAAACATAAACCTGCTAGTGCTTAATAATTTCAGAATCATTATGCAATATTATAAAGCACTATCTAAGGTCCATGAAACTATACCTATCTACAATATTTAAGCATGAGATACCACCGGCTCGGGCACAATTGTGTCCACCACGTCATGCTGTGTCGCTGCATGGTGATAGTTTCGTCTCCTTTCTGTTTCCTATTTGCTCTTCTTCCATTCACTACTATGGCAATGTCTGCTTCATTTCATGGGGTCCAAGTCATTGGTCTTGATTGACAGAAAGAACTTTTTCTTTTTGGCAATACAACAGATTCATTACTACTCCAGAACTTGGAGACATTCACGTCAATGGCAACACCATCAATGTGTTCACATTCAGTGCGAACACTGCCTCAGCTAAAGACGGCATCTATCTATTGGATGCACGTACAACCATTGGTCTGAAAATGGGATGTTCGGTTCATAGCTATATAATAACTTGTTCAAAATTCCAAAGTGACCTGACACTCCTCAGCAAGCATATCCACATCTAAGATTCATTCATCAATATTAGTGTACTGTAAATGTCCTTCAAGTGTGCACTACCCGCAGACTCAGCATATCTCGTGGATCCATCATTATGGACATGCCCAATGTGAAATTACACTGTCCAACAGTCAGAAAAGAGTCTTGTCATCTGTGTATGACCACCACGGGCTTTTAAACCTGCCCATACTGTAGCATTTCACTCGATTCGGCACCACCTGTGACGTGTGACACACTACACCATTTCGTCGTCGCAGCATTTGAGGGTGTGACACATGACAGTACAGAAATTTTCGGCAAAAGTTAATTTCGACCATGTTAATTTTGATGGAATTTAAGGGTGGCGAAGAGGTTGCGCTGGCAGTCAAAGAAGAACTTGGGCGTGGAAGGAGGAGGCAAAAGGCAAACACATTGTACTCATGCTCATTTTGGCAACATCACGACAGCGAGTAGTACTAGTAGAATTTTTCGCCGTCTGTGACACTTCATAGGAATTTCGTCAATCCTTGATGTGACCCGTGACAAGCGTCAAATTTCGACCCGGCAGAATGGTCTGTGACACATGACAGATGAATCGAGTGAAATACTACAGTATTCCTCATCTATATAACAATTAACAAAAATTGTATTGCATTCTTCAAGGATGGTGTTTGTACACTGCAAGCAATGATTGGAAATGCCACGTCGAATTCGAAGAGCACACAGTATATCTCACCATGGCAGGGGTTCTCAAGGGGTTGCCGACCGGAACATCACTAATCCTGTACAGTATAGGACTGGCATTTGAGCCAGCACCATCATTTGAGCCAAACATCTACCACACACTCAACATTTGTTTATCTACCCATCAAATAGTGCAGACATATCTGAAATACATGAATCTTGTATACTGTCGAGTAGAAATGAAAAAAAAAAATGCATGCATGCTACAGGTCAAAAACATGCCCTCTTTCAGCACCAATCAATGCAACGAGAAGGAATGATTCGACTATCAATGTCATAAATCCTGCCAAATGAAAGATTTATATCTATAGTACAGTTTTGGTACAACGAAATATGTCCAATACACAACATTAATGTGCTGCCACTGGGATTCCAGACAAGGGTCTCAAAATCTGTTATCAAAGTGTTTATCAAGACAAACTAACCCAATTTGGACTTTCAATTCCGGACTCAGATAATCACTTGACAGTACTCTCACACGCTATAGATCCATATTAGGGCTGGCTCAACTGATGAAAAAGACAGATATCAAGACATTCTACTGATTCTTGCACCATGCACACATCACTCGTTCGATTTCTCTGTAGCGTTGCATTAGCATGGTCATCGTATATCTAAACATGACTGCCAAATCAGAATTTTAATTTACGTGCGAATGCTCACTTGAGACGGCCGAGAAAATTCACTGGCTCAAATGCCGGTCCTATACTGTAGGTTATAACAAACACATCTCGAAGCACACTGTATTGACCCCTGTCATGCTGCTACATTTCAGTCTGATGTATTGAGCTTTTATCAATGCTCAGCGACGGCGTTCTCTTGACTCCATTGAGATAAGTGATCGGATCTGGACCCAGCTTGGGTCACCATCTTTGCGAATTCGTAAGCGCCTGTTAGGCACAGTCGGGTGATTGCCCCCTGCTGTGATGGAAACCCAACCTTCAACAGGATGCATGACCCAGATATATGTTATTCTAGAGCGAATGTTCGTGTAGACGTAGAGGTCACCAACCGCACCAGCAACATCCTCATTCGGACAGAGAAGTTGATGCGCACTGGATGAGCGGAACCACCTTGTTTTTCCCGTACCAGTACCCTTAAGAAAGGGCCGCTCATGGAATGACGGGTGCTGACCGTCATCAGACACAGGTGGAAGGCCAGTTTCGTCGGCAAGATCTGTGTGACTGTGAGCGCTGTGTTCTTGACATTACTGTCAGCAACGAACATTGACTAAGCGGGGCACGTCTCGGCTGAGATAGCGATGTATTTGGTTGAGAGAGTATACCTGAAGAAGATGGAAATCTGAAATTCTAACTATAATCACATACGCACCTGAAGGATTCGACAAACCCGTTCTACCAACATCAGATGGAGCCCGTGCCCCCGTGGTGTTTGCGTCAAAATTCGTCAGTCGTGAATGTGTTCTCCGGGTCAAAGGCACAGATAAGGCCCGCCGTGATGCTTGACACGGAATGGTAGCCTTTGTCGTGCTGCACATACCGTCCAGATATATTGTATCAGCATCATCAATCAAACAAAAAGATGATCAACTTGCTTGACTGCATATACGACCTTTCGACTCTCCCGAACAACCTCGCGCTGAGGAGATAACTTCCTGCGATTAAAGGCCCGGTTCTATATTTTCAGTCAAGTTAGGACTGAGACTAATTGAAAATGGCACTTACTCTAAGACCTTTCAATAATGTTTCCCTGTCGTCCCCACCCACATACAATACCTTCCCTTTCCCTTCCTGTCCATGAGCCACAGGTTCAGATGTCGCTCTACTGGCCATTGTTGCAACTGAGGCAGGATCGGTGCTCTCCTAGGACGTAGACTGGTGGAATCTGGAATTAGACAACTGTAACAACGTTCTAACAACCGCAGGTTATGTACCTCTCCGTATGTCGTCAAAGGGGGCTGAGAGAAAATGTGAAGGACAAAGGTCATGAAACGACTGATAATTGGGCCCTGAAACGATGACAAAAAAGGTAATTGATAAGAACCGACTCGGGGACTCGGAGTGGCGACTTTCAAATGTGAAATAGTGAAAACGTACAGTAGTGGTGATTCGATGTCACCGAAGTAGCGAAAACGTGTAGTAGTGGCGATTCAATGTCACCGTATGTCCGCAAAGTTTGCAGGGTTCATCTTTTCGGGCCGCAGGAGCTTTTTGCTATCCCAAAGTTTCGGGACAAGATATCCGGCACAAAGGCGAAGACAGACAATGAAGAAATTCGTGACAGGCGCAAAATGGAGGGATACAGATTGAGAAAGGGGAAGGTTTTGCCGATAGGTGCCTTGCCTGTGGGGCTGTCATAAATCAAGGAGTATATTTGGTTCAGGACTTTGTGGATGAGGGAAGTGGTGCTGAGTTGGAAATGTAGGGAAAGCATGTGGAATTGGCAGCGGCAGGCTGGTCGAGGTAGCCGTTGGTGTATGACGTGAATAGGTTCGCGTACTGGCCGAAAGTGTATTCACCGGGGGGATAACGGAGACAAAATCACGCTGAGCACACACCATGACTTAAAGAGAATGTCAGCGTCGTGTACAAACTTCAGGCATAAGACGCACCTTGACTAATATCGGGAGAGAATCATACACGGTACTGCTGCAGGAACAAGATAATAGCAAGGACGTCAAACTTCCTACATGCAAAACACTGTGTACTGCATGGTGAAGACAATGCCACGTCCCGCATGATCGCTGGGGAGCCCGACAATCTAGTACCAACAGAAAAAGAGATGCTATGAGCGCATAGCGTTTCACGGAACTTCGGCCATAAACGTACGGTCAAGTGACTAGGATAGACTGGGAGGGCACTTTCGAGATAAGCATGCTGGAGGGTCCAGTACCACGACGGGTGATACGAGTGTTGGATGTCCGGGGACTCTGCAGAACGAGCGGAACACAAGTGGTGCAGTGAGGGTAATATAGACCGAGCGACGACTGTGTCCATCCAAGCAGGATACCTACAACCCTAGTAGCGTTCATATCGAAGTGTAGACCAAGTGTAGACATTGATGAAATATGACATACCGTCGCATACGCGGACCTTCTTCAGTTACCCCTCCACAAACCTTCTACCAGACACTGTTCGTTGATTGCTATGGTCTCACCGTTTCGCAAGAGACGACGCACAATGAGAGACGCACAAGCAGAGCCAGTGCTCGATGAAGTAATACTGCCAGTGCTAGTAAGTCACTGTCACACATCGGGGGTTTGAACGTTTTACCTCTTGCAAAATATCAGATCTGGACCAGGAGTGTTCCAAGGCACTCTAGAATACCTTTCGAATGGAATTTCACTGGCGGCAAAAGGTGGTAATTAATGTTAGTTTCCCCACTGTGTGATCAATGGGTCACCTGGTGCGTGGGAATGCTTATTGGGCCGACATCACACAATCACGGCAGCAAATGGTAGTTACCGACGGAAATTCTGTTTTGTCTAGTAGTGAATGTCAGTCACTTGCAATCGCACCAAATCGAACATATGCACTGAGACTGGAACAGATTTTCGGAGACGTCACGCCCCCCGCGGATAAGGAAGAGGAAAAATGAACACACGCAAACTCTAAACCCTATCGCCTTTAGATGGCTTCACCTGTCCTCGTTGTTGCCGACCATGAGGCGCCGAGTCGATTCTACACCAAAATATAATCGCCATTTTATGTAAGTAAGATTAGGTCACTCGCCCTTGGTTCAATACATGCACCTGATACACGGTTTTGCTCAAATCAGACTTCTTGAGTAACGAACATAGCCTTTGTTGAAGTACAGCATTGAAGGTTCGAATGCGCTAGCCCCCATTAGCTGTACTATATGATACAGTAGGTCGTCTTGTAGATATCTGGTGACTTGTTGCATCTGAGAGGCATTTCAGATAATCATGAGACTCTGCAGTCTGTCTTGTGTACCTTAATCTATGTCGTGGGTTCGAACTATACAGGTACCCACCAGTGCATGAAATGCTGCTTGGAGCATAAGAGAATTGTAGCGTCCTCCGAGCCTTATATTACATTACTGTCATGGTGATCATACAGTGAGTGTTTTTTAGAAATCGGACAGTAATTATGAATTCCTTCAGTGAAGGCAGCATATTCTAGACGAGAAATGTGATGGATTGTGAACAATGGTAAAAGAAACTAAGCATAATTTATTAGGAATTGACGATTACCAGCCCCTGCACCGTTAGTACAATGAGGATAAACAATAGCCTGACTTGGGGCTTGAAACCTTGCAAGTCGATATCAATTTGAAGCCTGAAATCTGGTTGAATCTGATAAGGGTGCTCGTGGCTATACAACAACAACAAAGAAAATCAAAGGATTGGGAGGATGTAAATGACGCGAAATATGTGAAATAAAAGCGATAGGAGCAAGGTCTAACGCAGTTCAAATCTCATCATTCTGCTACCCATCTAATTATCGAAGAAGATCCCCCACCGTGCAACTGCATCTGCAAGTACCCCCCGATTGATACCTCTTACATCAGGATTAAGTAGGTCAGTCATCTTTGCAGCTACATCGCAGAGCAACGGAATTTCGGCGGGAGGGTCATTTATGAACGCCCAACAAGTCGGACAGTGATAGTAACGACCAGGAAGAATGGGGTCTTGGCCATCACACAATGTTTCAATTTCGGCGGATGTAAACGGTGTGGCATGGTTCCTGAAATTATCCGGAAGAATCGCTTCCCGACAGTAGGATAAATGCGCCCTTATACATTGATGGAAGGAACTGACCAGGCACTCATAACAAAATGTATGGCGGCAACTCAGCCTGTTGAGTGGGCTGCTCAATGGCATCCGAGAATCAGACTCGATGGAGACTTACGTGAAAGGCTGTTCAATCCTCATTTTGCAGATTGGGCACCCCAATGAGGCTTTCATAGCTTGCAACAACTGCGAAAGGATGAAAATCAGTTTCGGATGACTGATCAAAGACTAGATACATACGCCTTGGTGAGCAGCAGTCACACTGTCTCGCTCCGCAAAAGCCTTTTTTTGCTCACGCTTAACCGTAGCAAGCTCCTGGTGAGTCACGATGAGAAAATACAAGACAGTCATTAATGGTGTGTGCTTGCCCTTCTCAGCTGTTTTATGTCGACGCCTAAGGCTCCAACTTGGCACGCCGTCTGCAAGGAGACAAAGTCAATGGCGAGTTTCGCAATTTTACAACGTGCAAACCGTACCTCGTGAATGGATGATAGCTCGGAGCCAAGTAATGATGGACTCCACTTCGAGGAACGAAGATTATAAAATTTATGGAGGTGGCTCTGGCGGTTCATTTCATTGCGAGAAGGAGGCATTGGATGAATGCACTGAATGACGCAGGAATTTGAAGATCACAAAGGGCTGAGGAATCGGAACCTTGATGGACAAAGAGTGCGTAAATAATACAAATTAAACCTATCAAGTCCCAGCCTCTTACTACCAAGTCACATCGTGGCTGCCATGAGGCAGAATCACGGATGTTGATTTCATGCTCTGATTTCTGATTCCTATCAAGAGTAGATCGGTGAGACAACATGATGCGAATATTATTTCATCAGTGAGATCAATCCCAGCCGAGCGGCAGGTCCGATGAAGATAAACTAGGGTGATTAAAAATCAGAGTCTGCAATACAATCAAATCTACAGAAATGCAATGTTACCACATTCCCCGTGCATCGACGATATCCAGTCACATCTAATACAACGGCTAGAAGGCGGATCAATATTCAATGACGGCAAGCATTGTCACAAAGGGCGATAAGTCGTTAGCGAAGAAACTGGAAAAAAATACCCACGTGGAATCGCGAGTTAAGGCAGCATAACGCCGTGTAGGGTGTGTCACGAGGAAATGCACATGCGTACTATTGGTGCCAAGGGTAGACGCGCTCCTTAGAGGATCCGAAGCACGACTACTTCGCGCAACGAGGAGGCTAGGGAGGGAACACGAGGGCATTGGGGTTGTGAGAGATTTGTTGATGTGTCCGTAGCGATTCCTTCAGTGATTCTGACCCGGCGATCGCCATCACTGTTTCGCCTTGATGACGTCGCAGACAATTCTGTATAAATATTACTATTAAAAAAATGTACGAATCAAGATAAACTCACCCCGCAGCGCCAGTGACAACGAGGGAATCGGATTTCACAAGAAGTTAAGATGTAGAACAATGCAACACGTTGATGGCGATTCACAGTATGCAATATATCCAGAGATTCCCGAATAGACCAAGAGTGGTAGTAATTGGCACGTTTCTGGCACCCTGTATCAGGTCAGCAGCGCGAATGAACAAAGATTGCGTTCTCAGAGATAGATCATACGTTGAGCGTATCATCCGAGTCGCCACCCACCAATCGTATTCAACACCAGGCCAGGTCTTCCACCTTTAATCCAGAGTTACCATTATTGTCGTTGATTGCAAGGATGCGATCAATGGGATGATAAATCACTACGTCTCCCTCACGCATAGAGTGATGCGGAGGCATGTGCAGGGGTTCCTCTGTCAAGACAAATGTCACATGCATCAGAACAACAAACTCTGCAGGAGAAATTTTTGACACACAAACTTGAATATGGGTTCGAAGGGACATGGTGACAGGAAGATGGGCGTTCCCTCTGTATTGCCAGGACAGAATTAAGCTGGCATTCCTCGCCGGCGACCATGTTCATGGACATACATTTCTACATAATCATGAGGGCGCCAGGAGTGGACTCGATAGTCTGTTATGCATTTATGATTGGTAACAGAACGAGGGGATACAATATTTGTGCAGGAAAGACATGTACAACGGTAAGGATTCGGAATCAATTAACCTACTACTACGTACACGTTCAAGTTATGTAATCATAGTAGTGCGTGTCCAAGGAAATCCAACCAACAAAGAAATAGTCATACATCTCTTACTACTCAAAGAACACACCCCACTGCGCAGCCGGATCTGCAGGTACTCTTCGCTCGGCACGCTCTATGTCAGTACCATGCGCTCCAGTAATAATGTCGACCACTTCACACGGAGCAAAGGAATTTCGACTGGAGGTTTCCCGACATAAGCTGGACAGGTGGGACAGATATAAAAGCGACCAGGGATGATAGCGCCTGGGCCGTCGCACAGCTCCTTGACCTCAGCGGTGGTGAACGGTGCTAGATGGTCTTGAAAACGCTTGGGAAGTCTTTCGTTGGCGCAGTCTGATAAACGCGCCCTGATGCGATTATGAAACGATTTGACTAGGCAGTGATAACAGAATGTATGGTTACATTCCAGGCTGTCAGATGAAAGTCACGCATCAGTAGCATTCAAAAATCAGGCTCGAAGGTGACTTACGTGAAAGGCCGTTCGATAACCACCTGGCAAATCGAACATTGTAACACGACGTCTGTAGTTCGCAAGAACTGCGCAGTAAGAGTTAGTCTTTGAATTGGTCAGCTGGTGAAGGTTGCATACACTTTGGTGTGCAGCAGTGACATTGTCTCGTTCCGCGGAAGCCTTTTTGATCTCTCGCTTGGCTTTAGCAACCTCCTGATGGTGCAGTGATTATAAACGAAAAGAATGATCATTAACGATGCTTACCTTTCGCAACTGGATGACGTCGGCACTGAGAAGGGTCCCTATTTTAGACACCGCCTGAAACGAGACAACGTCAGTAACTGACAAGGGACTTCACACACAAACTTACCTCGTGCGTGATCTTGACCTCGACCCGCAATAATTCGTTGTCATTATCGGTACAAGAAAATGGCCTGGAGCTGAGTAAGAAAGGTTTCAACTTGAAATGTGATGAACGGAGGTTATAGTGTTTGCTAAGGTGCCTCTCGCGGTCCAATGCGCTGCGAGAGGGAGCCATTGGAGAGAGTAAAGTACACGGACTGGGCGTGGATAGATCCTAAATACACGGGAAGCCGAGGGTAACAAAGGACTGATTAACTAGATTGCGTAAATCATTTTAATTAAGAACTGACATGAGGCGACCTACAGAATCGCTGCGTTAAACCTTCCTTTCAGCTTCAGCTTCAGGTCCTGATTCCATTTTTCAAAGCATTTTCATAAGGGATGCGGCGATTTCAGGCCCCAGACACTAGTTGGAAGGAAGGAGAGTGGAGAAGCGAGAGTAAAGACAGCGTAAAAGACTCATTCGCTGAGCAAGGCAAGAGGTATGACGTGAGGATGACTGATGGTCTGGGTGCGACGTGGCAGTGATAAATGAGGTGACTGAACTGACAGGATAGCGTGCCCACAAATCGTAGAGCATGGATGGCCGCGATATCCCCCACTAATCATGTCTTGTGTAAGATACACAAAAAAGTATCCACCCTCGCCGAGGACGTTTAAAATATTAACTGAGAATATAAAACCTGCGTTGGCAAGCCTGCTATGTGTAAACGAACGTTCCAAGTTGGTTGTAAAGGGTATGACTGACACGTTCGGCCATTAATTTTTACTTTGGCTGATTGCTGGCAGAGACATGAAGAGAAAGCCAAGATAGCGTCTTTTGTTTGATTCTTGAGACTATGGAGTGCGCTGAACCAATCGGGAGAAATTTATAAAAGCAGAGGTACTAGGAGCAGACTTTACCAAGAACAGTGATATGATCAAGAAACACAGCCGCAAATGCCCGTTATACGTCTGGTCTAAAAATAGCAATTCTAATTGACACACTTGAGTTTGTCAAGTTCAACTGAGTTCCCGTGCAAGCATGAATCCGGGGGGCAAGACACTTTGCGGTAAAACTCAAGCTAGTCGCCAGACAATGGAGAGAGCCGCATTTACGTAGCAGTCGGGGGTCACCACATAAATTGTCAAAGAATATCAGTTGCCTGAGTGCTCTTTTGAAATAGACTTCCGAATCACCGTGGAGTCAGGTCCTTCTAAATTTTATCTGCAGACGGGGGCTGTGAGCGGGGAATCAACTGTCCTACACGTACGTAGTAAATAAGTCGGTTCACATGCGAGCTCGAGGTATGAAGGGATCACTATGATGCATGTATCTGCTCCTATGATCTGAAGGTAAAGGATCCTTACTAGTGTCAAGTAATGTACCGTTAGTATCAAATCACGATCAACAACAAATGAAACTGGAGATACAAGGTTCGGACAAAGTATTTACACAATGGTGCGATTTACGCAGAGCTGTATGTTTCATGTGTAGTGTCGAAGATGACTCGGCTCGCTGGTCGGCCTCTGCGCGGCCCTATATAATGGCATGAGCAAATGGAGGTGAAACTTGCATTGAACTTACAGTAGGATGCTAGGAACGTGCGTGAAGGCATAAACCTCATCCTCGCATCTGTCAAGTTCTTCCCGGTCATACTGATCGAGGCCATCATACCAATCAGCACGGTAAGCATTACGAGGAAGTCGACGGACAGCCCTCTGTGGGTGACCCATAGACATGGACTCGAATCGCATTCGAGCGTTGTTGCCCCGCGAACCAGTCCCCGCAGGGCCATATCGATTGTGACGGTAGATCGCATCGAATATACATAGCCAAGCAGTGACTTCCAGACTGCGCCAGTGTCTTGCGAGTATGCGGTACTGGGGGACATTATTCTCATTTGCTGTCTCGTCGCTGCTCATACCATCGGGACCAATCCTTGTGAGCATTGAGATGTGAGATCGCAAGTCTGAAACTGTACGAGCAATGTCCAAACGCCTGTGATATAGCTGCAAACATGTCAGAGGTAGTGACCTACTGGAGTACCATGCCATGAATACACACCAAATGTTTGCGTTCCTTTCTCCGATCCTCTTTGTGACGCGCATTCGAAGCCGCCTCATCGAGTCCTGCCTGCTTGAAAGCGCGCTTTAAAGATCTTAAATGTGTGGAAAACGCTTTCTTGACAGCGTCGTATTGAGAGTTGGGATGGTGGGCGACAAAGTCACGAGCAAATACTTTGGTAGCGGAGACATTCCACGCGGACTTGGGCGTGCCCAAGATTTCAACAGTGAAATTCTCCACAGTACAGCAAGGACCACGGCGAGGGTCGAAGTTCATGAACAAAATCTCTTGTGGAAGTATTACACCTGTAAATGGTGCGTCATCGCCAACCCGCTTCATCAAAATTCGAGCGTGGTCGCGTATAAGCCCCTGCGAACTTTTAGTGACTTGGGATCATTCAAGACACGAAAAACTTACATTAAATCTATTTGCCCCTCGTGATCTATGTTTCACAGGACCGGTCCTCTTAAAGGGCCGCGGAGCAGAGGTCTCTTCCGTATCAGTGTCGTTGTCAGTATCGTCAACAATATTATGGCGAGATGAAGTCTGACGAGACTCCACAACAGTTCTAAGGTCGGTGATTTGGTTTTATATGCGACCCAGCTGCGTGTTTACTGTATCAAGATCGTCTTTGGATGCTGGAACGAACTAGGAGCATGTTATTCATGAGTCAAGGAACAAAGTGACTGAGCGTACTGTATGCTCCCTATGGGGCTGAGCGCGAGCTGTACGCCCACTGCTACCCGGGTCGGTATCCATTACATCCGTCATGGCACCTATGCTATCAGTCTGTTCCGTATCGGTGACTCCACGATCACCTTGTGTCAATGGGAGGCGTGGTGATTGGATGCGATCATGAGAGTCGGATGACGCGCTGTGAATGTCGCCGCCACCTCTCCGGAAAGTGAAGCGTGAATTCTGACCGGCGGGAGGGTTGGTGTTACCTGTAAATGGCAGTGCATCCGATATTATTGCACCATCAGTTTCATTGTCGGTTTCGCTGCTAGTTTCCGGAGAATTGGCTTCAGGGGCTAATGGTTCTGTAGCACTGGTGCGACCGCCTGCTACAGGCACAATTTCAACTTGGGTGGCAAATGTAACAGACGGTCGTGCGCTGTCAAGGGAACCGAAATACTGACTCGCCGGTCGTGGAGTATGATGCAGGGAGGTATCAGGACGGAATGAAAAACTGCTTGATGCAGGTAATCCAATACCAAATAATCGAGTGGCATAGACATTTCTGAAAATCCGAGAGACAGTACTGCCGGAAGGAACTGCAGATAGGTCCTATGTACACAAAATTCAACAAAGATTCTGCCAAGCCAAAGCATGCTCTTACATCGCCGACGTCGGAGCCCCTTGCTCTCTTCTTTGGATGGCCCTGCTCCCGTTCCTTACCATTTGAGACAGTGTGCTGGAATCATAGAGGAGTTAGCGATGCATTGGATTGCGATGGTTGGCATACTTCTGTCAGTGGTGTACTCGTCAACGCACCATCCTGGAGAAAGTATTAGAGTAGAAGTTGTATACACTTTTAATATCATATACCTTAGTTGTCATGGTCATCACAACAAACCAGTAAGTCACGATCACGACTCATAGTCAATTGAGAGGAAACGCACCTGGTCCTGCACCTGGTCCTGCACCTGATCCTGCACCTGGTCCTGCACCTGGTCCTCATCCGAGCTACTAGGTTCTCTGCCTTCACGAGGTCGCTTACCGAGAATCCGTGCAGTGTGTGACTCAGGCGAAGCCATGTGAGCCATACGCGTGTCGGCGTCGGAAATCACATTGGGTGGCATGACTCCGAGAGAAGTGTACTAGTACACGGGGATCGTTCGATTTCCCATCCAATATAGTCACAATAGTTATACTCGCCAGTTGCAGAACAAATATTACCTTTCTTTTATGACGAATCGTGATCACAAAAAATATGCAGCCTTTGTGCTGCCTTCATGAAAACGTGCTGTCGTGCTGTCTGGACAGTTTCAAAAGTTATCCGAGTCTCTGTCACGACTTACTAAGTCAATCCCATCAGATCTCGTGCCCGATTGCGCAATAAATCCGCTCAGCCAAGGCTCAGCAGATTTCAAATGTATATAGTACTGGATAGCACTGCTAATCTTCGTCAGTTTTTATCCAACAGGATATCAACAGCTGTGATGAGTGGACACTACGGCTCAATTTGACGCATAATTTTAGGATTTTGGCTCGGTCTGGTCATCCCCTACAGTAGTACGTATGATTAATTTATACAGGACAGAAGCATGAATGACACCAGCACAAAGCACATCGTTTCAGATCCACGTTAGACTAGATGTGACATATTCTAGGAGATAGAGCCCAAATTTAAGGGACCTGGTGATTCACTGACAAGAATGGATAACTTACAGCCGTCCCCAAAAAAACGAATAGAAGATCTATGCGATGCACTAGAATTGATTGTTCAGTGAATTACAAAGGGCGAAGTCGTAGTATCTTTCCTGAAGTCACATTTGGGGTGGTTCATGTGCGAAAAACGATTCACCGTTGGCGTTCGATTGGCTAGAAGTCTGTATCTGTTCCTGTTCGAGATTTAAGCTTCTGGCGAACAAAGAAGATGAGTTGAGTTCTTTCTACATAAGAAGCCTCAAACGATTACCCTTACCTACGTATTTACAATATTTGCATCCAAAGTCTTCTCTGTAGGCATCACTTTCATTTCGTCCAAAAGCTGACGAGGTACTTGCTATATGTGGTAGCGTAGTCAGACAATTAATTGATCATTAACGATTGGATTTGGTACTGGTGCATGGGTCATGGCTCGGCCATGCGTTAGACCGAGAGATTGCAAAGTCAAGCAGAGCCTTTTGTTATAATGGTGAGAGTACAGTGCTGTAACCTTTCCAGCCATGTAATCTTCATTGAGCCTCGCTTCTGATTTCTTATCTCTGAAGGGAACGTGCTGAAGGTGATCACTTGCTACGAAACAACTGCACAACTATAGACCTCACTAGAACTGGCGTGATGATGGCCGAGAAATATTGATTCATGGCGAACCCTGAATAACTGCATCATGGAGATCAATCACAATGCAAGATCTTCAGATTTACGAAATTTATACCCAAATGAACGCCGCCTACATAAAGTAGGCCACGGTACGACAGATATTGTCCCGACACTCCGGCACGATCGTGGTGAACTCTTTCTCCCTTTCTCACGTTAGTTTCGCCCCTCGGATATGATAGATATGATATCAGTTTCGGATGATGTCATGCTCGGGAAACAACGTCACAACCAATTCGGCGAACCACTTCCACGAGGGTCAATCGAATTTCGTCGGAGAAACGAGTTATCACCCACACAATAAACATCCAGTCTCAAACATCCTGGCGCAACCATATCAAGACAAACACATCGTGCGCTTTATCACTGATAAAGCACTTGTCATTCAGAGCTGGGGGCAAAATTTTCGAGACATCATAAACCTGCACAACCTGGTCTTTGACGGGCAGAACTCGGGGCTGTAGAGATCAGCTCCTTCAGAGGTATGGAAAGACGTCGAGCGGACCAAATAAAAATTCTCGCAACACCTGGAAGGTCGGGGAATGAAAACGACAGGTTTTTCGTGATTAAGTTATGGGACCGAATATATTCAGAACGGACAAATCACTTATTTCCACTCTGTGACGTTCAGCCACGGATTGACGAATGACTGGTAGGATAGATGGCAAACCTGTGTGCGTGAAGTTAGAAAGTACTCAGAGAGTATTCAGGGCAGGAGGCATATAAAGGACTGGCCGTGATCGCAAGCCCTTGCCACAGACTGTTATAAGGCAAAATCTCAACCGTGCATAATCTTAGCATCGGCGTATATGCAAAGAAGTTGGAACTTGTCATCAGTTGCACCGGTGTATATAACAAGGTTTTAAACATACCATTGATCATCACAGAGATGACCATAGGGAGCAGTATAATTAGGAGCGCTCGAATAAATCTGAGGATAGTAGTTTTGTGTCCGCTAACGTAGTCTCTTGATAATCTATGGAAGTGGTTTCAGCATCTTGGTGGCAAATCGACGGTAGCTTGATAAATGGACGATGACGACGTTCTTCGAAGAACAAGAAAGGAGTTTGTCGGCACGATTCAGAAAGGCACGAGACCAGGACTTACATTGGAAAGGATACTATATTTGAGGTTCTGGCTTGGAGGTAGATGCAACTAATTCCCTTCCTCATCAGCAAGGCCGATACGACCATGCTAGACCTCAGCATGCGCGCTCTTCACGAAGATGAACATGCCGAGGAAGACAGCGGCCAGAAGATGGAGAAAAGGTGGACATAAGTGTTGTTGAGAGCTCGCTCACGACAGCCAGTCCAAGGTTCAAGTGACTTGTCATTACTGGGCTCGACAGTCTCGATGGGAACATATTTGTACACGCCAAGGGGAGCGACAATGAAGAACGATTTTGTCGGCAGAATTGGGAGGGAAGAGGTCCTGGAGGAAGGCGATAGCAAAGTCAGATACCACAGTAGCCATACAAATGAAAAGATGCGTATGACGAAGCATGTCCACAATATAGGGTCTACGACTCCAAACGATTTGCTTTGATAGAAAAAACAAATAAATTACGCTACCCTCACCGCCAGCCTTGGCACAGATGAAGGTCGATCCTCTGAGGCTCCGAGTATCCGCGAAGTATGAAGGAAAACAAGTGAAGGAATGATCCAAGCTGAAATCGCGCAAGGTACTAGTGTTAGTTGTTAAAGAACTATCCTAGTTCGTAACAACTAGTACGACCGCTTGGTAAATCAAAATATGTGCATGAGACGCTGAAACTACGGAATCAACGTTAATCGTTGTCTCAGCAACTCACATGCATGTCACACGCCCGTGATACCGTGACTTCTGGCCAGCTTGTCACATCGCAGATCCTCCTTGAAACCATGCCCAACATCGCAGTTCCTTCTCTGAGTCTAGATTTGAAACCATGCTTAAATCTCTAGTGCTGGTCTGTTTGATTTTTAATGCGATTGCCGCGTCCGAGTCAGCCTTTTTTGTTGCCTCGACTCCACAAAATTATAGATTTGGATGCATTTCTCCTAACTGCGAGTCAGTGGCCTACGTGGCGGAACTTAGAAGCCCTCGGAAAGGCCTAGTTGCCAATTTCATATCCCAGGGTACAAGAACTGACGTGAGAGTGCTGAATGCATCGCGTTCGGAGCAGAGGTTTGGCACTAGTTCCAACGAATATATAATATTAATATTCACCTTCTATTCTTATCAGATGGATGATTGTGCCGTAACCAAATATTACCCTTCATATATCGCTGTCCACTATTTAAGGAGTTTGCGAGCGAACTTGAACGTGAGTATCAACCCTACATCTTGATATCTCCCTCCAGTTCCTTCCATGTTTGTTAACTCGGTCAATGAAAGCAACAGTCCTGCCGTGCTCCCCCACGAGGCGGAACACCCAATCTCGGTTCTAACTCCTGTACGCATCAGATTACATATGTGATGTGCTGCATCCCTGATGTTTTTACTTCAGATTGGAACACCAACCCCTGTTGGCGATACAACGCAGGACAAGGAGGCAACTGTTGTCACACCTTTCATAATTGCATTGCTTGGGGACAAACCCATGCAAACTGAGTGTGAGTTTCATCAGCGTCTAAACGTAAGTCTTTTTCAACCTCGACCTTTAACTTTTGCATATTATACTGCCACTAGTGTCGATTTGCCGTAGAGCAGCGCCCTCATAGAAAGTCCGGGCAAAGCCAATAAATTCATATAGCTAGGGGTTAGTGCGGCTGCATTTTTAAAAAAAATGTTCCTGTCCTTTGCCCGCCTCCGTGCTCCGCGCCTGCTGTCTCATAACCAATGGCGAACCCAAATTCGGTCTGCAATCATATCATCATACCTAATGAAGTGATAACTATCGGCATGAGATCTTGGATCTGAAAATTCGCAAGCCGTGCCATGCCATGAGAATAGTCCCGCAAGGTCGAAACATTATTGCTTTGTTATAATTTCATTATTAAGCACAATGAGAACTGACATTTGGGGCTAATTCCCTTTGTCCCAGAAGTCCGGAGCGGCGTAGAACGGCAGCTGGTTCCAACAAATGTGAATGTAGGTCAAGAAGTTTCCTTTTTATTGATCGTTCGAAATATCTAGATCCATTTATCTCCTAATAGTCATTGAGCCAGAGGATCTAAGCTGGCGATCAATTTTATGCGGCTCTACAAAGTCGTTTGTTCGTCCAATTTATGTATCTCCGCTACCTACTAACCCACCCTCGTTGGACCTAGGCATTATAGTAGGGCTATTATCCGAATGCAAGAGACCCTTTACTCGGTCCACAAAACTCTAGTTGGACACACTGATTCGATCAGCTGCTTGCGGTTTTCTCCAAAAGGTCACCTCTTAGCTAGCAGTGGAGATGACAGTCAGTTGATAATCTGGGAGACGTCAACGGGAATCATTCGCCATCAGATCACCACCCTCAGCCCTGTCTTTGCGATGGTATGGGATCCTCGCTACAAGTCGAGACTATTTTGCGGGTGCGAGAATGGGAAAACTTTGCTCGTCTATCGCTTTCAGGTAGCTTACCAAACCAATCAAAACTTCAATACCTCTAATAGATATGAATTGCAGGGCCCAGATCACGAAGTCCTGACTGGCACAGTAGCACCAGTATACGCATTAGATGTCGATGCGGTTACTGGTTACTTAGCTATAGGCATCGGATCTGAAGTGCACGTCGCACGGGAGATCTCTGGCAGTGAGCCCACACAGTCTCTTGGCGCATTCTGATGATTCTAACTGTGAGCAGATACTTTCGCGACATTCACAATCCTCCCCAAACCCGCCGATTTGTCCGATATGTTACCTGACAGCAGAGTTCGTCCGAGATCCGTACATTTCTTGAAGAACGGCACAAGGTTGATCATCTCCTACCTCAATCACGGCATTATGTAAGTTCAATTATGTCTGCACCGGTTGCAACATCTTTGATGCGTGGTAGATGTTGGGATCTGAAGACCCGTGATGCCTTATGGCACATTGTCCCGCCTCTTAGTCGACGTCAAATGTAAATTCGTGTTTTCCTGCATGCATAAGCTAATATTTGCGCTACTAGTGGTTATGCTGCTTTGTCCCATAACGCCCGCTATCTACTTGTTTCAAACATGAATATCGGCATGAATTTGTATACCTTAGGCAAAAAGGAACCATTGCAATCTTTCCTCCAGCCCACAAATACAGGCATCAATTTTCCACTCGGCGTAAGCTTTTTGCATGGGGGGAGAGCGGTTGTATGTGGCTCGCAGACGGGCAGCGTCAAAATCTGGGAGACGCTTTCCGGAGAGCATCTGCAAACGCTCGAACACAAAGGTCTATGCGCATTATTCTACCGGTGGGACTCTACTGAACACTCTGACCCAGATGTCGTCATGCAGCAGATATCTGTGCATACATTATCCATCTCTGTATACCCACGTTTGACATATCGTTAACAGGCCTATCAAGGTAATACATGTGCATATATCACTGTAGGGTCTGTTGGAACGGCTGAGGAGACTCAGATAGTTTTGTGGCGAGCAACCAGAGGTAAATGACCATCACCTCGATACTCTAAGGTCCCTGCTGATAGTCGAGTAGACCAAACTGTTAGCAATCCTTCGTGGGAGGATATTCACAATTACATGGTCAGTCTTGTTTTTATGAAATTCATTGTCAATGGTGAACTCGAATCACAAAGTGGAATACCCTTGCCTGGGATCTTGATCAAGAAACGCAAGACGAAATCAAACTTGGCATCGTCTCTGTCCTCATTCTTTTTTGCTTCATATTCTGCCTTTTGCAGATCAATGCGGTGCAGGTGAGTCTGATGTTTTCTGTATCTCGCTCCGGTTCGCTTATTGTCCATGATAACAGACCAGCGTAGAAATATATATCTTAAACACTTTAGAACTCTGCTACCGCCAAGCCAGTCGAGCCTCTAGCGTTTTAGCCCCGACGTTAAGGTTCATCTGGTACTGGTTCAAATCTGCCTCCTTGTCACTCCTTTCGTTGGGAATTTCATGCGCTGTAATGGGATTAACATGGTTAGCAGAGAACTTAGGAGTCGAGGATATCATTGGGAGGCAAGACTTGTGATTTCAGAATTCAAGAATCATGCGCACCTTTGACTAGTTGTTGTTCGTATTCTCCGGGTATTTCTTTTAGTTTTTCGATTGTTTCTGGCAGGAATTTTGCACAGTCTCGGACCGGATTCAAACTCTACCGTGAATATCAGGATTCTGGCCGGTCTTGGCACAAGTCTATGCAGACTTCAGGCCTACGTCTGGGTAGAAGTCTGGGCACCCCTCGGCACACTCGGCAAATTCAGGCGGAGTTGAATCAGCGCGCGGTTCACCTAAGCAAGAGTCTTTAAGCTTTAGGCCTTAGGCCTTAGGGTCAAGGGGCATAAAGATGGCTATAAATTCGCACAGTGGTTCGTTTAATCCTGTGCGTGCGAGGCTCATTATTTTTGCCCGCTGTGATGTCTGTTACATTCCAATTTCCAGGGTGTTTATGTCGTCGTTTCGCGCGACACTTCTGCTTCTTCTTCCTCCTCTGTTACTTCGAAATTTGTGCCACAGCGCCTGTCTCGTCATCGTCTCGCTCTTTGCAATCCATTGCGAGCCTTAATCACCATCTCCGATGGTGCCACGACTTTCTAGACTGATTTTCCCTTCGTTGTGGTTGACTCTGCGGCGACCGGCGTGGTTTTAGGTCGTGACTGGATGGCACACTGTCAGGATATAGCAGTCAATCGTCGAGAGATTAATCTGCCTGCACATGCTTGTGGTTTCGGTCTGTCCGTCCTTTGTCTGTGTGGTTTATCATTGAACAATGTGATTACAGGATTTCTTGACAATCACGGTTCTGATCATGGCTCTTCATTAAACGGTCAGGTCACTAGTCCATCGGGCTCCAAATCTGGTGACTGCGTCAAAGCAGAGGGCTTGATTTGAGATATTTTGTTTTTATCTCCTATGTCGCCATCCTTATTTTCCGCCGATGATATTCAGTTCTCGCGCATCATTCGAGATCACGGACTGCATATAGAGTCATCTTGAGACCAAATTGTCTGCCGTGTCTCTTAAGGATGTCGTCCATGCCGCAGGGAATATCATTCGCTTGTCCATGAAAATCGTGCCGATTTGGTTCGTTTGCTAGCCCATTGATGTGTGGTGACGATGATGTATTGAAATATCTGTTTATTGAGTTTGATGCCCTATCTTACGTTTCATTGATCTCGTATGTTTCATCTCGTGGGTTACAATTTCAATTGGCATGAAGATTTATTGCACATGTTGATGCAGCATCTATGGGATGGAAGTCCTTGTTGGTGGAGTGCATCACGACATTGGAACGAAATTATGCTAGCAGTTTGTCTTCGCTGTCTCTCGTCCATTTGCCCTAAGGTGCTTCCTCCTGCTCTTGATGATGTTTCAACACCTGTGCTTTTCGCGCATCGAAACCTCCTTCTGCAGAGTGGCTACATATGAAGGCGAGACCTCTAATCACCAAATTGAAAATCAAAGCCTCCACACATTGTCACCTTCTTACTGTCAATCAGTGTACATTTCGTTCACGTTCACGTTGTATTTCAGGGATCTCGCAAAGTATGACAACCTGCTCCCAACACTGGGGGACCTCAAAACGTGGTGAACACTGAAGAAACTCCAGCGTGCATTTGGTGAGTGTACTAGTCAGTAGGGGGGCCTATCTACAGTTTATCCTGATGCCTTGTCCATTTCAGCCCCCCTCCACATTGCAACACCAGCCATTCTCACTGCATCTTTGTGCTGTCCCACCGACCGGTTGCTCAGTGCTCAGTACCAGGCGCTGTGGATTGGTTTTGCCACGAGCTTTGGAAGTTCCTGTTCCTGTTCTTGATATTCCTCAACGTCTAACTCATATCAAAGCGATTTTATTTCTTATTGATACGAACTCGATCAATCCTTGATCTCCTCGTGGGGGAGTCAGAACTGACACCGTTCTACGCTGTTCCGTACGCTTTCCGTCCGCGAGGCGTAAGTAAAAATATTGCTATTGGGTCTGGGGTCTTCTAGGCTGTCCACGGATATCGGCTATAGCGATTGGGTCAGCAAGATTATTCAACGAAGTGATGACTCTAGTATACTAAACCAAATCCAATCGTGATCGCGATCGCGATTTATATGGAACTTTGAATCGAGCCGGACCTTTGTTCTTATATCTCAAATAGGAATGGAAATACCGATCTGGGTGGCCCGCAGAAATATGACAGAGGATGTTGTGCAGGGTACTAACTCGACAGCAGGGTACTAACTCGACAGCTGCAGACTAAGTGTAAATAATAGTGGTAATGTATATTGGTTTGAGAATTGAACTTTTAGCGACCATTTGAGGGGTGACCGGTCATCATCAAACTCTTTTATTATGCTCTCGGGAAGAACACGATGCCCTCAATACTTTTTAATTGCTCGTGCGGCCTGCATCCTACCTATTAATCTCCTTATCACTGACATCAGCTTTCAGTTTGTTCGACTGAAAATTTGAAGCCCACACGCTGTGTGCATGTTTCCGTCGTCTCATTGTGCCGTCTGCTGCCAGCGCCTGTCAACTCGTGCCGGCCGATACTAACATGGGGAGTTGCGGTGTTCCATTCACTGTACTACTATCCTCAATTCCTGTTTTTTATGTAATTACTATCTCATTTTTTCACGGAGCACAGCTGTTCTGAAACCGATGTTTTGACGGCATTCACGCTTTTTATCAGATTGCGCAATAGAGTATTTCTATGTCCCGTCGTTGAATTGTAATTAATTTTCTAATGCCTTGTCACGATAGTCACCTAAGTCACGTGAGGTTCGTTGTTTTCGACGTCTGCCTCGACGTTGACTGTCATGCCCAATCGATGAATTTGGGACCATATTTTCAATGCAAATGTTACCTTGGATTCTCTCAACTCCCTGTTACTCTCAAGATGTCTCCTGGGCCCATCAGGAACGTCCTAAGACGCCGCGGCAGGCGTGCTCAGACCCCTTTTTATCCCTCAGCAGAAACCAGGCATAGACCCTGGACTTCTGAACCTCATGCGCATGATGTTATCGAGATCATGAGCGACGACGAAGTTACAGGTCGGGCAGCGTCAGTCGATGTACATCGCGAGCTGATAGTAAGTTGTTCGATCTTTCTAGCGCCAGGCACTTCCTTGAAAATTATAACTCATAGCCCACGGTCGCCACTGAAGATGTGATCGAAATCTTGTCCGACGACGAAGATTCTCAGCAGGCCGGCAACGCCATGGTAAATACACAATTTTTTCCTGTGTTAACCATAATAACACACACCAGCCCACATTTTCATCTGACGCGCTGGCGGCAGCAACAGCCAAGCTAGAACGCCTACGCGCTGCAATCCAGAAGGTCTGGTTTTCCAAATTTCTCGAGGTCATAAGCTTATACGTTATCAAGGTCCTCTCTGAAAGGGATTCTTTTCTGGAATGCGCTGTTTGTAAAATAGCATTCAAAGATTTACACAGGTCAGTACAGGTCATGACAGCTGAGTGATATGATTTGAGCGTCCTGTTTTAGTCTGAAATGTGGACATAGTTTCTGTGCAGCGTGTCTCAAACAGTGGTTTCAATCTTGCTGGACTAGATGGGTAGCATATAAGCACCCACCTATTGGACTTACTTCCCGAGACATCTCGACGCTGCTGTTATCACCAGCAGTCATATCAGTTGTGAGGAGATGTTTTGGACGTATCCCATTCACCTGTCCAACTTGTCGAGATTTCGTTGACAGCCATGAACCATGCAAGGTCATCGCGCTCAGTCAGCTTTCAAACACATTATCATCACTTTCGGGAGATGTACAAGGTGAAGAGGATTTATCTACGGATTGGACAGGTTACTTTCCCGTGTAAGAGAGTGAGATCTATGACTTACACATAAAGACAACACACACGACTCTCCGATTCATCACTTACGACTCCAGGTAGTCTGGTACACAATATATTTCTTTAGAGTGTCAGTATGGGTCTAGAATCTGGTTGATGGCGTAGATGTACCCCGCCAGTCTCGAAAGCATATTATGACGAGTGCCAATGAGCTGGCTTTGGAAATGGCGGGCATGCCACCAATTAGGGGTCAAATTCGAGAATATGACAGAGGGGTCGCTCCAAGGTGTCAACGGCACCGGCGAGGACATAGTCGGGTGAATATGGAGCGCACGAAGATAGGTACCGTTCCTCTTCGAATCCGAATCATGATTGCGCCTAAGACTTACCTTCTCAATTCCCATGAACCAGCTAGAATGTGACTTTAGGAAGGGTGGCGTTTCAGCCATCAGTGGCTTCGCCCTTTGTACAGCCTCGCCTTGATGCATTGATCGGGGGGACGGACGGCTATGGTCATGTCGCCAGGTCACGAAAGCTAAATTTTCCTTCCACTCTGCGGTCCCTCTCCTGCCGCGGCGCCGGTTCCTCCACGTCACTGTGCGTGAGGGAGACGTGGTGATTTATCATCCCATTGATCGCATCCTTGCAATCAACGACAATAATGGTAACTCTGGATTAAAGGTGGAAGACCTGGCCTAGTGTTGAATACGATTGGTGGGTGGCGACTCGGATGATACGCTCAACGTATGATCTATCTCTGAGAACGCAATCTTTGTTCATTCGCGCTGCTGACCTGATACAGGGTGCCAGAAACGTGCCAATTACTACCACTCTTGGTCTATTCGGGAATCTCTGGATATATTGCATACTGTGAATCGCCATCAACGTGTTGCATTGTTCTACATCTTAACTTCTTGTGAAATCCGATTCCCTCGTTGTCACTGGCGCTGCGGGGTGAGTTTATCTTGATTCGTACATTTTTTTAATAGTAATATTTATACAGAATTGTCTGCGACGTCATCAAGGCGAAACAGTGATGGCGATCGCCGGGTCAGAATCACTGAAGGAATCGCTACGGACACATCAACAAATCTCTCACAACCCCAATGCCCTCGTGTTCCCTCCCTAGCCTCCTCGTTGCGCGAAGTAGTCGTGCTTCGGATCCTCTAAGGAGCGCGTCTACCCTTGGCACCAATAGTACGCATGTGCATTTCCTCGTGACACACCCTACACGGCGTTATGCTGCCTTAACTCGCGATTCCACGTGGGTATTTTTTTCCAGTTTCTTCGCTAACGACTTATCGCCCTTTGTGACAATGCTTGCCGTCATTGAATATTGATCCGCCTTCTAGCCGTTGTATTAGATGTGACTGGATATCGTCGATGCACGGGGAATGTGGTAACATTGCATTTCTGTAGATTTGATTGTATTGCAGACTCTGATTTTTAATCACCCTAGTTTATCTTCATCGGACCTGCCGCTCGGCTGGGATTGATCTCACTGATGAAATAATATTCGCATCATGTTGTCTCACCGATCTACTCTTGATAGGAATCAGAAATCAGAGCATGAAATCAACATCCGTGATTCTGCCTCATGGCAGCCACGATGTGACTTGGTAGTAAGAGGCTGGGACTTGATAGGTTTAATTTGTATTATTTACGCACTCTTTGTCCATCAAGGTTCCGATTCCTCAGCCCTTTGTGATCTTCAAATTCCTGCGTCATTCAGTGCATTCATCCAATGCCTCCTTCTCGCAATGAAATGAACCGCCAGAGCCACCTCCATAAATTTTATAATCTTCGTTCCTGAAGGTACCTTTTTGCACATCGTGAAATTGTTGCCTAATCTCCATCCAAATCGTGCAACCCTATTCCTGTACCACAGAAAAGCGTGTATATGTCTGTAATGATGACTTCTGAAGCATCGTGATGAGTATACTGGTGATGTTGCTAACGATCTGGATTTTCCCTTGGTTCTTTCTTTTGATGACACTGGATATCATTGTGGAGTGGCAAGGCAACCTGCGTGCAGTAGTGAGAAACAGTTGTGGAGAGAACAAACGAATGATAACGATCGAGAAATTCGAAGGGACAGGTCTGCACGAAGGGCCATTGCCCATTTTCCCAGTAACTACAGAATCTGTTCTTTTGTTTATTCGGTACATGCCATGATATTTGCAAACTGCAGTCCATTTATCTTGATGGAGATGGTGAGAGCAGGAAATTCAAAGAACGCCGGACCATGAAAATTATAATTGAAAATACAGCAACTGCAACACGAGCCAATGGATAAAGTACTAGGTTGTAAAGAGGCGAAGGAGTGGGACTCGGAGGCGCAGTATTGCGCCCCGGACGCGTCGTTCACACTTGATGTACCACAGATGGCCGAGAGGGTAGGAATAAACGACGCAGGTCTCTAAGCACCTACGCGTCGATCGCATGTAGGGTCTTCGACGCTAACACAGGAACAAATAGTTTCTGACTTTGCCCTGACTGATCCAACTTGAATTTACCTGAAACCTTCAGGCGTCCCTTGTACGTGCTTATTGTCTTTTGAGTAACCCAGCAAGGTTCTCCAGTTGTGCTGAACCAGAGGCGATGCATTGGAAGAAGAGGATGAACTTGGGTTTCTTGAGCATCCTCCCAGGCCTGCTGAGCACTCCATATCCACATCTGACGCGTAGTCGGTGTAGAAAGTGACTGATGAATGTAGAGGTCCCCACACTCAAGCGACTCACAAGGCGGGGGAGCAAGCAGAGGTTCGCAGCCGCGGGAATCATACCAATGCATGACTTGATCGAGTCCGCAAATTTTATGCTCAATGCGACGGGCGCTGTACTGAGAGGCAGTGATCTGAGGGTGATTAAGAGTTGAATTGTCAGTTGGGGTGGATGACCCTGCATCAGGAATGAGTTGATGTTCAATGGGTACAACTGGAAGGCGTGATTTTGGTGATTCCTGGGCTCCAGAGGTGAGATTATCAGTAATCACTCGAGGGGATGGAGAGCAGGATGTCGTTGTCAATGATAGGTCGCAGACATGCAATCCCGGGGAAGCCAGAGTTTGGGATTGTATCGGGGTGTTATTTGGACCACAAAATTGGGGGGATGGATGCTGAGAGGACTCCAGGCTCATTGAAGCAGGGCGACTTTGTAGCACAGATTGTTCAGTGGAGCGAACAGAAAGTGGTGCAGAATTTCCATGTCGTTTGTGATGAGACAGCGCCTGCTCTTGGAGACACTGCGTGAGGCTGGGTAATATTTCCTCGAAAGACTGGCGGTGAATAGGGAATGGCTAAGGATATAAGTACATAAGCTTTCCTGCCAAAATATTCGAATTGCTTACGTCCAGTCCCCGCCTAGATACAGCAGAACTCAGATATACATACAGTTCCCCAGGCTTTGGGAAAGATTGACGGTGAACTGCCACAGGCTGTTGGAGAGTTAGCACGACTCTACATATTGTAGATAAAAACTGACATCGCGCTCTTGCCGAAGTACCTGCCGGTATGGCGTGTTGATTGCGCGAAGAAGACAGCGAGAATTTGTACTAGTGTGGTGTTTCATGGCTAGCTGAGCTGAGAGGCTATCAATCGGAGGAAGGTTGTTGTCAATATTGCCTGAGATTGCTACTTTATAGTCAGCAATTACTACCTAGGGCCATGACTAAGGAACAATGAAGGTGAGAGGCTCGACAACGAGTGAGCCTACTATCGACGTGAACGCAACTACAAAGAGAGTGACAAAGAGACCTTTACGGTTTGACACAGGTAGGGCTAAAACAATGGCACTTTTGTCCGACTGTGACCTTGCTTAATATTAAGGCATGGAAGGTTTGGAATCTGGACTGTGCCAATGCTACCTCATTGAATTTTCACACGTCCTGATGGGTGCCGCATCTAGTTGGTAAAAGGATCATTTAATGGGCCTGCAGCTCGTTTATGTAAAAAATGAAGGCAAATTTGTCATTTGCATGCCAGGGATATATTAACGCAGCGCGGCTGACGCGCCAGTTCCCAACCTGCTCCATCCGTTCCCATCCTTCGCTTTCCCATGTGGTGTTCTGCCCGCAATGTGTCACTCACACTTTATATTGTCTCCTGTGGTCCACGAGGGTCTGTAGCTAGAATATATCGAGCGAGGTGTATGCGATTCAGTAGTCATGACTCACCTGGGCGATTCAGGCCGCCTTGGGTGCATTGCATGTGCAACGCCGTGAGAAATTCCCACAGGTCCATAGAGAATTGTACATCTCAACTAGGGAGTTGGGAATTTCCTTCCCACGAACGTTTCCTCTCACCGTGTTTTCCTTCCTCAGTTTGTCCTTTTATAATATTTGTGCTCTTCAACTATACCATTTTTTTTATCGATCGTAAGGTGACAGGTGCTCTATGATTTCTATTGGGAATGTACAATGGCTAATTCGTTTCGTTTCGTTGTAGTGGGTGACGGGATCTGTGAGATACCCACATGCCATTCAGCAACGCGATCAAACCGAGTGTCTTTAAGCAGGGCTGTGCAGGCTAACGGACGCCATTGGCAAGTGGTCTTCAGGTATGAGGATTATTTGATTTATTTCGTCTCTGACGTTTGTGTAGACAGCAGTGCAATACGGTTCACTGTATCTGATATTTATCACAGTTCTAATATCGGTCGTAATGTGGTGTTCGATATTCGTACGTGGGCTGATGCTATGTTGTGCTGTTATTGATGGACGTCAATCACCGAGATGGAACTTAGTCTTTGTTTTCTGGCGATGTCGAACAGTTACAGGGTATTGCAATGTTTTAATGGTATGCCTTATGATGGAGGGCTGTCGTCTATCACACGACGGATGCTTCATCTTTTGTCGGTTGGCTGATATTGTATTACTTTCAGAATTGTCAATAAATGGACGGGATTGTAGGCTCACCAGGGATGGTCTGTCGCAGCTCGAGTTCGTTTGTTCTTCGCACAATTGGCGAATTGCCTTGAAGTTAGTGTGGAACATCTGTTTCAGGCGACGGTGCATTTAGCGGGATCGATGATGTATGCGCCGCCGCATGGCACTAGGCATCCATCGCGGGCTTTGTTTATGACTTTCCATCCCACTCAGGCGTTTTTGTTTGAGGCCAAGGGTGTTCCGGAGTTACTTGTATCCTTATGTTCTATCCATGATTCTTATGAGATGCTCTTACGGATCGCCTGCATGATTGCTTTTGTGAAGGGAGACCTGATGGAGATCGCAATTACGATGTCGCCCTTGGTTTCATTAGTGCTTTCATGGTAGAGTTCATATGCTCATCGTACACCATGAGTTATGCGCATCACGATTCTTTGGCACATCAATGCACGCAGTGATTACCTGAAAACATTCAAGGCGCACAGCTCACCAGTACAGTGAAAGTTGTAGTCATTCTCTCCTTTGTTAGACAAATGTACGACTTCCTGTATGATCTTCCTCACTCTCGCTTTGCTATCAATGCTCTATGCTTTTCGCAGGATGCTTGTGTACTTGCTAGTGGTGATGATGATGGATATATCCGGCTTTTTGATTTTCCACTAGGCAAGGAATTGCGTAGGCTGAGGGTTGCTACTGCTGTAACATCACTTCTATGGCATCCAAACAAACCTGATGTTATCCTTATTGGTGATGCAAGAGGCATTGTCACTGTTATGAACCTTCATGCAGAAGTGAGTGTACTAATAATGATACCATTGGCTTTATATCTGATGTCTATCTTGAGCCTCAGGTTCAAGGTTTTTCTCTTCGCACTGGGGTTAATGCTCCAGTAGATACATTGGCCTACGATGCCTGCAATGAGTGTCTTGCTGTAGGAGTTGGTACTGATATTGTCCTATTTAATCATCCTGAAGGTGAAGTGAACCCATTGTGTAGGAAATTACGAAGGCTAAGATTTGAGCAGACCCTTGGACATTTGGTTCAAACATTCCGCCACCACCTATGGCCAGCATGGATGATAACAGGCTCTTACTACCGTTACCCCGTGCTCTGAAATTCAGTGACAATGGATGTTCTCTCGTTGCAGTATATTTTCAACATGGTATTGTGTGAGTGATGTCATTTTACACTGCAGTGGAAGGAACTAAATTGATAATTATTCAAGCTCCTGGCAGATAAAGTCGCTTCAACCGGAATGGACCATATGGCCAAAAAGCACACGTGTGTAAGTGTTATTTTAGGATTGCAATAATTAGGTAATATAGATGGCCAATCAGTGGAGGGGCCTGTTTCTCAGCCGATGGAAAGACCATCATTGTGTCAAATTTTTCTGATGGCTTCGACTGTTACGATATCAGAAATGGCAAGCACTTGGCCAACCTCCCAACCCCAATCATTCACAATGTCCCGCTACCATCACTATTCATCGAAGGTGATAAATCGATATTGTGCGGAAGCTCCTGTGGATATGCCTTGCTATATTCAGGAAACATGAATACCGTCCTTCAGGTACTAAGACACAGTGGTACGAACCTTGAGATTGATGATACTGCTAGTACACCAACTGATTTTGATGCACCCCCTAGAACACAACATGATTCAGGCATTGGTTCGTTTGTAGTCATATTTTAGTCTGAATACGTGCTGATCCTTCAGGGAAGGCATATTGTGAAAACGAGGCAAAATTCATCGCAACAGCCTTGTCCGAGGCTGATTCAAACAATTATATTTGGATCTGGAGGACAAGTACGAGTGAGAAACACTTTTTTTTGAATATCCGTACAGGTCCTTACATTGGTGGCTTGAATGCGACAGCCTCACAAAAGATCACAGTAAGTTGCTGGCATCATTGTCATATCCTAGAGCACTATCATGCTGACGTGAGATAGGGCTCATCACAATCACGGCCGAGTATTGGTATATATGTTGTGTTGATATTTCTTGCCATAACATTTGTTTGGGTTGGACTTGGACGTTTAGGTGTCAACGTAGTAGTGCAGGTCCGTCCTCGGTCTGCTGCATCCTTCTCCTGCCCTCGTTTACAGCTCACAACAGGCCCACGCCGTGGAAAGAAAAATCATGGAAGCTTTAGAATTCTCGCACTGCTTCGCCAATCGAGCCTTTGAGGCTTTAACCTCGTCATCCATTTTTACCCAGCACTGGGTCCAGACCGTGCTCTCATCACTCGCTTCGATCGTGGCCTTTTGTACTACTAGGTGGGTTTAACATGGCCTGGAACTTGGGATGCGAGGATCTTGGCGGGCAGCAATAGAGATTGCTATGAAATTTATGAGTCGTGCACATCCTTGACGAAGTACTGTGCTTTGCGGGAGTTGTAATATTTTTGAATGTAGGAATTAGCGTTTGTCCTGCAATTTCCGTCCGTTTAGGACTCGTTACATCAACCGCAGATCAATATCGGTGCCGTCTTTTCCAAATTGCGCTTGTAGTAAAGGCAAACTTGATGCCCTGAAAGGCTCCTGTGGACCCAATGGCCGATCATCCTGGTAGATTGCCTGGCAGTGATCTATTGCCGCGGCGGAGAACCACGAATCATCAGCTTGGAATATTCCTCAATTTTTTCGAAGTCTCACAGAAGTTCATTTGTATCTTCTGGCAGGCTGCGCTCGACGCAATGTCAATGCCACTATGAACGAACCTCTATCTACTCGAAGTCCAATGGAACCGCACGGAACCGATACCATTCTTGGCGCATCCATTGCCCAGTCCCCCCATTGATTTGTATCGCTCGCTCACTCTTTCCATTAGTGGGTTCAAGACTGAGTAGGGCGACGCGTAAGTAAGTTACAGAGGCCAAATAGACAGACATAATCATACTAGAACACTGGCAAAAAAAGCAGTTGAATGACGGGTGGATGCAGCCTCTTTATCCACGCCTACATCTGACATCGTAAGATGAAACACAAGTAATGAACTACGCGGACGCTCCGGCCATCTTAGTGTGAGCCTCTGCTTTCAATATCAGCATTTGATCCTGTGTCCCGGTGCTGCACTTGCCTTGTCCATCTGCCAAAGCGCAGACTAAGAATCATTGAGCGTTCGCAGCTCGAACTGAATTTTCACGGTATGGACATCCTTGATTTCGGGCTGGCGTGCATGTCAGTGGGTCCGCTCCCTCAGAGACGATAGATATCTTAGCTGTCTCAAAGTTGGCAGCATAAAATACGGGTCCAGCCAGGAATGCTTCCCATCGAGCTCGAGCATTGCAGGAATATCGCAGATCCCTCTAGCAGACTTCCTTGTTGGCTAGCCTGACAGAATTTGGAAGACTATAAGGCTCGATATCAAGAGCGACAAGACTCGATCGCACACCTGTGAACAAATCGCCATGTAGTCGATTAAACTTCTGGAGCGGGCGGATAAGGGGAGTCAGACATACAAGCCGATTACTCTAACTCACAGTTGCGGATATTGTACGAGTTTTGGCCTATGTCCGTAAGGCATACTACCGGACAGGATTTGGAGAAGATTTTGAGGCTCCTATACTATACAAGATCAACGGTGTCACTGTGCCGGGATGCCATCGTCGAGGTACTGTACAGGTATTTCCTGCTGACGAGCAAACTATGACAAAAATTTATCACTTCAGCAGTAACAGACTAGCAGTAGGAGATTCCTATGTTACCTTGCAGAGATATGTCTATCTTGATAGAGGCATGATACATACCTCTGTCGACGTAAATTACTCGACTATCCAAGGATTTCACGAATAGGAACTTTACGAACGCCGGCATCATGCTCTTCTTCTTCATCTCCGGATGCTATTGGAATACAGTTCGTTGCGGTTACTAGGAAGTTGCTGTTGGAAGGTTCGTTTTGAGGTCTCTTCTTGTCTGCTCTGTGATAATTGATCGTGAAATAAGTGCTAGGACGTCATCGAGGAACCCACCAGGCTCCTTCCAGCCACTTCAGGGACCTTGGGCGGCGGATGTTGTGTGGCTGTTGCATGTGGCGGTTGGAAGATGCGTTGCAGATCTGAGGTTCGGAGTCTGGATGTTTGAGTAAAGTCCGAACCTGGCCAACCATATAGATAAAGAAAGACTTTGCCTCTAGACGGGGTCCTGGACTCGTCTCTCAAACAGTGGCTATTACTAGTTGGAACCCCAACCCAACCTTGATAACATGCTGAGTCCTATCCGATCGATGTCTGAGGATGATAGCAAGCGCAGGTCAGGGGTCTTGGGTGTTCGGGGTCCTAGAGTACCGAAGACAGAGTAAAGAGAACCGTTAGACACAGCACAACGCAGGCATGCATAAGCTTTCCTCCTCTAGAACGCCAGCCTGGCGTATCCATAGTCACAATCAAGCTCCATCCCATCCCATTGTCAGTCGCTTTGTCAGTCTTTGTTGGCCAATTCACGCCTTGCACATCCGAGATATCCGATCAATCGTAATCGCTTAATCCTCGAATGGGGACCAAACCTAGTGTTCTTCGTTCACCCCAAAAATATCTCTATCAGGATCCCCTTGACTCTGGCGTAATATGTGAAAATGTCGTGATCACGAGGGTGGGAATGATGGTGAGATTGCTTTGTCTGTTCGTTCCTCAAGAAGTCTGATTCGAGCGAAACCATGTATCACTGGCAGGTGCATGTATTGATTTAACGTCTTTGAACCAAGGGTGAGTGACCTAATCTTACTTACATAAAACGGCGATTATATTTTGGTGTAGAAGTCGACTCGCCTCATGGTCGGCGACTGCCCAATGCTCAATTGATGGACGAAACCACAGACAATTGGTCACATCAAATATACTTGATGATCGTGCTGTTCCCCTGCCTGTTTTCGAAGATCAAAAGCCTATCGCACCTTTGGATATCAACAGAGCTTTGGAAGGAGCTTTAGTAGAAGTTTATATTCCGTTCATCACTGGCAAAGGTGCTGGTGGAGCTTTCGCGTTGTCTACTGCGACTGCTTACTTTGGTGAGGATTTCAGTGACTGTGAGCAATCTTGATTAATGCTTACTGAGCGCTGATCTGCAGCGCACTTATTTTCGGATCCAAAGAACTAGAGTGGCCAACAGCTCCTTAGGTGGGCCTAAGCGTTGCAAGTATCCCAGGCGTATGGCTGTATCAGACGTCACCTGCAGGCTGTATCAATAGAATTAGCGGTCTTTCTGTTGAAAGTCAAACCGCCTAAATCCATTTGGCACATCAAGATCGATCAACGGTGTTAGAACGACTATTGTCAAAGATCCGAGAAAGCACGGAATGAGTGGTAAGCATCGCAGATATTATGATCGATTGCCCTTGAACTTATTTGCTAATTAAGCCCGCCTTTATCGTGAACTTGGAAGAGTGGCGTTGGTGGATATTAATGCGATTGATTGCCCAACAACTGAGGGTGGGTTCTTATTGTTGTACACATTCTCCTCCGCCTTCTCATATTTTTGCGCTTAGATATGACAAAACCGTTCCTTTCTGAGGGAAGGGCAGCGATAAATACCCGACCCTTGCCCCATGATACGTCGTCGCTTCACTTCTGCCAGTGTCGCCAATGTGTCCAAGAGGAGCTGGAAACGGACTCTGATTTCGCCGAGTCTCACTGTGTGAAGCCGGGATGTTGGCTGAATGCGACAATGTATTACAGGCACAAACGAGAAGAAGCTCTCCGTCATGAACTGGACCGTGCCAACCTGGATGAGAACCGACAGACAGTTGGCGAAATTTCTGTGCCGAATTCACCCCGGGGGTTTCCTTCGCCTGTGGAGCTGAACCTCACTGGAAACCATGTCACGGTAGCTAATACTAAACCCATCGTTCATGATCAGTCACAACACCCGCCTGTTACCGACCTGCATCATTTGCGTTCCAGAATCAATCACTTTGTTTGCAGTTTTTCGTTCAAAGGCCCCCTGAAATTTGCTGGGCATCCTACGATCGATGGGCCATACGTGCGTCTTGACCAGGATGATCTTCTTGCCGTCAACTCTGGTCTGCAAGTGCTAGAGCCCCGTCACCCCACGAATCAACCTCTGCTCACACTCCAGAACAATCTCACCATGTCGATGAAGGAGGCGCTTGAAATAGAAACTCACAATGTCGGGGAAATCGCGAAGGAAAAAGATGCCCTTATTCAGCGCATCGTGAGGGAACTCGATCGTGCCGATGATCTCAAGGAGAAGGAGTGGGAAAGACAGCGGAAAGGTGACAACAACGAAGACTCTGATATGTTTGTTAACACAGGTCAGTTTTTTACGCAGTCTATCATCTACTTAGTGCTAATGTAACGGTATATTTTGGCTAGATCCATATTTTAATGCCCCTCATGCTTCCTGGCATCCCATGCTCTTGTCAGTATATTTGACGATTCTCCTTATGCACCTCATATGCGGACTACCTCGTCGGGCTTCGTCACTGCTACTTTTTTGCCTGCGGAGCATAGTTCGCCTTTCAGATGCATGTTCAACGGATACACCACTATCGCAGAATATTCCAAGGGACCCGCGCACTGTGATAGGATCATTCGAGCTAGAGCCTCGCACTCGATCCTACATCTGTTGTCCAGCATGCTTTGCTTTATATGATACATCCCCTCTCCCCCTCTTTTGTATGCATCAACCAACTCCTACGAGCCGGCCGTGCCACACAAAGCTCTGGAAAACGTGTATCATCTGCGGAAATCAAGTCCAACATCCAATCCGTACATATCTGCACCAAGACCTGAAACAGTGGATGGGTCATTTCCTTTCACGTCCTGGCGTCGAAGACCTCATAGACTCCGCTGCTCACCATCACGAAGGGGAGGACATGGAGGACATTTGGCATGCGTCTACGTTTTGTCAGTTTCCTGGGCCAGACAGTAAACCCTTCCTTAGTCCATCAATTCGGGAGGGGCGCTATGTGTTTAGTTTAGGAGTTGATGGCTTCAATCCATTTCAGAACAAAGTCGCCAAACAGAATGTGACAGTGTATATGGTATGCTTGAATCTTCCACCGGACCTGCGTTACCTGCCCGAGAACATGTTTCTTGTTGGCATCATTCCAGGCCCAACAAAACCTTCCACCGATCAGATCAATCATTTTCTGAAACTCCTCGTGGACGATCTCCTACTGTTTTGGGACCCTGGCGTTATCTTCTCGTGCACATCGAAGTATCCGGCTGGTCGCACTATCTGAATCGCCCTCATACCAATTGTGTGCGACCTTCCAGCTGCAAAACAAGTTGCAGGGTTCAGCGGTATCGGTTCAAAATTCTTTTGTTCCTACTGCTTACTCCCTCTCTATGATATCGACAATTTGGATCGGAGCCAGTGGCCTCCTCGCGACGTCGAGACTCATCGTAAACATGCCTGCTCATACCGAGATGCTGCTACGCCTGAGGAGAGGCAGCGCATCTTCGATCAGTTTGGAGTCCGTTGGACCGAACTCCTTCGGCTCCCATATTGGGATCCAATCTCTTTCACAGTTGTCGAGTCCATGCACATCCTATATTTGCGCATTCTCAGATATCACTGTCGAGTGGCGTGGCGGATGAATGTAGATTTAGAAGATGGCGAAACCGTTTCAGGAGAAGGCACCAAAAGCATTGTGAGGCCATCTGACGAAAGCATGCAGAAAGGTGTCGGGGCGCTCACCGCGGGAACCTTCGCTGCCCTTGACGCTTGCACTAAACCCGTTCTCTACCATCTATGCCAGGATAGAAATCTCAGGAGGGCGAGTACGAAGAGAGCACTCATTAAAACTCTTCTGAATTGGGTGCGTGCAAGTCCTTCGAGCTTGAATATAATTGACCGGCTAATACGACAGAAAACCGATCAATCAATGGGAGACATGCCCCCAAAACCAGTTGTTCCACCCCGACCTTCAAAGAAGACATCGCTAACCGATGCTGAGTCGGCCATGCTTCTGGTTGAAGGTACGGCAACGATCAGCGATTTATCGCTCCTTCGGTTCACAAAAGCTATATTGGCGAGTCTCTGTGATGCAAAGCATGAACATCGCACTGGGAACAAGCATGATCTTGTTAGCAGGCTGTTGGATTGGGTATGTCACTGGTCTTGTCTTCCTCACCTCCCGCTGCATTGGTCTGATCTTGGCACCCCAGCGTTTATCGCAGAATTTGCCATGCACACGAACGGCACTGGAAAGTGTGTCGGCTACAGGGAAGGAAGTGCGAAATCACCAAAGAAAGGCGGAGGAATATATTTCTTCAACTTCACGAGTTGACACGGACACGCTAATGAGCTACACCCGGACTGTCTTGGTTGCGCTGTGCTCGGAGTGACATCTCAGCATTGTCGGTCAGAAGAATGTCCTTGTCCAGCGCCTCATCCGATGGGTACGTCTCATTGCAGCTTGAACGTTACAGAGTGACTGATGCTACTGGCAACTTCAGCGAGTCCAGCAAGACCAAGACAACAGAAATGACAATGACCATGAAGCTCCTGCGGATTTTGAGAATAACCATAACTCTCACAGTGCAGATCCACCAGGACGAGTGAGTGGTATGAACGATGATCAACTTCATCGTGTCGTCCTGGGTCAATCTCTTGTCACCGAGATACGGAAAGACATGCTATGTACTGAACTGCCCACATGGGTTAGCCAGGCTCCCAAAGCTCTCGGCTCGACAGCCCAGGGTAAACTCAGTGCAGATCAGTGGCGTGCTGCATGCACCATCAACATAACCATCACCCTGATACGACTATGGGGCGGGAAGACTGGCGTGGTCAAAGCTATGCTAGACAACTATATGGATTTAGTTATTGCTGTTGAGCTCGGCTGTATGCTCGTTATCTCCCCTGGCCATATCAGCCAGTATGATTTCTACATGCAGCGCTATCTCAAGAACTTCAAGGACCTTTACAAAACCTTGCGACTGGTTCCGAGCCACCACATTTCTCTGCACCTTGGTGAATTCCTGTGCTCGTTTGGTCCTGTCCATGCTTGGAGGGCTTTTGTGTTTGAGCGCTATAATTATCTCCTCCAGCGTGAAAACACTAATGGAAAATTCGGTGAGCAACTCCTCATCTCTTCACCCTCATACTAATCAACCCTGAATCACAGGCGAAATCAAGCTCACTATGATGAATCACACCTGTCGAGTAGCCAATGTGCGCGCGCTGATACAGGAGGAGCGCATCCGTACTGTTGTCTCGGATATGGTCGATGCATATAGCAACTTCGCAGGCGAAGATAGGAGAGGCACTCGCATTCGTGACGTGCTTCAATGGGAAAAAATTGTCACTGCGCATGGCCAAACACGCCCGGCCTCTAAAGAGGTTATCCTTGAGGAGAGATTATATTCCGCCTTGCTGAAACTGATTGACGCTACCGAGCCACTTTGCTATGTTGGCGAGGGCGACCCCCGTTCGTTGGACCAAGTCTTTCTCAGGCGCAAGGTTTTGCTGTCAAATCGCATTCTCATCCATGGGGTTTCATACCGGCCTTCAGACTTTTCTCATTGCGATAGCAACATTGTTTTTCACAGTTCCCCAGGATCAAAACCGGAGGCTGGTCGCATCATCAAAATATTTCTTCACCATCGGTATTCAACAAATAACGACATGATTGAAGAAACATTTTTAGCCATCCAGCCTTTAATTCCGTTGTCAGACACTGATATTCCCTATGATTCTTACCGTCAATACCCTGTTGCGGGGGGTTTTCTTTGTTACAATGAGTATCACACCCATTACCACGTCATTCGGCCCTCTGGTGTCATTTGCCACTATGCAAAGACCCCTATGCGCATTTCAAGAATACGCCGGGCTTGCGTACACGTTCTACCATTAGATCGCATAAGTGCCTCGGCGACAAGGGATTATGACCCTGACATTGATTCACTAGTTGATGAGGTCCGCTGACCTCCCGTCCCTGGGAGTACACAACGAACAAGATACCGATACGTCCAATGTGTCACAGTAGTTGAAGAAGATGTTGAGAGTCAAGCTTACGATAATTAACAAGTTCATGGTCGTCAGCAGAATGGGAACTAAATTTCGTCCAGTTTTATGTACTCACTCTATGACGGAGCACACAAGATTGATATCTACAATGTTCCTGTGGCAACGGCACAGAGCGCGGAAGTCAATCTTGTCTTGCTCTAGTACAGCTAGAATCTCGTGGATGGATGTCGCTGATAGGAAAGGCGTCTATGAGGAATGTCTCAATGGACTGGTTTGAAGTTTGCGCAGAAAGGTGTCATTGTGTAATATCGTGTTTCCTCAATTGCTACTGTAAATACAATTTGTCGTCGAAGAGAAGACCAATGGCATGTCCATCCAGACTGCAGAGTCTCATGATTATCTGAAATGCCTCTCAGATGCAACAAGTCACCAGATATCTACAAGACGACCTACTGTATCATATAGTACAGCTAATGGGGGCTAGCGCATTCGAACCTTCAATGCTGTACTTCAACAAAGGCTATGTTCGTTACTCAAGAAGTCTGATTTGAGCAAAACCGTGTATCAGGTGCATGTATTGAACCAAGGGCGAGTGACCTAATCTTACTTACATAAAATGGCAATTATATTTTGGTGTAGAATCGACTCGGCGCCTCATGGTCGGCAACAACGAGGACAGGTGAAGCCATCTAAAGGCGATAGGGTTTAGAGTTTGCGTGTGTTCATTTTTCCTCTTCCTTATCCGCGGGGGGCGTGACGTCTCCGAAAATCTGTTCCAGTCTCAGTGCATATGTTCGATTTGGTGCGATTGCAAGTGACTGACATTCACTACTAGACAAAACAGAATTTCCGTCGGTAACTACCATTTGCTGCCGTGATTGTGTGATGTCGGCCCAATAAGCATTCCCACGCACCAGGTGACCCATTGATCACACAGTGGGGAAACTAACATTAATTACCACCTTTTGCCGCCAGTGAAATTCCATTCGAAAGGTATTCTAGAGTGCCTTGGAACACTCCTGGTCCAGATCTGATATTTTGCAAGAGGTAAAACGTTCAAACCCCCGATGTGTGACAGTGACTTACTAGCACTGGCAGTATTACTTCATCGAGCACTGGCTCTGCTTGTGCGTCTCTCATTGTGCGTCGTCTCTTGCGAAACGGTGAGACCATAGCAATCAACGAACAGTGTCTGGTAGAAGGTTTGTGGAGGGGTAACTGAAGAAGGTCCGCGTATGCGACGGTATGTCATATTTCATCAATGTCTACACTTGGTCTACACTTCGATATGAACGCTACTAGGGTTGTAGGTATCCTGCTTGGATGGACACAGTCGTCGCTCGGTCTATATTACCCTCACTGCACCACTTGTGTTCCGCTCGTTCTGCAGAGTCCCCGGACATCCAACACTCGTATCACCCGTCGTGGTACTGGACCCTCCAGCATGCTTATCTCGAAAGTGCCCTCCCAGTCTATCCTAGTCACTTGACCGTACGTTTATGGCCGAAGTTCCGTGAAACGCTATGCGCTCATAGCATCTCTTTTTCTGTTGGTACTAGATTGTCGGGCTCCCCAGCGATCATGCGGGACGTGGCATTGTCTTCACCATGCAGTACACAGTGTTTTGCATGTAGGAAGTTTGACGTCCTTGCTATTATCTTGTTCCTGCAGCAGTACCGTGTATGATTCTCTCCCGATATTAGTCAAGGTGCGTCTTATGCCTGAAGTTTGTACACGACGCTGACATTCTCTTTAAGTCATGGTGTGTGCTCAGCGTGATTTTGTCTCCGTTATCCCCCCGGTGAATACACTTTCGGCCAGTACGCGAACCTATTCACGTCATACACCAACGGCTACCTCGACCAGCCTGCCGCTGCCAATTCCACATGCTTTCCCTACATTTCCAACTCAGCACCACTTCCCTCATCCACAAAGTCCTGAACCAAATATACTCCTTGATTTATGACAGCCCCACAGGCAAGGCACCTATCGGCAAAACCTTCCCCTTTCTCAATCTGTATCCCTCCATTTTGCGCCTGTCACGAATTTCTTCATTGTCTGTCTTCGCCTTTGTGCCGGATATCTTGTCCCGAAACTTTGGGATAGCAAAAAGCTCCTGCGGCCCGAAAAGATGAACCCTGCAAACTTTGCGGACATACGGTGACATTGAATCGCCACTACTACACGTTTTCGCTACTTCGGTGACATCGAATCACCACTACTGTACGTTTTCACTATTTCACATTTGAAAGTCGCCACTCCGAGTCCCCGAGTCGGTTCTTATCAATTACCTTTTTTGTCATCGTTTCAGGGCCCAATTATCAGTCGTTTCATGACCTTTGTCCTTCACATTTTCTCTCAGCCCCCTTTGACGATCATTTTCCATATAACATGGCATGATATCAAACGTTGAATTCACCTTTTCTGACCCATAGGCCTTCTGCACATTCGGTGTTTTCAAAGTCTCAACTCTATCTCTCTCGATCGACCTTTCTTGCTGTGCATCTATCCACAGCTCTGCAATGCCAAGAAACCAGGCGCAGATTCATGGTCTGCTGAGAAAGTCGCTTGTCGGGGAACTTTTGGACACCCAATTTTACCTGTTTTCTGCTCGATCGAAGCGCCAAGGCAATGTTACCAAGCTCCGAGCACTGTATGCCAACAAAAAAGCCCTCGCCACAGATTCAGAGTACTTTAATAGCTGTGAGTCACATGTCTGTTACCACTCAGTCAAGTTCAGCAGATACTTTCAGTGCTTTTCAAAAACACGCTCGATGATCCTGCTTTGGTCGAAGTCGAAGACCATTACACTTGTGAGGGAGGGATTTCTCTCAGTGAATATGGCTATGCGTCCGATAGTGACCTCGATGAAGAGGATGAGGAGGGAGAAGGGGGGGGTCGATCAGATGGTTAAAGACAGTATGTGGATTTACCCGTCATGGCACAGGATTACCTCATGACGATATTTGAAGATGCGAAATGCGTGAATGTTTCTGCGGAACAAATGTCTCAAACAGCATCGGTTGAGACCTTGAATTTTGCTAGGAAGGGAGCGCAGCGCATTATCACAAGTCGCAGAGTATTGGTAACAGATACTGCATTCAACACGTACGGTTTGCTATCCTACTGCTTTGTTCTATTGATTACTGACTTCCATAGGTGGCAAGCTTTGTTGTACTATCTGTACACAGACGAGATCGTTTTCGCACCTTTGCGATCGCAGGGAAGCAGGCCAGCGAGACGTTGCAGCATTGATGGGCCCCCGCCATGCTCGCTGAAGTCCATGTATCGCCTAGCGTGCAAGGTGCATCTCATGTAACCTGGAATACTCTCACGAACTGATACTTGGGATCGTATCAGATAAATCATGACAAATTGCAGGCCAAAGCGCTTGCTGCCATACGATCAAGTCTGACTGAGCCCAATGTTAATATTCTGCAGGAATGCTCTTTGTCTTTGAAATCTAGGTTAGTTCGTTATACATTTTCCTATTTTCCCTAACTTACTATTGCGATACTGTATGTCTTCCGAAGGTTTCCCTCCATTCTTGAGGTGGAAACCAAGAGTTTATTGCAGCTTATCGCCACTGCCACTGCCATCTCAAACTTTTCGATGATCGCCAGTGCTGACCTCCCATACGAGGCTGACGTCTAATCAAACTCCACGCATGGAACACCGTGCACCTTGTTTTTCTATCCAAGGGACGGGTTCACTCTATGATTGGTCTTGCAGTCATTTAGATATACATCCCAGCACTAAACGAAATCTAAAGCATATATGTTACAAGTATTCCGTTCGCCTTTGGATGTTTTCTACCACGAGTTACAATAGTAGATGTCTGTACACTACGTTCGCAGTCGTCTCTTCCTCTTCTTTTCTCGGAAATAGCACCTGAATGTCTTTATGACACCGCACTCTTGAAAGTGCAGTATATAGCTGTTGGTGTGCAAATAAATCTGTGCGCAGGTCAAGCACGGCTAAATTTTAGAGCGTCAGTCCTTGGCACCCGTTGAACGTCGTCACATAGTAAGCGGGCCAGCGGCCACAGTGGAAATTGTTTCTAATTTACGGTCCAGCTTGAATATGACGGATTGAAAGCAAACATGATCCGAGGCAAGCAATGTATCTCTCGGGCTCAGGTATTTTGCCGCATCACTACCGCACCACCGTACCGAAACATACATTTAACGCTCATTTCCGACAACTACTCTAATCATACACAAGATAATTGACTAAGCAGTAATACTCGTCAAACTCATCGACTATGCGCCTCTCAGACATGACTTTGAGAGGCCGAGTTTAGAGGACGTGTTGGGCGTGTTGCGGCACGGATGCGGTAGTGGGCGTGGCAGCAGCGAGTCCTAGTAATATCGTACGAGACAATGGCATTCAGACTCCTTGGTATACTCTAACAGCGAACGTTCGAACTCTCGTTGGCCGCAGGTGCTGCAGAGAATGAACAATGGGGAAAAGACGCTGGCACGCACCAAGACCAATGGAACCCATATGAGGGTCTCCCCGAGCACTGGAATCATGGTGACTGAGATCTGTATGCACCAGAATTTGAAGGAGAACTGGATGTGCGTAACTTTCATATTGACAGTGGAAGGCTGCATTAAAACAGCACCGACCAACAGTGTGAGCCGAACTTTAGTGAAGGAAGTGAGCGGCTGTGAGCCTGAAGTCATTAAGAAAGAGAAACGTACCAAAAAGCCTAAACCACGGCCACGGCCAAGGAAGGCACATAGAAGTACTTGACATGCGCGAGGATGAACATGTTGTTGTGCGGCCGTTCTTCAAGTTGGTAGCTGTCTTTGAATTTCAGGCAGCTCGCGGCGTCGTGGTTGACTGGCGTGTAGTTGATTCCATCTGGCGGTGAAGACCAAGCGCCAGGCGAGACTGCAGGGGTGCATGAATTGCTGAGAACAATGCACACCATGGACAAAGCTGCAGGTATACTTGGTAAGAAGGATCATCGCGTTGGTGCGGTGTGGTAGTGCACAGCCACAAAATCTCAGAATTGCCGCACCCTACCGCATCACTACCGCACCCATAAAGTACTATATTCACTATGATACCACAATAATTCTTACACAAAAACATGTACTATGGTATTTCTTAATCATAAATCATATTCAAGACCTTTGTGGATGACATAGACATACTGTAGTATTTCACTCGATTCGACAGTCACGTGTCACACGCCGACTTGTCTGGTCGAAATTTGTAGCGTGTCATGGGTCACACCTGCGTTTGTCGAATGGCTTCAGTCAAGCCATTTTAAATGGCTGTCACACGGTAGCGGAATCAAGTATACCGTAAGTACCACAGTCTGGCCCGTTGAAATCTTGATATGTCAAAGATTCAGTGCTGTCACTTGTCACACACTCAAATGTCGAAGTGTTGAAATGGTAGACTGTGTCATGTGTCACATGTGGTGTTGAATTGAGTGAAATACTACAGTATTATATACACATATAAGACACTTGTTGTGTAGGGTGCGGCACGGATGCAGTACAATGCGGCAAAATCCTAAGGCCCGTATCTCTCTGCTATAGGGAATCTGAACTTCTATAAATCACTGATGAAGGGTAGGGTACGGACAATAAGTCAGTGTGGTGTTATTAACCTATGTTAATTAGGGCTCCGTGAAAAACTTGGCTCAAGGTTTATGACATGTTTTTAACTCAGGCCTATCCTCGAGGGGTTTTTGACACGAGTTAAAAACTAGTTTTTGACAAGTTTTTTACACAGTCTAGAAACCAGTTTTTCAAGCTATTCTAACATGTTCAAGCTACAACAAAGTGAATGCCCATTGTACAGGCCCTCCCAAAGGCAACGTCAAAGTATCAGATTCATTCTGTGGAGGTGCTGTGTGGGAGCCTTCTACCAGCCTATCAGAGAGCAAGTTCAACAGGCAAGGTGAATCAAGATGAGCATCCTGACTGCCAATGAAAGTCTGACTGTCACTGCCCTGGTAAAGTGGGTCGTGTTCAATTCCTGGATCCTCTTCCTCATCCAACCAACCATCATCATCAGACACTGAATCCAAATCTTCTTGAGTTTGTGCGCTGTCGGCACCGCGCTTCCTTTTTCAAGTGTGGCCATCAATTTCAGCCTCCAAATGTGAACTCGTCAGTTCTTGAAATTTGACAGTCTAAAAACCCGGAGTGTTTTTAACATCGTAGTTTTTCACAGAGCCCTGATGTTAATAGTCAAGTGCTTGCGTAGGGTTATTAACTAGCATGTTATTAACTATCACGTGACCCAAAAATCGAAATTTTTGCTCCACTCGGTGTCCATGTCTTCTAGGTCAGCACCATCCTCCGCAGAATCCTCCTGAGCGCTACCAAAGCCATTGATAGGACTGCCCATGCATTGCATCAGACAAGGCCTTGGTAACAGGACAATAGACTGGATATCACCTAATCTTGCATGTTGCACACCTTCTAGGAGCTGGTGCAGAACCAAAAGCCAGGGAAGGCTGTGCATGGAGATGATTGAGATATGACTCGGAGCTGTCCAGGCCATCAGTACTAAAGTATTTGCACAGTGGTGGTAATTGAAGCTGATGGAAATGAAAATTGGAGGAATGACGAGACAAGTAAGTTTTGACCTGGAAGAATAATAGATTGCACGGAGGCAGGAACAAGGAGAACATTAGTATCTGAGGCTTTTGTGTCGGCCATTTTGAGTGCTCAACTGGTGTGAGAAAGAGGGAAAACAAGTTGAAATTTTCATTGCAAGAGACTCAAATCCCATGTCAGACAATGGCTTGCTTCTCTGAAAGAGTTGCATTGCAAACTTCTAAGTTAATGATCAATGATCTGTGAGGAACGGCAGAAGATTAGAATGCGACCCACCAAGACCATGGGGGTCAACAGACTTATTAGCACCATGTCACCACCCCATGGCTGTGCGCCTGTTAATAACACACCTTTTTTAGCAGTGTTATTAACAACCGACTTTTCGTCCGGCATGTTTGTGCCTGGTGATTGTCTTTTATTCATCCACATCTGACTCCTGAGACTCATTTGCATTCATTTTCACTTGTTCAATATAGTAGTTGCATTGATTTCACTTACATACTATGTATGTACATTGCTGACAACTGTCTACATACTATCTATCTGTGAAGTTGTGTACATTTACTTTTTGGCACTTCATTCATTTTCACATGCTTGAGCACACCTATGCTTGTCCCGAGTCTAGGGATGGATACTGCATAGGTGATTTCCCAAGCATGTACTGGTGGGTGGCTTCATGACGTGCAGTTGCCTTTTTGAGCAGAGTCACCCGTCACCTTGGTGGCGCACCAAAATCCTCATACATACATGCTGCATACTCATACATACCTCATGTGAGTCTTGCAGTGATTTGTAAGCACTACAAGGGCATGCACCATGCACTTTTGTTGATGAGGTTGCTGGCTACTTGAAACCAGGATTCAACCACATGACTCATCAGGGAAAACCTCCCACATGAACTTAGGATGAAGTAGAAAATTTTTGATAAGGCAGATAAACTACTATGTCTTAGAGCTAGATAAACATAAACCTGCTAGTGCTTAATAATTTCAGAATCATTATGCAATATTATAAAGCACTATCTAAGGTCCATGAAACTATACCTATCTACAATATTTAAGCATGAGATACCACCGGCTCGGGCACAATTGTGTCCACCACGTCATGCTGTGTCGCTGCATGGTGATAGTTTCGTCTCCTTTCTGTTTCCTATTTGCTCTTCTTCCATTCACTACTATGGCAATGTCTGCTTCATTTCATGGGGTCCAAGTCATTGGTCTTGATTGACAGAAAGAACTTTTTCTTTTTGGCAATACAACAGATTCATTACTACTCCAGAACTTGGAGACATTCACGTCAATGGCAACACCATCAATGTGTTCACATTCAGTGCGAACACTGCCTCAGCTAAAGACGGCATCTATCTATTGGATGCACGTACAACCATTGGTCTGAAAATGGGATGTTCGGTTCATAGCTATATAATAACTTGTTCAAAATTCCAAAGTGACCTGACACTCCTCAGCAAGCATATCCACATCTAAGATTCATTCATCAATATTAGTGTACTGTAAATGTCCTTCAAGTGTGCACTACCCGCAGACTCAGCATATCTCGTGGATCCATCATTATGGACATGCCCAATGTGAAATTACACTGTCCAACAGTCAGAAAAGAGTCTTGTCATCTGTGTATGACCACCACGGGCTTTTAAACCTGCCCATACTGTAGCATTTCACTCGATTCGGCACCACCTGTGACGTGTGACACACTACACCATTTCGTCGTCGCAGCATTTGAGGGTGTGACACATGACAGTACAGAAATTTTCGGCAAAAGTTAATTTCGACCATGTTAATTTTGATGGAATTTAAGGGTGGCGAAGAGGTTGCGCTGGCAGTCAAAGAAGAACTTGGGCGTGGAAGGAGGAGGCAAAAGGCAAACACATTGTACTCATGCTCATTTTGGCAACATCACGACAGCGAGTAGTACTAGTAGAATTTTTCGCCGTCTGTGACACTTCATAGCAGCCCAAGGGCAGTGACCTGGGCCTGGGCTTGGCTCAGCTTATTTAGACCTGGCTTGGGCCGGAACAGGTTGGATTGCTGCAAGTTTGACATTGCAGCTGATTTTGCCAAAACTTTGGCATGTCCTATGTAGTCATGGTGTATACTTTGCACTGTAAACAAAATTGATAATAAGATAAAATCAGACTTATCTTTGTTGGTCAAAATTTGATTCACCAACAAAGATAAGTCTGATTTTATCTTATCACCAATTTTGTTTACAGTACACAGTATGTATTATCCTCACATTTTGTTAATTTTTCTTCTCCTGACTGATACTGTGTTTGTTATTATAAATAAGGGAAACAACAGTATGGACATAGGAAGAACATAGGGTGATATAAATTAATAGTTGTTTAGAATGCGATCAAAATTAAAGTACTATCTTGCTTGCATTTACAGACAAAAATATCTCAGCTTGCTTCTAATGACAAAAGAATAGACATAAAATAATTACAGTTTGAATTTATTCAAACTGTAAGTTTATAACTTATTGAAAATGTGGTCATCATGTGACCCCAGGGAAAAATCAGAACAAAAAGATATCACAGAGTAAATGTGATGTGTGGTGAAAATGTGTGTATATATTGAACAAAATTCATATGTGACAATATAGCTCAAGCTGATATAAACTAAGAAAAATGCACACAAAAATTAAATTGTTGTTATCATTTTCTGTTAGAATTCAAGGTGATCAGAGTCTGTCTGAGATCACACTGGGTTCAATTTTTGATCCGTGGGCAAATTGGTCCCTGCCCCCAGTGGTAGTGGCCTCCATAGAAGAAGTCCCTGACAAAGATGACCCCCCTCCTCTTATGCCTGACCAAGATAAAGACGACCCTGATTACAACACTAAAGAAGATGTATGGTCAGAAAACTTCGCTCCCACTGTCAAGGATATCTCCACCTATGAGTTAAATGACAACAAAGTTCTCATCGAGTATGCTTCGGATGGTTCTCAAGTATGAGTCATTGAAGAGGTATCTTTTGATACCCCACTCACTCGCGACAGGACATCAAAAGCAGAGCAAGTATACAAGAAGACTAGTAACAAAGCCCAAGAATTTGCTGTAGCCGGAGAAATAGAAAAAGGAAAGAAAAGTTTTGAAGAACTTGTCCCGCCTTATTTGCACGCTTATGAAGATATCTTTGCAAAAGATGGCCTTAACAGACTTCCCCCTGAGCGACCCGGCATTGATCATCATATCGATCTAAAACCTGGATTTATCCTGAAAACATCGAAGATCTATCCTCTGTCAGGCAAGGAACAGTGTAGGGATTCATTTCTGGCTAGGCTTGTAGAGACTGTTTTACCTTACCTTATGTTGGCACTTTTGTAGCTTACATAAGCAAGTAATCTTTTCACCAGTTACCAGTATGAGTCTGAGTGCTCAGCAGTTTTCTATGAGATTTCCTCTCCTCTGAGCCTTAAGCCTAGTCCAGAAACCCTTTAGGGTCAAATAGCAGCTAGGTTCTGCAAGACTCAACATTATTCAGACTGACCATCTGAATTGTTGTACCTTCAACAGGAAGCAGTCAAAGTGTTCATCGAAGAAAACACGAAGAAGGGATTCATTGTACCTTTGAAATCCCCTCAAGCCAGTGGTTTCTTCTTTGTAGGAAAGAAGAGTGGAGAATTGCGCCCTTGCCAAGACTACAGATACTTAAACAACTGGACAATCCGAGACCAATACCCTCTTCCTTTGCCCAAATCCCTCATTGAACGACTCTACAACGCACAATACTTCACCAAGACAGATGTCCGATCCGGTTATAACAACATTCGCATTCATCCTGATGACAGATGGAAAGCAGCATTTACTACCGAGGAAGGGTTATGGGAACCCACCGTAATGTTCTTCAGTCTTATGAATTCACCCGCCACCTTCCAAAGATATATGAATAACTGTTCCCAAAAGGAAATTAACCAAGGATGGTTGGTTATCTACATGGACGATCTTCTAATCTTTTCAAAAGATCTAGATGAACATCGTAACTGAACCAAACTTGTCTTGGACATCCTATGCAAAGAACAACTATTCATCAAACCAGAAAAGTGCATCTTCGATGCAAGAGAAGTGGAGTATTTGGGTATGATCATTCATCCAGGAGAAGTAGGGATGGAACACGCTAAGGTTGAAGGCATTAAGCATTGGCCAAAACCTACTAATGTCAAAGAAACCCACTCATTCCTCGGATTCTGCAACTTCTATCACGTGTTCGTAGCTCACTACTCCAATATCGCATGACCCTTGATAGATCTCACCAAGATGGACCATGCCTTCGACTGGACTGTGGCCTGCCAAGAATCATTTGATTCTCTAAAGCAGTGCTTCCTATCTCAGCCAGTCCTATGCAACCCCGATCCTAATCGACAGTTTGCACTAGCTACTGATGCTTTGCTTGCTGCCACTGGTGCGGTCCTCCTTCAGACTGATGAAAACAGGGTGTACCACCCATGTGGATATCTCTCTCAGTCGTTTAACCCTGCTGAAAGGAATTACGAAATCTTTGATCATGAACTCCTTGCAGTAATCTGTGCCCTCAATGAATGGTGTCACTACCTTGAAGGAAGCCCCCATCCGATAATTGTCTTCGCTGATCATATGAATCTCCTATATTTCTGTCAGGCCCAGAAACTGTCTAGACGACAGGCACATTGGCAGTTGATTCTGTCTAATTATGATATCCAACTCCATCATGTCCCCAGTACTAAACTCGCCACACCGGATGCTCTCTCTCGCAGACCCGATCACAGTCTCGGCAAAGATGATAATGAAGACCAGGTACTACTGCCCGACTCCATGTTTATTCACCTTCTAGATGATGAGCTTAGCACTGCTATCTCTCTTAACTTCCTCGATGATCCACTATTTGCAACTGCCTCTGATGCCTTGAATGGCATCTGCCTCCCTCCAATGAAATCTGCCCTTTCTGATTGGAAACTCATTGATGGAGTGCTCTTCTATAAAGACCATGCATATGTGCCCGTTGCACAATGACCCGACATTCTTCAAAAGCACCATGATCACCCCACCGCCAGTCACCCCAGCCGCTTTAAAACAGAAGAATTGGTTAAATGAGATTACTGGTGGCCTGCCATGGGTTCCTTTATTCGCAACTACGTCGCCAGCTGCGCCTTGTGTCAGCAGATGAAGGCTGACACTCATCCCACCACGCCACCTTTGCACCCCATCCCCTCCTCCGCCACTCGCCTGTTTAGTCAAATCTCTGTTGACTTGATCACTGACTTTCCACCTTCAAATGGCTTTGATTCTGTCATGGTCATGGTAGACCATGGCCTTATGAAGGGGGTAATTATTACTCCTTGCAGTAAAACTATTTCCTCAGAAGGAGTAGCTAAACTCTTCTTCAAGAATGTTTTTAAGTGATTCAGACTCCATGAGAAGGTGATCTCTGATCGAGGACCCCAATTTATCTCAAAATTCTCTAAAGAACTAGCTCGCCTCCTCGGGTATCAGATTGCTGCATCTACCGCTTATCATCCCCAGACTGATGGTCAAACCGAACGACTCAACCAAGAACTAGAAACATATCTGCGAATCTACTGCAGAACTAACCCCCTTGAATGGTCCGACCATCTTCCTCTCGCAGAATTCGTCCACAATCATTGCAAACACAACACTAGGAATATGTCCCCCTTCTTCCTCATGATGGGATATGAACCCAGAGGAATCCCTCATGTTCTTCTGTCTTCTGACACGCCCGCAGCCGAAGAACAGCTAAGAACCCTGCAGAAGATACATGACGAAGCAATCTCTTGCCATAACATTGCTATGCAACAAATGGCAGAAAGGTTGCATGGAAGGAAGTATACCCCCTGGAAGATAGGAGATAAGGTATGGATTACCGCCACCAACCTCATCACTTTGGTCACCCCATTTCAAGTACCTCTTAGGTTATATTATACCTATAAGGGTTTTCACCTAAGGGGTGCTTTTTAGATGGTCTGGCCGATGTTTGTTGGTCTTTCCTCAAGTGCATAGGGTCCAAAATAAAATATGTTGGGGATGGTCCAACAATCAAAATAATTTTTGTGTGGAAAAGACCACCAGCCAACATTGGACCATACATACATGGGATTTTCCCATGGTGGAGGGGTGTTAGGGGTCCTCTTACCACCCAATTTTCTGCGCCAAAAAATGAAAATTTTGGGCGCATTCTTGGCACCTAATGTGCAAGCTAATGGGTCACATAATGACTGTAGTTACTATTAGATATGTCTATGAAATAGGATTAGAAAACACAAAATGATCATTCATTCACTGCCCCCCTCAGCCCAGGATCTCTCTCTTCTAAAAATGATAATTTATTCATGCCCCCCCTCAGCCCGGGATCTCTCCCCTCTGAAAATGATCACACATCTACCTCACACCAATATGTCTATAAAATCACCTACACCTACAGAATCATCACTTGGGGATCACACTATTCAGATATTGATCCACCAATGCCTGGTCTCAGCTACTCGCCTACACCTACAGAGTCATCACTTGGGGATCGCACTATTCAGATATTGATCCACCAATGCTAGTCTCAGCTACTCACCTATGCCTACAGAGTCATCACTCGTGGATCACATTATTCAGATATCCACCATTAAGCCACCTGGTCTGAGGGATGGGATATCCCCACAATCCAGGGAAGGACCACAGTGGATGAGAAAGGCCCATAATCAATTACGGGAAGGACCGCGATGGATGGGATAGCCCTGCAATCAATTCAGGGAAGGACCACAGTGGATGGGAAAGACCCAAAATCAATTATGGGACGGACCATGCGGAATGGGATAGCCCCGCAATCAATTCAGGGAAGGACCACAGTGGATGGGAAAGACCCATAATCAAATATGGGAAGGACCGCAAGGGATGAGATAGCCCCACAATCAATTCAGGGAAGGACCATGGTGGATGGGAAAGACCCTTAATCAATTATGGGAAGGACTATGAGGGATGGGATAGCCCCACAATCAATTCAGGGAAGGACCACAGTGGATGGGAAAGGCCCATAATCAATTATGGGAAGAACCATGAGGGATGGGATAGGCCCACAATCAATTACAGGAAGGAACACAGGGGATGGGATATCTTTGTAATCAATTATTGTCACCCTTGTCCTTAGGTAGATCTACGAGGTGACTCATGATGACATATGTGTCACTGCCGACTTCTGTGGTGTGCTGATTGGAGTGCAAGGCAGGATGTTATATGCAGCATGATTTTAAGTGTATTACATGGTGGAATTGTGGAGAACTTGTCTGATTCAGCATGTAATTACAGTGACATTGTCATAACACAATTTCAATGGTATGGGGTAGAATATGGTATATACAAGTGTGGATTAGCATGACTCAATGAAATGTTGATATCAAAGGTATAGTGATAGGGGGGGAGGGGTGAAATTTCCGCAGCAGAAGCTTACTGGACCATTACAAGAGTGGGGTGTGTGATATCCGCTTAGACGTGAGGAGAAGTATATAGATCTGCCACCTATGCAATGACCATGCTGTCGTGCTAAAAATTAAAATATTGGTCAATCAATGGAAGTGAGGTATAGTATGACGTGCTCACCATGACAATGTCTGCATCAACATCCATACACCACTCCAATTCATCAGCCACCTGCAAAATAACCATGCTTTCATGCTAAGAATTAAGATATTCATCAATCAAACAAAGTGGAATATAGTGAGACATGCTCACCATAACAATGTCTGCGTCAACATCCATATGCCACTCCAATTCACCAGCCGCATGCGCAATATCCATGCTTTCAAGCTAAGAATTAAAATATTCATCAATCAAACGAAGTGGAATATAGTAAGACGTGCTCACCGTGACAAAGTCCGCATCAACATCCATATGCGCCTCCAATTCGTCATACGGCTGATGGATTTCCTGTAGCAATATTAAGTGAGATTGCAAGAGTAAAGGTGAGACATACCATTATGACGTCTCCATCAACATCGAACAAGAAATTGGTTACGACGTCCATACTCCCAACTGATTTCTCTTCAGGCTTCTGCATTCCCTGTAGCTAAAGATGTCAAACGTAAATTCGCAATAATGTTGTACAAACCACATATGTTGCGCTTTCAATCATTTCTTATAGTTAGTGTAGACGGGAGATGAAGATAATTGTTGAAGGTAGTGAAATGGGATGTATTCTTGAAGCTGATATTGAAGTCTAAAGCATAAGTTGGTAAGCAAACAAAGCTAGATTTGGATCACGGTAAGATTGCGCAAGGACTGAGCAATTTTGAGCATTTATCAAAATTATTGGGTCCTCACACAACATCAATTGTTAAAATACACATTTCGAACATAAGATGAGGCCTACATGTATCATAACTAACTCGAAGCATATGCGATGAGACAAACATGAGAATGCATAAGAAAAACATAAGGAAAACATAAGCATAAGGAAACATATGAAAAAACATACGAAAGGAATAAGCATAATGAGTAGACGTTACCAGAAGACGTTGCCAGAAGTGGACAGTAACAAGGGCTGCAAAGTTAGTAATACTCATCTTCCTCAATGATTAGACGGCGATCAGGAGATCTGACAGTTGGATGATAATGGCGGCACTGCGAGGAACCGGCACAGGAGATTGGCACAACAGAGGAACCGGCACGGGAGGTCTGCACAACAGAGGAACACAATGGCAAACGAGAACGGGAGGTGCTGACAATTTGCGACTGGGCCCGCCCTGAATGTATATGGGAACTGATACAATAATATGACAGTCAGCAAACATACGTAGAAGTCAGGGTATAGCAACACACTTGTCATGCACCCTGACACGGTGCCTCTCCTCTACCATTTCACGCTCCAAGTCTTCAGTCTCCAGAGCAGATTCATAATGGGGCTGAGTCTGTTTTCGAATATCTGAATTGTACGTTGGCATAACATCATTATATGCATGTTGATGTCGCAGTGCTCCATTGTGGGATGGCTTGTATCGAGAGCGGGACCAGACATGCAAATAATCTGAGGTTGGCACAGGAGTTGACGAGCGTGAAATAGGAGGGGGAGACAAGAATTGCGAAGATGGTGTTGATGGTGACGAAGGCGGGAGGTCATCAAAGACTCGGTTAGTAGGGCGATGCAAGTGTGGGGCTTCCTGGGGTGGCAATGAAGGCAGGAGATCCTCATGGATAACTCGGTTAGTATATTGATGAGAGCGCGAAGCTTCACGGTTGGAGCTCGGAGCTGCATTGTTGAAGTACAAAGCTTCCTGATTGGGGCGCAAAGCTCCAATAGTTGAGCGCGAAGCTGCTGAATTAGAGATTGCGGGTTTTTGGATTACCTCGTTGGTGCAGCGTCTAGGAGTGTCAGTCTTGTGGAAGGTCCTTGATGAACTTCTCCGAGTCTTGGAGGGTGTGAACAACCCTGCCATCAGTGTTGATGACGAGCAGGATGAGACATGCATTTGAGGCCTGCATCTTAAGAGCAAGAATATCACCTGTGGTTGTGATATCAGCTTGTGTATGATTTGCAGTATCCAATACATACTTTCAGGCCATCTGCTGATATGCAATACTACACTTGGCTCCTTTGCAATCGGCCCCTTCTTCCTTCCCTTGTCGCCTGACTTCTTGGACTTGCCTTTGCGCTTCTTTGCCTTCGCTGCCTCTGCCTCGCTGTCGTTGTCGTTGTCATCAAGGCCTAACTCGGCCTCGTACATGGCTCCGAGATGAATCCTGAGATATGGAGCAACCAACGCACATAGTTGACTTGCAGATAGAGCCTTGAGATCAAAATCAAGGCCAGGCAGGGGGAACACCGGTGGGCCAATCATGTATGCAAGCTTCTTGGCATATAGGATGTCCAACATGGTCAGCCACCTACTGTTTGAGGTTTTGAGCGGGTGGCCGGCCTCAGCTATACAACATATAGTCAGTACAGTAGAAATACACTGCAATTAAACAGAACATACCAAATTTCTCACTGATCATCATGGGCGCCACCTTTCTGTTCCTATCCCTGGCTGGCTTGCCATTACACAAGAGGGTACTGTTCGGAGTGGTGGAAGAAGGGGGGAGCAAACTGAAAGTCTTGCCTTCGGAATGTGCGGCCTCCAAGTCTTTGTACCTGGAAGTAATTTAGCACTGACACCTATAAATCATACAAGACACACTTAAGGATTGTGGTGAGCTCATCTAGCCAACACTTGATATCCAGTTGGTGTGAGTTGATGAGGGCCTTGACCATGTCAGAGCCGGCGAACAGTCCTGATGCTTGGCGGCCTGCCTCTTTGTCACCAGGGAATATTGCCACACTGGCAATGTGAATGCCATGGGTGCGATGCCAGTATGCAGCCTTGATCATAGTTAGTCTCTGGATCAAGATTGCATGAATACGACACTTACCGATTTTGTGAAAGCATCATGAACAGCCATCATCAGACCTGCAGCAGATCATGATGTAAGGTCCTCGGTTGAACCCGCGACAGAACGATCCCAGTTCTCCAGGATCTCCTTCCACACTGATAAGTGCTGAGGGTCACTGTGTGGGTGGGCCTTGTAATGAGCTTGTTGCTTCACCTTCCAAGCCTTAAGATCTGCTGCAAAAATTGTTTGCATTATGAAATCAATAATGACTGACTGCAACACACCTGACGACACAGCTCCTGATACTCCTTTAGGCGGGGGGCAGGTGACTGCGAACCACGTCTGATGTTGGTTCCATGGAGACTCCTTCCGGGCTGCCTTCATCGTCAACCCAGCTTCGATGAGGATCGTCCTTGCACTTTTCCCATATTATTTTCTGATTGCTCTGGCGGCTTCCATTGTATTCTTTCCAAGCTCCTGTGCCTTCAAGATACCTGCTTGAGGTATTCTCCCTTTGATCTTCACAGAGTCTTTATCGTCCTCGTCTTCGCTGTCGTTGTGTTCATTGACGTCCACCATCACCCTGGACTTTTGCTTTTGTCTGGCCGTCAACCGAGATGGAGACGGGGGGTTGCTTGCAGGGGAACCATCATTGTCATCACCATTGTTTGCAGCAGGCATCAACAGTAGCTTGTTGTGCTTTCTTGCGCAGCTCTTGGTTGGCAGCCCAGTCACTGTCAGATGGAGAGCTCTCTTCACCAGTCGTTACGATCAGGTGCATATGACGTGACACCACATGACCTACATGGGCAGCCAGTAGCAGGAATAGCAGAATTATTTCCGCCATCCTCTGCACTGTGTGACTCAGCACAGGCAGCTGTATGCATAATTAGTTGAGGTATTGGATATAGACGAATGTCTATGGCTCACCTGAAGTATCCTTACCATGATCCTTGCTTCCATGTCCTGTGTGCAACTCAGTAGGAGTAGCTGTATTCACAATTAGTGGAGCTATGAAACACGAAAGAGTGACTATCTCACCTGAAGTCCCACCATTGGGGTCATTTGATTGAACTTCAGAGGCAGGATTTGGATCCTTGCTCACAGTAGTGCTGTGTGCTTCAGTGACCAATGCAGGAGCTGCTAGGCAATAAGTCAATACAGGACATTCACACCACAATAAAAACTGTACTTGTTTCTATATCGCCATCTTGGGTGTCGGCGCATATTTCTTCATCTGCAAGGGAGGCGAATTCAGCATGTGTCAATGAAGTGCCATCAGCAAGTTGAACATGAGATGGGCAGGATTGTTTATCTGTAGCGACATCGGGGGTCTTTGAAATCACTGATGAGCGCCTTGAGAAACTGGCCTCGAAAATCCCCTCCTCAGCGGATGAGGTCATGGGGCCAGAACGTTTGGACCAGTGCAAGCAGACGAGGCTTGGGTGGAGGACGGCGATGAGTTATAGATGACTAAGAAGTAAGTGGGGACACCGTCATATTCGCAGATATAGCTTACCTCTTGTGGATCATTGTCATTGTTGTTGTTGTCGATAATAACACTCTTAGGCCCAGGGTGACGACGAGGGTGGGGGCGTTTTCAAGGCTGGATGGACTGAAGTAATGAAAAATCAATCATGGTTGACAAACTTTCAAAAAAAAATACTTGCCTGGATGGTATCTGCATCAGACTCAGTATGAATGTCCGCTGCCTTGCTGCGAGTCTTGACATGACAGGAGTCAGCTACTACAGACGTCAAGAAGATAAAAGAATACCTTGGGTTCATCAGGCAGAGGGGGATGCTTGACATAACGACCTGAGCGGGTAGTAACAGCTGGCATTTTCAAGAGAAACGATAGTGTTCCTATGATCACGGAGATACGTGGAATACAAGTTGAGAACTCAAAGTTTGCTCAACAATATCTGGTCGACACGAAGTCAGACAATGTATGGATAGTAGAAGATGGTGAACTGCAAACAATAGTGAATTGAGAAAGTGGAATTTGATGCACTCGGACTTGAGAGACTCATTACCTTTATAGTTTGAAGTGCAGATGTTGTTGCCATAAACACTAGGGTACATCACTGAAGCTAAACCTTGTTAGCTGCTAAATAATAGAAAAAAGATCGACCTTGGCCTTACTGGAATTTAATGGTGGATTGGAGGTGGTGGCTACGTACAGTGCCCAATCCTTTAAATTGGTCAAGTCTGAGACTGACTAAAATGGAACGAGTGCATCGCTGGCTGGGAGATGAGCCAATGAGAACCAGTGTCTGGCAGCCGAAGAAAAGTTAGCGGACAGATCAGCAGGTAGTGAGCACATACAGAGCAACACTCGGATCTCATTCCAGATTTGCATCCAAGACAGGAGAGGTCAAGGCCCACTGATATACAACCCTGACGGCGAGATTGGCCAATGAAAGACTCAGCTGACCCTGACTAATACAAAAATGAGTGGGATGGATCTGACTGATTGGCTAAACCTAACTGTTTTGAGAACTTACATTTTGAGAAGACAAATTGCTGGTCGGTCAGCAGTCAGAGGCACACCCAACTCTGTCGGTTGCTTAAGAACAAGTCAGATGCTAATTGTGCAGCTGGAACATGTAAAATATACCTTGTCGAGCACCAGCCACTAGCAGATGAACATCGAGAGATGCGAAGGGTGCTTGTGTCCTAAGAATAAATCAGGATTTTATAATATGGTAACAAGGTAAGTTATACGTACAGTTTGGCGAACAGATGGGCGAGTAAGTGTGAGGTGGCTATTCATGCGCAAGTACTTGTGACATTAATCAAATCAGTCAGACGATAGTGGTATCCTAAACAGTCACATCTATGCGCTTGTCGCAAATGAATAAAGTAAATACACTCACCAATTGGCAAAGTCTTAACAGATTGTCAAGTAGCGTAGCTGGGTGGTTGAAGGAAAAAAATATCCTCTGTTGACATGTGAATGGAATGTCGTTATATGAATGAAGTGCAAATGCGACTCACCGATGTCGTAGATATATGCATGAGATGAGATTTGAAAGTGGTGTAAAGTGACGAGGGCTATAGTGGGTAAAGTGCAATTGTGCATCAGGAGACATTGTAGATCAAAGATATCAAAAACTCACCGATTAGATTGACGAGTGAAAGGTGCATGATTGGCACATCTGAAATATGAGAGGAAGTCTGCAGCAGCGTGTGACGCACCAGAAATAAGTCAAGTGCGAAGGAAAAGCATGCCCAAGAGGGTCTTCAACCCCACTGGCACAGCAAAGTATGAGCGACCAGGGCGACCCTCCAGACACGAAGTCTAGGAGTGGGAGATCAGTGATGCGAAGTCAACTGATCAAATGAGTGAACGGCACAAAGCCAATTCATAGTGCCAGGAACCGTCGTTGTTGGACATATCGAGGGCGGGGAAGGCGGGATTGAGGGCAGCGAGGACAGTATAAAGGACGGAGTGTTGTCGATGTCGATGAAAGAGTGAAACTTGTGAATTGTGGGACTTTCCCACAAGTCTACAAATGTCTGCAAACTTCGACTTTTTGACTCAATTGGGAAGTTCCCACCTTGTTACTCAATTGTCTCATTTCCTTCTCTGCATTCTCCTTCCCCAGTTCCAAGTTCCTTCTTTGCCCTCAGACCACAACATTCATGTGTCAAGCCCATCAAGCTCATCATCATGATTGATCCAACAACCACAGTTCCTGGCGTTTTGAATTGGCTTCATGCCATTCACTCATTTGATCAGTTGACTTCACATCGAGGATCTCCCACTCCTAGACTTTGTGTCTGGAGGGTCGCCCCAGTTGCTCATACTTTGCTGTGCCAGTGGGGTTGAAGACCCTCTTGGGTGTGCTTTGCCTTCGCACTTGGCTCATTTCTGGTGTGCCACACGCTGCTGCAGACTTCCTCTCATATTTCAGGTGTGCCAATCATTCACCTTTCACTCGTCGGGCTCATCAGTGAGTTTTCGATATCTTTGATCTACAATCTCTCCTGATGCATATCTTACATTATAGTGCCCGTCACTTTAGCTACGTCTTCCTTTTTGGTAAGTATCCTTTTCATCATCTCATTAATCTGTATACTGACCAGTGCTTAGACTCTCACCATACCATATCAAACTCTGAGGTGTGTTTGCCTTATACCTGTCAGCACATATTCTAACTTTCACAGTTTTCCATCATGCCCAACACTCTGACTGATGTTCAAGGGTGACCTGACACTTCATGCATGTATGTGATTTTGTCTTTTAGCATTCTTACTTACTTATGTGCATGCGTCCTGCAGCTTGGTTACAATCTTACGATGCTGTCGCCATCGTCAGTCCAGGACAATCTAGTCATCACTACGCCCAACATGCAATTCGTTCCCAAGTTCCACCATTTTGAAGAAGAAAATGTACAAGCCCACACTGATGGTCGTTTCAGTGTCGTCGACTGCTTTCAATGGCCTCAAGCCTATGACAACATCTTTTGCAATTCCGTCTGCATTCCTCGTAAGGAGGCTTACCCGTTCCCGCACCCGCTTCACTGGGCATGGTACACTCCTGAGCAAAAGGACTTCAAGACCATCCCAGGCAATTTGTTCCCTGTAGGCATGCTTGCCTCTGACAAGGTCAAAGGACTGGAGTCACTCCTCAAATTAGTAGAAAAATGTGTACAGGACTGGAGGGCCAATCGACAAGGCAAAAAGGATGTCATCATCAATCGTGTTGTCTCTCTTTGACACGGTATCTCGTGGCTCAAAAAAAATCCCCTGACATTTCGTGATCTCCTCATCTTCGTCACGGATGCCTAATGCCTCTTCCTCGAAATCCACTCTTTTATGGATTGGGTTCTCATTGCCCAACCTTGCATCTCCTCTGGTGTTGGGACTGTCATTGTCAATTCGGAATGGATGGGTGCTTTCACGCATGACAGTGACATGTGCAACAAGCTCCACATGGCTGGTGTGCCCGTCTGGTGTGTCTGCACGATGGCATATATACCTGCCAATATGAAGGTCCACAAACCCGTGTTAATTACTCATCCGGATGACATCGTCATCTCGATGTATGCGGAGGGCAATAGAATCCGCCCTTACAATATCATTTATCATGGCCAAGGTGGCCACCAGCACCAACTTCATGTTTGTTGCCTGTACGGTGGCACAGCTTTCAGAAATCCTGATGTCGTGGCTCCCTCATCCGCTTCATCCAGCAGTTTCTCTACTCCTAGTTCTTCTGCTCTTGTGCCATCCTCTCAAACATCCGCTGCTGGAAGAGCACCTCAACAAAGTCTCAAAAAGCATAGGCGACAGCCTTGTAAGTAAACCCTTTCTAATTGCTTTGTGTTACTTACTACTGTATCAGACTCAAAAGAGGCTCAGCCCACCCAGCCCTCCCAGTCAGGGGAATCCAGGGACAAGTGGAAAGACCCTAAGAGGAGCCCCTTCAGTGACAAATTCCATATTATACAGGCCACCTGACCTCCATAATATCCCGTATGAGATGGGCCAGCGGATCATGGGCCCATGTTGTGTATATTCTCGATGATGACGGATGGGCCGGGACACATATTATTTCTGATGGAGATGGGTGGGCCCATGTATGCCAATGATATATATATCCTTGATGTTGACGGATGGGCCAGGGGAATATGATCATTCATGGAGATGGGTGGGCCCATCTGGGTAATATGTAGAGTAGGATATTATAGACAGCTGGGCTGAAGAGAGATGTAAGGCAAATATTGTTATATAGATGGGTGGGCCGATGGGGGTGTATTACATATATGGGTTGGCCGAGGTAGGGGAATATTACATAGATGGGTGGGCTGACGTGGGGTGTATTACATATACAGGTGGGCCGGCATGGAAAGTATTACATATACGGGTGGGCCGATGAAAGGGATATCAAATAGACCGGTGGGCCGAGGGTGCGATAAAATATTTATTACATAGACAGGTGGGCTGAGGTGAAGTATAATTATATAGACGGGTGGGTTGATGTAGGATGTATTATATGGATGGGTGGGCCAACATAGGATGTATTACATAGACGGGTGGGCCGACATGGGGGAATTATACATAGATGGGTACATATATGGGTGAGCCTAGATATGTTTCATCAAGACATACAGCTGATGTAGCCACCAGTGAATCAAACACGTAGGATACATGCACACTATGAGTGCATATACCTACCATCGACCACCAAATCTAAACCCCTAAGCACAAAAACATGAATAGACCATGTGTGGCATTGACCAATAATTGAGGACTGAAGTGGAAAAACCCCACACCTGAACCCTGGTGTGCAACATATCCTATTTCTAAGCATGGACACCAGAAGCATAACACTCACAAAAATATACATGTCAAATTTTCAGTGCCAAACCCCAAACCAAGATGTACCAACCCCCAAACCCCGAAATTGTGGACTGCCGGGTCTCGGGTTTTGGGGTTCAGGGGTCCTGGCACTCGGAACTTGGGGAAATTTGGGGAGATCAATAAAATTTGATGTACAATTGAGTTGATTGACAAACACATTGACTTACATGTTTGAAATATATTTTTGTTTACACATACCAAGTTCTGAGTTCTGGACCCCCCAACCCTGAAACCCGAGACCCGGCAGTCCACAATTCTGGGGTTCAGGGGTTGGTAAAATGTGTATGAATATATGAAAGATTGAATGAAACATTTTTGAAAGATGTCTCATATCAAATGTCAAGTCCCAAATTTCGGGTTTCAGGACTCCAGGTTTTGGGACTCGGCACTCCCAAAATCCAGAAGTTGAAACTCGGGATTTGACATTTGATATGAGACATCTTTCAAAAATGTTTCATTCAACCTTTCATATATTCATACACATTTTACCAACCCCCGAACCCCGGAATTGTGGACTGCTGGGTCTCAGGTTTCAGGGTTCAGAGGTCCAGAACTCGGAACTCGGAACTCGGTATGTGTAAACAAAAATATATTTCAAACATGGGTAAGTCAATGTGTTTGTCAATCAACTCAATTGTAAATCAAATTTTATTGATCTCCCCAAATCTCCCCAAGTTCCAAGTGCCAGGACCCCGAAACCCGAGACTGCTGGGTCTCAGGGTTCGGGGGTCCGGAACTCGGAACTCAGTATGTAGAACAAAAATATATTTTAAACATGGGTAAATCAATGTGTTTGTCAATCAACTCGATTGTAAATCAAATTTTATTGATCTCCCCAAATTTCCCGAGTTCCGAGTTCCAGGACCCCCAAACCCCAAACCCCAAACCCGGCAGTCCACAATTTTGGGGTTCGGGGGTTGGTAAAATGTGTATGAATATATGAAAGGTTGATTGAAACATTTCTGAAAGATGTCTCATATCAAATGTCAAGTCCCAAGTTTTGATTTCCAGGTTTCAGGACTCCGGGTTTCGGGACTCTGGGCTTCGGGACTCAGCACTCTTGAAACCCGGAAATCGAAACTTGGGACTTGACATTTGATATGAGACATCTTTTAAAAATGTTTAAACCAACCCTTCATATATCCATACACATTTTACCAACCCCTGAACCCCTAAATTGTGGACTGCCGGGTTTCGGGGTCCGGGGGTCCCAGAACTCGGAACTCGGAATTTTGTATGTAAGACAACAAAAATATCTTTCAGGGTTCAGGGGTTAGTGAAATGTTTATAGATATACGTAGGTTAATTCAAACATGTCTGAAAATTTTCGTTCATCTCAAATGTCAAATCCTGAGTTCCAGGGCTTTGGGACTCGGCACCTGGCACCCGGCAGTCAGGGTTGGGGGTTTCGGCACTGAAAATTTGACATTCGGGTGTTCAGGTTTCGGGTGATATCTAAATCAACAACTTCGAGTTCTGCCAAAGTGTGAAACTTGAAACCCAGTGTGCAACATGTTGATTTTTCATTTATATCACACAAATCATCGAGTTCCGAGTGCCAAGGGCCGAACCCTGAACCCAGAGACCCGAAAATATGTACACAACATGTCCATTTTTCACTCACTGCACAAATCACTGAGTTTCAAGTGCCAAAGTGTGAAACTTGAAACCCAGTGTGCAACATGTCCATTTTTCATGTACATTACACAATTCATTAAGTTCCGAGTGCCGAGGGCCGAGACCCGAACCCCGAGACCTGAAAATATGTATGCAACATTTCCATTTTTCACTTGTTGCACAAATCACTGAGTTTCAAGTGCCGAAACCCGAAACTCGAAACCCGGTGTGCAACATGTTCATTTTTCATTTACATTACACAGATCATTGAGTGCCAAGGGCCAAATCCTAAAACCCGAAGCCCAAAAACATGTATGCCACATGCCCATCTACTCATTGCACAAATCACCAAGTGTCGAGTGCCTGAAACCCGAAACACGGTACTTCAAATGGACATGGATTTTATATTTGTATGTATTATCCATTGGTGTAGGGTTGAAATAACTTGGGAATTGTATTTGTCAGTGCTCAGTACTCGGTAGTTGGTAGTTGGTGGTCGGTAGTCAATATAGGCAAATGATAATGAAAAATGAAAGTTGTTATTATGCTTAACTTCCTTACTGAAGGTTGTAGTCCTGAGTCTAGGGGAGTGTATTGGTAGTCTTTTCTTGTCCATCAGTTATCATTTAACCGAGATATAAGCTAAAGAAATCTGAAACATCGGCAATAATGAAAAATGAAAGTTATTATTATGTTTGAGTTCCTGAACAAAAGTTGTAGTCCAAGCCAAGGTGAGTGTATTGGTAGTTTTTTCTTGTCAATTGGTTATCTCGTTACTCGGTACTCAGTACAAGGGAATCAGTACTCGGTATTTGGTTCTGATACTCAATACCCGAGAATCAGTAGTCGGGTACTTGGTACTTGGTTCTGATACTTGGTACCCGAGAATCAGTAGTCAGGTACTTGGTACTTGGTTCTAATTCTCGGTACCTGGGAATCAATAGTTGGGTACTCCAGCCAATAGTCCCGAGTCCCGAGTACTGATACTTGGTATTCGGTAGTCAGGTTTGGAACTTGGGTCTTGGTTTGGTTATCATTTGACTGAGATATTGGTAGGCAATATTGGCACTCAGAGCTCGAATACTGACTATCAACTATCAAGTGTCGGGACTTGGTAATCGGTAGTTGAGACTTGGTGCTTAAATGGATATTGCATATATACATAAAAATACAAAATATGTTCCTATGTGTTCATTTCTAGGTGAATAGACTTTGTAATTATATCTCAATCATCTATTCAACAATAGAAACAATGTATCAGGAGCTCAGGACCATAGGGTAATCCTTTATTGTATAGTGTACCTCCCCCTCTTCTGGTGGTTCACCCACTAGGGGTTTTTCCCTGTAAAGCTGGACCTCAAGGACTGTAGGGAGTCTATTCCTGAGCATATTTGGAGTAGATATATCATATAACCAGCCCAGGACACACAAGATCCTTCTCCAGGAACAAAGCATAGACAATTGCACTTGTGACATTTTTTCACAATCTTCAGTATCTTGCCCTTGCATCCATGATCCAACCTTTCAATATATAATGAGCATAGCTTATATTCTTGCTTCTTATGACCAAGATCAGCTCACAATAGGCTGGAGTTTGTGAGCTAGTGTGTATACTTGCCATTTCGCCTGATAAGGGGCCCATGCCTTCAAAACATTGAATCTTCATAATCAGAAACCTGGGGTACATTTCAAATATCTTAAGTATCATAGACATAAATTTACAGACAAATCAACCAAGAATTGAGTACTGAGGAAGTGAAATGGGTAAGAAATTGAGTGTGGGAAACTTCAAAGACCCAAAGCATCGAAAATGGTTAGTTGAGCAGTGGTAGGACTTTAATGCTGGGTCAACTCATATTTTCACTATATCCCTTCTACCCACCCCCTACCCTCAGGGCAGTAGGCAGTATGGGTTCCTTGGGTAGTTTACAATCTATCCTACATATTTGTAATGATATTTTCGGCCTGAATCATATATAAATGTGACTTTATATAAAAGATGTCTACTGTCACTCTCCACACATTCATTTTGCCTATCATTACATCAATCCTTCATGAATATTTCTAAGCTTTTAAGCTATTATAATGGATGTATATGGGTGTTATTCCAGGTCTCTGATCACATCACAGGCTTGTCATGTTGGATATCTCGACATAATGTGCAAGTCTCGCTATTAATATTCATTCTTTATCTTTAGACTCACTTACTGCACACATGTATTTCATTTGTCATTATTGATGTTTTGGATTTCTTTAGCTTATATCTTGGTCACATGGTAACCAATGGACGAGAAAAGACTACAAATAAACTCACCTAGACTCGGACTACAACCTTGATTAAGCTGACTACTGATTCCCAGATACCGAGTATCAAAACCAAATACTGAGTACAAATTACCATGTACCGAGTACTGCGTAATGAGTAACAAGATAACCAATTGACAAGAAAAGACTACCACTACACTCACCTGGACTTGGACTACAACCTTTGGTAAGGAAGTTAAGCATAATAACAACTTTCATTTTTTCATTATTGCTGATGTTTTGCTGAATGACAAGGAAAGACTACCAAGTCACTCACCTTGATGTGGACTACAACTGTCATTTTTCATTATCATTTGCCTATATTGACTACTGAGTCTCGAGTACCAACCACTGACCACCGATCACTGAGTGCCGAGTACCGAGTACCGATAGGGAATAGCGTGGGTGAACCCCGGGGTATGAGTAGCACTACCCCCACCCATACCCCATGATATACCCACACCCACCTTGTGGGTGTGGGTTTTTTGGTGGGTATCAGGGAAAAACTACTGAGTCTCGAGTACCAACCACTGACCACCGATCACCGAGTCTCAAGTCTCGAGTCCTGAGTCTCGAGTCTCGAGTCTCGAGTCCCGAGTCCCGAGTCCCGAGTACCAACCACTGACCACCGATCACTGAGTGCTGAGTACCAAGTCCCAAGTCCCGAGTACCGAGTGCTGACAAATACAATTTGTGTCCATTTGAAGTACCGGGTTTCAGGTTTTGACACTCGACACTTGGTGATTTGTGAAATGAGTGAAAAATGGACATGCTGTGTACATGATTTTGGGTTTCGGGCTTTGGGTCTCAGCACTCGGAACTCGATGATTTGAGTAATGTAAATGAAAAATCAACATGTTGCATGCCGGGTTTCGAGTTTTGGGTTTCAGCACTCAAAACTCAGTGATTTGTACAGTGAGTGAAAAATGGACATGTTGTGCACATATTTTCAGGGTTTGGGGTTTGGGTTTCGGCCCTCAGCCCTCGGAACTCGGAACTCGATGACTTGTGTAATATAATTGAACAATGAACATGTTGCACACCCGGTTTTGAGTTTCGGGTTTCAGCACTTGAAACTCGGTGATTTGTGCAACAAGTGAAAAATGGAAATGTTGCATACATATTTTCGGGTCTCGGGCTTCGGGTCTTGGCCCTTGGCACTCAGAACTCGATGATTTGTGTAATGTAAATGAAAAATCAACATGTTGCATGCCAGGTTTCAAGTTTCGGCACTCAAAACTCAGTGATTTGTGCAATGAGTGAAAAATGGACATGTTGTGTACATATTTTTGGGGTTCGGCCTTCGGAACTCGGAACTCAATGACTTGTGTAATATAATTGAACAATGGACATGTTGCATGTCAGGTTTCGAGTTTTGGGTTTCAGCACTTGAAACTCAGTGATTTGTGCAACAAGTAAAAAATGAACATGTTGCACACATATTTTCGGGGTTCGGGTCTCAGACCTCGGCACTCGTAAATCAATGATTTGTGTGATGTAAATGAAAAGTCAACATGTTGCACACCAGGTTTCCAGTTTCACACTTTGGCACTCGAAACTCAGTGATTTGTGCAGTGAGTGAAAAATGGACATGTTGTGTACATATTTTTGGGTCTTGGGGTTCGGGTTTCGGCCCTTGGAGCTCGGAGCTCGGAACTCAATGACTTGTGTAATATAATTGAACAATGGATATGTTGCACACCTGGTTTTGAGTTTTGGGTTTCGGCACTTGAAATTCAGTGATTTGTGCAACAAGTGAAAAATGGAGATGTTGCATACATATTTTCGGGTCTCGGGCTTCGGGTTTCGGCACTTGGCACTTGGTTATTTGTGTGATATGAATGAAAAATCAACATGTCACACACTGGGTTTTCAGTTTCACGCTTTCGCACTCGAAACTCGGTGATTTGTGCAGTGAGGGAAAAATGGACATGTTGTGCACATATTTTCGGGCTTCGGGTTTCAGCACTCGGAACTCGGAACTTGATGACTTGTGTAATATAATTGAACAATGGACATGATGCACACTGGGTTTTGAAGTTTCGGGTTTCGGCACTCGAACTCAGTGATATGTGCAATGAGTAAGAAATGGACATGTTCCATACATATTTTCGGGTTTTGAGCTTCGGGTTTCAGCACTCAGCACTCGGAACTTGATGATCTGTGTAATGTAAATGAACAATCAATGTGTTGCACACTGGGTTTTGAGTTTTGGGTTTCGGCACTCAAAACTCAGTGATTTGTGCAGTGGGTGAAAAATGGACATGTTGAACAATGGGTTTCAGGGTCTTGGGTTTGAAAAATAGCATAATAACAACTTTCATGTTTTCATTATCATTTGCCTATATTGACTACCGAGTCTGATAAGAGACCCCTTGGATGATTCATTGCTCAACGAAATACTACCTGATTGGAAGTGTGCTGGTTATCAGATATTCATTTGTCAACTCCCGGGTCCCGGAACTCGAAAGTCGGTATGGTTGACCCAAATTTGGGTGGTCAGAACTTGGCGTCTCATAGGGCAACACAAGCTTCACACCCTGGATTCCAAATTCTGCAAGACAACCTGTGTACCATCAAAGGCCATGTCAGGAGATCACCTGCTGCTCCGGGAACTCGGGAACTTTGATTTATTACCTCCTCTGAGTACGGTTGACCCAAAGGTTGGTAATCGGAACTTGGCTTCTCATAGGGCAACACAAGCTTTGCACCCCGGATTCCAAATTTTGCAAGACAACCTGTGCACCATCAAAGGCCATGTCAGGAGATCACCTGCTGCTCCAGGAACTTGGTAACTTTGATTTTATTACCTCCTCTGATTTGGTTGATGTACAACTACCTCAGCTCCATCATGTCTACAATTATGATACACATGAGCCCACCCATCAATATTTTATACCACCCTCGGCCCACCTGTCTAATACAACATCCCATACAACACCCTCAGCCCACCCGTCTAATTGATATGTGTCTGGGCCCACCCATCTAATACAATATTTTATAATACCCTTGGCCCACCCGTCTAATTTAATATGTGTCTGGGCCCACCCATGAATGTGATAACAAGTACCTACCCATCTATCTCATACACATCTACCTTAATACACCCATCTGCATAATATCCAAGTACCTCGGCCCACCTGTCTACCTAATATTGATGTACATCGGCCCACTCATCTACTCTATATATCCCCTGCATGGGCCCACCCGCCTCCATCGGGAATAATTTGCCTCCCGGCCCATCTGTCATAGTCGAGGATATTTTTATCATGGGCCCATGGTCCGCTGGCCCGTATCATATGGGATATTATGCATGTCTGTTCCCTTGTATTATATGGAGATAGGTCACTGTAATATGTGCTGAGAGCCCATATCTTCCGCCCTCTCTTTTGCATTGGGATGATGCCCTCAAGACTTGCAACAAGGATTCATCTCGCGTGCACATGCCCTATGCCATCGATCGGGGATACAGATTCCCAGAACCCGCTCTCCTCCTCGGTCCCAAGCTGCTGGAGCGCCTCCAGGGTTATATCGCTACCTGGCTTGCCTGTCGTCCACTATGGATTGGCCGAGTCGATCACGACCCGCCACACAATTACCCTTCGCCACAGCTCTGGCGTGACTTCCTCAGCAGCGGACTGACAACCCAATCACAAGGTGCAGCATCCAAAGGCAAGGATTCCAAAAAGAAGGGACCTACGGCGGCGGAGAAGCGCAAGGCGGTGATAAGGGACTTATTTGGTGATGATGTGTTGGAGACTCAGGGAGACCTGTTCGCATGAGAAGGATCGGTGGAATTTCGTGGCAAACAAGTGTTGGTTGCCAGTCTCACTAACCCTCCACAGCATCTCACCCAAAGGATCACATGGGAGTTATTTGAGCTTGGTTTCCATTATGAGCTGAGGGACCTCAATCGCTACCTGGCCCGCAAATATTGGGCAGATGATCTGATTGGTCACAAGCAGCTCCTTCATTCTATCTTCCCTGGCGAGGCTGGATTAGTCATGTGGTCAGAACAATTTCTGGAGGACAACTACGGCATGTGGAACAACACCTTAATTGGTGTTCTACCCTACCTGGAGAAATTCCATGAACTTATCTGTACTTGGGACGATGCTCCGCCGCTTCTGATTGTGCCACTGATGCCAGATAGCTTTACAGATACCAAGTGTTGGGAAGTCATGCATTCTGCGACTGCGTTTTATGTGCAGACATTCTTTTGTCATTTTGGCAGGCCCCCCATCGTTCCCCATTCCATCCCTTTGTGATCGATATTATATTGCAGCGTAATGATGAATTGTACTATGTTCCATTACCTGTTAATCTCCATAACGCGCTGTCAGATAAGGTTATGCTTTGTATTAGTAGGCTCAGCATACATTGCAGTGTCCCCTAGTCCCAATTTAGTAACAAGGTGAGTGCCTCACACTGTTAACTCTGATCTGATATGTTTTTGTAGACATCCTACTCCCAAGTCATAGCTAGCGACCCATGTCGTCCTGCTACTGTATTTTCTATTAACTTTGCCATAGCTATTATCTATTTGCTCACGCGAAATGTATGTTTCTCTGCTTATGTTTCCACTAATTCCTACAGTACAATACTTATGTCAGGAGACGAGAAAGTATCTGCTATGCGGATACATTATTGAGTATTTTATTTATTAATTTGACGTTATCGTTACCCTGATTCACTCCTGTAGTCTGCCAGTGAATCACATCCCCAGTACTAATCTCCCTCAGATTTTTTCTCCTTTGCACTCCAAGTATTAGTCATTGGCTCTCCCGGTCAAGTATTGGTTCTCTGGACCCGATATTGGTCGTTGACTCTCGATTGAACTCGTCCCAGACTGTGCGCCTCTGGATAGTTCCTCCAACTGACTCTGTGTCGTTGGTGGCCTTCTGTGTGACTTCGAGTCAATGGCATTTATTATGGCTGTTTGTTGTCCAAAGCCACGCCATTGTGAACCCTCCAAGGTAATCTCCCGCATGCAAGAAGAATGCCCTTCAATTCCGCCGCCCATCACTATTGTCTGTGAGCCTTGGATGAACACGGCATGGCGATGTCTTCGTCAGACAAGAAAACTCAGTCTATATCTCCTTGCCCTGCCTCCCGTGTTGGTCTTGCCCGGATGCCAACACCTCACGCAGCAAAACTTCTGCCGTCCGTTGCCTGCGTCCAGGACATCGGTAACACAAGAAGATATCACTGATGAGGTTCTCTTCAGCGACTCCCTACATTTCTCCAATGATCCTATCGGCCATCATCTGACCAGCTCACAGAAAAGGGCCAACCAGTGGCGCAGATGGTCACAAGACGTCATTCCGTCCCTACTTGTACCGTATTTATCCTATATGCAACAAACTTCGGTGTTACGTTATACCAATGCACTGGGAGAAGCTCAGCAAGATCTTGCAGTTTGTCAAGCTGGGTGTAGGACTCGGAGGATTACAGTTGCATGTGTGCATTTCGACGGTATGTTATTTTTCACTCTTCTCCACAATATATCTCACGTATCTTCCAGCATTGAAAGAAATTAACATCATCACATGCCCGTGTTTCCCTGTACCCCTCCAACTCCTTCATCATGGTCTGTTTCCATGCGCTCCTCTCGCTCCTTCACTCACGGTCGACTTGCGCATTTTAGAGTTCGTCCGTCTTCTCTTTGTATGCCAGGCTCCCAACCAAACCGCGTGGTGCAATGCGGTGGAAACCTTTCTAGATGGAATGGGGTACAAGTTGTCATGCAAGGTTAGCCTTTCCAATCCTCTCACGTACAATGATGCTCAGTCTTTCATCAGAATAACTTGCGTCGTCGTTTCAGCAATACTTTCCACTGGTACCGAGTGCTGAGCATCTTGGTTTGCAATCACATTTCTACTGTCATCGCTGACGTTCGGAGGGGTCAGGCACATATCCCACTCATCGATCAGCCATCTGAATACCTTCATTCTCGTTGCCTGCTTTGTTTCAGAGGAAATGCTTGCCATGGAGCAGATGCTCGTTCTATGTAAGTTTGTGTCTCAGCTTGCATTGTACCACTTTTAATTGACAATACCAGCCCAGACGTTGTTGTTTGCATAGATGCCTGCTTTACTCAAAAGCGATTGACTAATCCTCGCAATACTAGCAGTATCAACCCTCCTAATCCGACTCCAACATTCTTTCTGTTGAACGACGATGTCAAAGCGATGGAGGATTTTGTAAAAAGTTGTCGCAGAGAAAGACGGCGAACGAGAGCCTCGAGAGCGGAAGAGGAGGAGGATCACTATGAAGAAGGGATGCATGTGCCAGTGTCTGTGTTGAATGGATGCAGAGAATCCTTCGTTGCTGCAGACAAAAAGCGTGAAAGGGCAAGTACTCGTTTTTTTACCGACACAGGCCTGATGGCCCTTCTATGCAGACATGACCGTGTCCTCTGGCTTGTCAACCTCACATCAGCAGGGGAAAAGCAACACTATGCGCTCGCTCTCCTGGACCAGTTGTTCAAGCACATACCCCCTCAGATGACCGTAGGACTTCTCTATGACATCGGATGTCAACTTGAACGAAGCTGCCGAAAATGGAATCTTCTCGATGACAATACCCTATCGCGCATATCCTTCGCTGTTGCGGTATTCCATGCCTATGGCCATCAATGGCCCTGTCAGATCATCTACCATCCGAGGAAGCGCGAGGGTTTTGGATTGTCTGATGGTGAGGGATGCGAACAATTATGGAGTTCTCTCAAGCAACTCATCCCATCGTTACGCATTTCTGGGGTAAGTAAGTCTATATTCACGTGTATATCTTATCTCTAATTCTACTGTAGTTCCATCAACGTCTCTTCATCCTTGATGTTCAAATTCACCACCTGGACACAAAATCCATCCAAGGCTACGGACATTGACTCCATCAGCGATGGCTACATTGCCAAATTAAGAAGAACGTGGCTCTGGATGGTTTACTGGACTTAGATGTCAACGAGGATATCCTTCATGCTGAATGGAAGGCACAAATTGCTCACCAGACCCGACCCATCCCACGTAAAAGTTTTACTAGTGTTCTTGCCATCTTACTGATTAAATTTTATAGGGCAATCCAAGAACAAGGCGGCGGAGGTCATTACCACTATTCTTGTGCTGGAGAAGACCCTGGATGCTCACGAGATTTCTGTCCATGAGCTAGAGATGCAGCTTTATGTAGGTGCCATTGCTAATGTCGTGGAGTTCAATCTGCAGCTCGCCGACACTCGGTCACGACGTGCCAAAATTGCAGATACCCTTCGACATCATAAGGCTACCCTTGGACCACAAGGACAGGCCGATCTTATGATGATGAAGAATGACATCTACCTTACCATCCGCTTGAATGCTCGCACAGTAAAAACTCAAATTAGGGACCGTCTCCGTCAACGCAAATTTGAACTGGAGAGGCTAGAGAGGTCATATTGAGCAACAGTAAATGGTACATTACTACTCTTTTTTGCCTTACTTTTTAGCATGTCTCATGCGTTGTTCAACAGAACACAAGCTTCGCTCGAACACCCAGTATTCAATCAAACAGCGAGAACCTGCAATTCTCAAACTAGTTTCAACTTACAACAGCCTATGTACTCAGCTACAGTCCCTCATACATCAACAGTGAGCTCCCCCATCTGCTATTCCCCCTCATCCTATTGCTTGTGAAGGCATCTTTCTACTCTACGTGGATGATGAAATCTGGCAAGATATTGGCCTCGACGATGACAGCATGCACCCGCCAGCATGGTTATCGGATGAGGCCACCAGGTCTGGTATTTGTTTACAGCTTGAATTAGATTGTTGCATTGAAGAGGAGACTTGTTTGATGCGAGAGCGGTCTGTGATGCAGGAATAGATGTTAGCAGAGTGGGAGGCTGTCCAGACTGCATTGAGAGATCCTGGTGTGTGTAGTCAGAATATACCATGACCGACATTTAATTTTTCGGCAGCCAATGATCTCGTGATGCCATTCCACCTCAGGGCCCACGCAGAGGAACTTCTGTCCATCTGTGTTGTCTGGAAGAACAAGGTTCGAGAGATCCCTTGCGCTTGGCCAGTCGAGCATTGGGGTCCTACAAACAAGGATTTGCTTCGAGCCACTCGAGACCAGGTGCAGTCATCATTTTTCCAGGATGACAATGATGATGAGAGTGTTGGAGTGGTGGATGAGAGTGATGAGGATGGTGATCTGGCATATTCTGAGGTTGGAGATGATGAACTTATGGATGCGATTGAGGAGGTTGCATTAGCTGATGAGTACAGGTATCAGGATGAGGACTTTATTGATGACATTGACATTGAGGATAGTTTTATGCCTTCATCACCTACCAAATCGACACCTAAAAAACGGCGCCGCATATAATATCCCCTATTTACATTTACATTTAACACTTGTCACTACAAATGTCACAATTAATCATTTATTTTGATCATTTATTTAAACAACTAATACTGTGAGTCAAAGGATAAGGAAAATTGGGGTTAAGCATGAATATTGGAACAAGAAAGCATAGTATTGACTGGTAGATATACCTAAGGACAAGGGTGACAATGATTAGTGGCATAGCTGCATATGGAGACCATGTGCATCCTTCCCTTAATTAATTATGGGCCTTTCCCATTGCCCATGGTCCTTCCCTTAATTGATTATGGGTGTATCCCATCCCCCATGGTCCTTCCCATAATTGATTGTGGGGCTATCCCATCCTCCATGGTCCTTCCCTTAATTGAGTCCATCCTCCATGGTCTGTCCCATAATTAATTGTGGGGCTATCCCATCCACCATGGTTCTTCCCATAATTGATTACGGGCCTATCCCATCCACCATGGTCCTTCCCTTAATTGATTCCATCCCCCGTGGTCCTTCCCACCATTGATTACGGGGTTATCCCATCCTCCATGGTCCTTCCCTTAATTGATTATGGGCCTCTCCCATCCACTATGGTCCTTCCCAAAAGTGACTGTGGGCCTGTCCCATCCACTGTGGTCCATCCCATAATTGATTGCGGGGCTATCCCATCCTCCGTGGTCCTTCCCTTAATTGAGTATGGGCTTTTACCTTCCTCCATGGTCCTTCCCTTGATTGATTATGGGCCTTTCCCATCCACTGTGGTCCTTCCCAAAAGTGATTGCAGGCCTGTCCCATCCACTGTGGTTCATCCCATAATTGATTGCGGGGCTATCCCATCCTCCATGGTCCTTCCCTTAATTGATTACGGGCCTTTCCCTTCCTCCATGGTCCATCCCATAATTGATTACAGACCTTTCCCATCTACTGTGGTCCTTCCCTCTCCCCGAGTGATGACTCTGTAGGCGTAGGCAAGTAGCTGAGACCAGGCATTGGTAGGTCAATATCTGAATAGTGCGATCCCTGAGTGATGACTCTGTGTGCATAGGCGAGTAGCTGAGACCAGGCATTGGTGAATCAATATCTGAATAGTGTGATCCCCAAGTGATGACTCTGTAGGCATAGGCGAGTAGCTGAGACCAGGCATTGGTGGGTCAATATCTGAATAGTGTGATCCCCTGTCATATCCTGTATTCCGGACCTACATCCGATAATATTCCCACGCCTCATCCGGACCTTCGGATGTCCTATCCATGTCTCCAGTACCCATCCGGATCCCTGCACCTCTGCACATCCACATCCGCATGTCCACATCCAGATCCCTTATCCTTCGCAGCTAGCCTGCATCATTCATCCTTGTCCCGTTGCCCTAATGCCACATCCTATATATCCACGCATCTCATCCGGACCATATCCGATCCGGTCCGATCCGATGTATAGATCCATTTCCTATCTGATATACAATAAGCTTCATAATTCATTTCCTGTGCATATAATGTTAACACAGCCTATCCGGTATTCCTTGTTACCGGTACCTCAGTTATATCTATTACCGGTATGCTTACTGATCCATTAACCTATGTTCATTTCCGACTCGCATTTGTCAACCTTTGCATATGCTTCATACATAGCCTCGGACTCTGCTTATTGATCCTTCCGTTATTTCTCTTAGTATATAAACTTGTGTATATGTCTTGTAGTACCTCAGTCTGAATATCATATTAGTCCTCACACTAGTCTTCACTCTAAGTCCTCATATCAGTTCTAGTCTTCCAACTTAGTTGTTATCAATCTCAGGCCTAGGGAGAAACTCCCTAGGCCGGAGCTCTGCTTATCCGATACTCCGCTCATCCGCTCATCTGATCCTCCGTAGTTTCCGGAAGTTCATCCGGATCTTTCCCGCGGTCCTCCGGACCTATTCTGCTTCGGACTTTGTCCTTGCAGCCTTTCCTCTGTTTACTTCTACTCAGGACAAGTCCCAAGTAGCCATTATACATATCCGTATCAGGACGAAACCTCATCGTAATTTCCGGAAGTTCCTCCGGAACTTTCCCGCACTCATCCGGAAGTTACTTGCACCCGTCCAGAAAGTCCTTCCAAAGTTTCCCGCGCCTTCGGATGTCCTTCGGACGTCTTCGGACTTTCCTCGGACACCAATCTGAAATTAAGGGCACATACTCGGGTAAGGGGCGCAGCGCACGAGCTGAAGCCAAGCCCCTCAGAATCAGTCCTACCCTTTGTGCATGGTCTTAACATCCCCAAGTGATGACTCTGTAGGCGTAGGCAAGTAGCTGAGACCAGCATTGGCAGATCAATATCTGAATAGTGTGATCCCCAAGTGATGATTCTGTAGGTGTAGGTGATTTTATAGACATATTGGTGTGAGGTAGATGTGTGATCATTTTCAGAGGGGAGAGATCCCGGGCTGAGGGGGGGCATGAATAAATTATCATTTTTAGAAGGGAGAGATCCTGGGCTGAGGGGGGGGGGCAGTGAATGAATGATCATTTTGTGTTTTCTAATCCTATTTCATAGACATATCTAATAGTAACTACAGTCATTATGTGACCCATTAGCTTGCACATTAGGTGCCAAGAATGCGCCCAAAATTTTCATTTTTTGGCACAGAAAATTAGGTGGTAAGAGGACCCCTAACACCCCTCCACCATGGGAAAATCCCATGTATGTATGGTCCAATGTTGGCTGGTGGTCTTTTCCACACAAAAATTATTTTGATTGTTGGACCATCCCCAACATATTTTATTTTAGACCCTATGCACTTGAGGAAAGACCAACAAACATCGGCCAGACCATCTAAAAAGCACCCCTTAGGTGAAAACCCTTATAGGTATAATATAACCTAAGAGGTACTTGAAATGGGGTGACCAAAGTGGATATCTGGCATAGTCATACGTTCATTCATAAACTTGTTGCATATTTGTAGAGTGCCTTTCAAAATGATGTATCCCTGGCATAGTCATATATTCCTTCACAAACTTGTTGCATAATTGTAAGATATACCTCAGAATGACATATCTCTGGCATAGTCATATATTCATTCATAAACTTGTTGCATATTTGTAAGATGTACCTCAGAATGACATATCCCTGGCATAATCATATATTCCTTCACAAACTTGTTGCATAATTGTAAGATGTAACTCAGCATGACATATCTCTAGCATAGTCATATATTCCTTCATAAACTTGTTGTATATTTGTAAGGTGCCCTTCAAAATGATGTATCCTTGGCAGAGTTATATATTCTTTTCACAAACTTGTTGGATACTTGTGAGATGGACCTCAGCATGACATTTCTCTGGCATAGTCATATATTCCTTCATAAACTTGTTGCATACTTGTAAGATGTGCATCAAAATTACATGTTCTTGGCATAGTCATATATTTGGTCATAAGCTTGTTGTGTACCTACAAGGTGCCCTTCAAAGTGATGTGTCCTTGGCATAGTTATATATTTTTTCATGAACTTGTTGCATAATTATAAGATGTGCGACAAAATGACATGTCTTTGACATAGTCATATGATCTTTCATCAACTTGTTGTGCAAAGATAATAATGTATAATTCTAAATCTGGATGTATCATGATGGGTTTTATTTGTCAGCTCTACCTGGTCATATCAATTCCAAGTTGATTTCCTAATGAATGGGAAAGATCATATCGCTTGGGGAACAACCAGTTTATGATGGGAGAGACCACTGGTATTTTTAACTGCCATCAGGAAAGACCACATTACAATGGGAAAGACCAGATCACAAGGGGGAAAGACCATTGCGATATTTGAAACTAATCGGGAAGGACCAGATCCTGAGGGGAAAGACCAAATAGTGATGGCAAAGTCCATTAATGCTTTCTATATCAGCTTGATCTGGGAGGAAGAAGTCCTTGAAAAACTTGACTGAGTCCCAAAGCTCATGGAGGACCTCGCCATTCATGTCGATGACCAGGGGGATTGAATACATTGAGGGAGACTGAGACTCTAAATGTTCAACATCATCTGTAGTATCATTAGTGCGTGCATAAAAGAGACAACTAAAAAACATACACTCAGACCATTCTCTAATGGACAACACAATGTCCGGCTCCTCTACTATTGTACCCTTTGTCCTTCTGTTGTCGTTCAACTTCTTTGATCTACCCCTATGCTTCTCTGTCTTTGCGGTTTCTGCCTCACTATTGTCGTCCTCATCATCTTGACCTAGGTCAACCTCATACATTGCCCCAAGATGTATCCTCAGGTAAGGAACTACCAGTGCATGCAACTGGCTTGCTGACAATGCTTTGAGATTAAAATCAGGGCCGGGGGGCGGTACACTGGTGGGTCATTTAAGGATGAACAGCTGCTCAACATAAAGAGTATTGAGCATGTCCAACCACCTGTTGCTGGAGGTTTTGAGCGGATGGCCAGCTTCAGCTACCAATGAGACATGGTGTAGAAGAGGAACTGGTAGTGTAGATAATAGGGTGGTATGAGATGTACTCAAGTAGTCCTCAATGAGCGAGATAGTGTGTCAACCCAAGTGGATTGCTACTGAGAAGGTTCCTCTAGTTTATATGTGGAGGGAAACACTGGACCGGGCGCTTGGTCAAGCCTGGTAAGGCATGCAACGATGAGCGAAGCACGAGCAAGCGAAAGCGATGTGAAGCGCTAATGAGCGACGACGGGCGACGATGAGCGACTATAACGGAAGCACGCTGTGTGGGTGGTGGAGCGGAGCAACTCTTAATGAGTCGGAAAACAAATTGACAGAGTTTCTAGTAATGTATGGCGGTGGGCACTCATATTATACTTAGATACTTAAGGTTGGTTGATAGGTATGAGGGAGAACTTAGACTTAGAGTCCAATGATGTGCGGGCAGAAAGATAATCATTATACAGTTTAGGCACGAGTATATATACTAAGTAATTTAAGTGCTGTCAAGCGCTAAAGCGAACCGAGAAGTGAAGCGGATATGAGATAATATGTAATATAAGGGTCCATGACAAAAACATACAGAATATGGCCATAAGCGCCAGAGATATGTCAGAATAAATGGAAATATGATAGGAATATGCACTGACGAACCGAACAGACATGGAATGAATAGATGGAGGACAAGCGACTGAACCAAGGATGCGCGACCGAAGCGCTCATGCTGTGCGAGCAGCCGATGAAGTGCTCGAGTGCACTGGGTGAGATATGAGTTGTGCTATATTAGGAAGTGATTGAGATGTTGGGATTTTACATCCCTGCAAGCCCACAGAGATATCAGTCTCTACAACGGCATCAGTAAATTAGTGACACAATAAAATAAAATAAAACATACCAAACTTCTCATTGATGGTCATTGGTGCAACTTTTCTATTCCTGTCCCTAGTGGACTTGCTGTTGCACAAAAGTGTGCCATTTGGGCCAGTGGTAGAGTGAGGGAGAAAACTAAACTTCTCCTTGCACAGCCTCTAAGTCTTTGTACCTATAATGAAGTGAGCAATATCAAGTAGTATTGTCAGAAAACACACTTGAGAATGGTTGTGAGCTTGTCCAAGATACGACTGATGTCAAGTTGTTGTGCATTGATGATGTCCTTCATGATATCAGACCAAGAGAAAAACCCTGATGCTTGGCGGCCAGCATCCTCATGACCAGGAAATATTGCAACACCAGAAATATGAATACCATGGGTGCGGTACCAGTAACCAGCCTGTGTAATACTTAGTCTCTCCATCAATGTCCTATTAATGCGAGACTCACCGCTTTTGAAAAATCATCATGAATGCGCAGCATCAGAGAACTAGCAGATCACGACATCAAGTCCTCGGTTGCACCAGCAAGTGAACCATCCCAATACTCCTGAATCTTCTGCCACAACACTGTGTGTTTGGGGTCTTTGTACGGATGAGCCTTGTAGTGTGCTGCTTGCTCCTCCTTCTAAGCTTTGATATCCTCTGCAAAGAACATAAGCATACCTAGGGATGGATGAGGGTATGAGTGACCCTTGGAGGGTAAGGGGTAAGGGTACTTGAGGGTAGGGGTGTGGGTTTGGATCTTGAGACCCCTGTACCTCTGAATAATTGATGGTACCCCTGGGCCTAGGCATAATATATCCCTAAATTGATTATCATAGGGCCACTGGGAGTGATGGATAAGTATAAAATTTTGAAGTTGTCAACAGTACAATGGTTATTGGGCTTATTGTGATCTTATATTGTGAGTTTTTAATTATTTGAGTAAGATATAAGTTAAATCTATGTCTCTTCTAGCCTAGATGGTGACAATACCCCTGTACCCTTATGATATCCTTGTACCCTTATAATATCCCAGGGTATACCCCTACCCTTGGTCCAGGGGTAGGGGTGTGGGTTGGGCTCATGGTACCCTGGGTTTACCCCCATCCATCCCTACTCAAACAAGGATCGACAGACTCACAATCCAATGATGAAACTCGATACCTAGTTTGTAGTTACAAATGGTAAATAGAATTTTTTTTTAAATCTAAGACATACCTATCAGCTTGATGATTGAGGCTGATGACATTGAACATTGAGTACCGGTGCGCACAGGTGGAGACAAACAGTGGTCTTCATTAGGTAAGCAGAGGTTTCTACTCAATGTTCCTGTTGATGTCGGGGTTTCTTTCCCATGGGGGGTTTCTCATTAGAATTATCCGTCCTCACAGCCATGTAGGGCGTGACATGGTGTAGAGAATCATGCCTCTCATGGTGTGATATGGCAGTTTTCACTAGGGAGTACATTGCACAAACTTGTAGCATCACTCTGTGTGCTACCTGCAGCTATCCCTATATGAGGCGCAGCTTTCCTGCGCACACTTCCCGCACTTTGCGATGTATATGCATGCACACTTTCCCACACTTGAGTGCCCTATAGTGCCAGCCATCCAGAAGCATCCATCCACTGTCCACCAAGCCCTCTAGTGCGTATATTTCCATTTCTCTTATTAGCATATCGTTCCACCTTTATTTTTATCATGGACCCTTACTCATATATATCTTTACATACTTACTCGGTAGCGCTTCGGCTCCGCATGACAGCGCTTAGGCGCCATATATAAGCGCCAGCATTACATACTATTACCCACTTCACTTTTTCCCCTTACCTACTTCACCTCTCACTTTACCTACCACTTAATACCTAGAAAGTTGCAGTAGAACTCTACACCTCGCATCTCACATCTCTTGTCTTACATCATATCATCACTTAAGCAAGCTTATACTTACTCTCCCGCGCTTCAGTGCAATATGCGTGCGCGTTCCCGTGCCTTGTGCGCACCTGCGCTTTCTTGCACTTCACATTGGCCGACCAGTAGCACTTTCAGCGCATACTTCTAGATCCTCACTGTACTCACTTCCCCTTTAGGGTCAAATGCACTTGTCATCTCAAGTATAGCAGACTAGGCAATGCGCGACCTTACAACATTTATAGATACAGTCAGGAGCCTCGTTCGCACCTCGCTGTATTGTTGTTTCTACAATGGGTCGACCTGGGTCATACCCACACCCAACTCGTCGGTACCAAAAATTTTAGAGGCCTACCCATACCCACACGGGTAAGAGCATCGCAGGTACGAGTCAACCCACGACCCAACCCGCAGGTGGTACGGGTCACCCGCAGGGTGAGTAGACATATTTTGCGATACTGGTATGTACATGTGCTGAGGAGCGAAAACACTATGTACGAAGCTTAGTCCAAGTCAATAACAATATCATTGCTCTTTCCCTTTCCTGAGGCCTTGCCTTTACCCTTGACCATCTTCGTTCGCATGATTGATGTGACAGCACCGAGATCATTCATGAGAGGTGTGTTGTACCATGATCCCACAGCCATCTGAGCTTTGAAGGTTTGCGAAACTCACACCATGCTGAAGGTGGTTGACCTGAAGACGGCCACCTGAAAAAGCCCACTCAGCATCAACAGAGGAAGCTAATTGGTCTCTGTCAGATTTCATCAATCAGCAAGCAAGGAAAATACCTGGAGCAGACAAAAAATCAAGTGCCATTTGTGTGAGTCATGGATGAGTGGCACGAGCATTCTCCCAGTAGCAAAGAAGACCCCCTGCAGCCAGAATCTCGGTTCTTGAAATACATGGGGTGTTGAGGTATGCATCCATTGAGTCAGGATGGACGGAAGTGACATCCTCATCTTCATTGTCACTATAGATAGCCCATTTACTAGATGAACACTTGAGCTGTGACAAAAATTGTTGTTAGTAGGACTCACATGAAGAAAATATAGCACTCACTGGAACATGATGTGTCGTGGTTGAAGGAAGTGACAAAGGAAGTGTTGCGTAAGACTCATCCCAGCGTTGCTGAACAATCCGCTTGGCTTCCATGTGGTCCCTCTCATGCCAGTCCAGGTTTTTTTTGAACCATTTGAGCTTTTTTTCTGGGCACATTACTATATCATAATATTATAGATGAGGACAGAATGATGTGACGGAGATGGAGACTCACTAATTGCAATGTGACACACTTCATTGTCATCAGTGAGTGCATAGTACTTGCCTACAACTTGCAGAGCTGCTTGTGCAGCAATCCAAATTACGGGGGGCTCGTCCTTTGCATTGTAGATCTGATCGAGGGCGTGCTCGAGATGTTTGAGCATGGGGATGACTTCATAAATCAATGGCACATTAGCCTTCGAGAATAAGTTTGTGACCTCATTGAAAATCTTGAATAAAATCAGTAAGCGTTATCATTAACAAATCAATGGGAAACACACCTCAAGGACGGGCACCAAGTGATCAGCTAGTTTCCATTGTGCAGATGTAAGAGCATAGTCTAGTAAATTGATCTGTGTTGTGAATAACTGGACCTCCTCCTTGAATTGGAGATGTGTGTGGAGACACGCAAAATCAGAGTTCCAGCAGGTAGGAACACATTGATTGAGGCGCCGTTTTTGACTGTCTTCACCACGTTTATATATAACAGTCTTCTCAAACTTCTCCTGCAAAGTTGTGCTATCATGCACTTTACGGGCTAGACCAGCCACCTAGAATAATATAAATATTTCAATGATAGAATAAAGACATTGGATCACCTTGGGAAACAACCCGAGAGCTTTGAGTTCCTGTGACTTCGACATTATGATGTTCACCTTCTTGGCTGTTTCGGTAGCTTGATCATGAACCGATTTTACAACTTCACGGTTATGAGCTTCCTTCACTTCATCAACCTCATGGGAGTTGCCAGACGAGTTAGCATCTTCTTCAGTGCTTACATTGAGGCCAGTTGTTTCGTTGTCCAGGAGTTCCTGCTCTAAGCGAGTGAGTACGGTGTTCTCGTCACCAGGTTCAAGGGTAACAATATGCTCGTGAGCTCCATTATCAGTACTGTTGGAATCATCATTGGTATGATGTTTTCAACTTCGCTTGGCTATCTTGACTTGTTTTTTTCATTTCGGGTGGCAAAAAAAGAATGATATGAATGCCTAAGTACGTTGATTAACTTCAACTCAGCTACCAAGATGATAAATGTACCTTTGCAATGAGATTGACGGTATGAGGGAAACATCACAAATGAGAGGCCTGTCCCCAGAAGTTGGGAATGAGCCTCTGCAGATGATCAGTGGTGGTGTCACAGTTGCTAGCGTTATCCATGTTTATTGTGTGAAACTGTAGCAAACATCAGACCACCAATACAATGCTGAATAACTGTGCCTCACCTTGTCTTGAAGCCTGTACCAATCAAGGCAATCAGCGATCATCTTTGCGAGATACTCTCCCATGTGGCTCTCCTTCAGATGGATAAATTCAAGTGTCGCACGCCAGATTCAGCATTGAGTGAGCCACACAACTATGATGCCAAGGTATGAGTACACGAATGGTGCAGTCCAGCCATCAGTGACAAGATGGATCGAGCTAGTGTGTTTCTTAAAAAGTATCAGTATGAACTCCAATAAGTTTGATGGTGGTTTCATACCGAAAAATACTCCTTGACATTCTTAGATCCTTCACGATAAATTTTGTTGATGTCGCGGGACACTGTGCGTGGAGATGGTACAATCATGTCAGGGCGCAATAGTCTAACTTTCTCGATGTACAGAGGATCAGCGACAGATCTAAATGGACGCCTGTTGACAGCGCAGTGCATCACAATGAGGGCACGATGGGCCTCAGGTGTATACTTTGAAATTGAGCCACTAAGGGTTTGCTGGGCGCCCTTCACGTTCAGACCTTCAGTCGAGACACCACGACGCTGAATACATTCTGTGATGCCCCGATTGAGGTTTTTCATCCCTTGTCCGGTTTGCATGCATTTTCGGTGATGCGGCTTATGGTTGACAGGGTCAGTGTGGCACGTAAATTTGAACTCAAGATAGTCACAGCTGCCATCAACTTTCAAACAACGATGTAAGGTTATCTTGAAGTGATCATATGCAGCAGAATTCCATCTAGCTTTAGATGCAGCTGAAAGGCTAGTGAATTTGTTAGTGAAATTAAATGAAGAGGGAGACATACTTATAATCTCGTCATCAGTTTTGTCCCAGACATCAAGATCCATGACATCAGCTTTGGTTCGTCATTTTTTGGTGGGAGACTCTAACATGGGAGTTGAAGACACCACTGTGCGCTTATGGCTACGTGTGTTCTTGGCCGGTGATGCATCATGTTTGAAATTGCTTGTTGGTGTACTGGGAGAGGCGTCCGACTCGGACATGGGAAGGGTTGCAACTAGTGATGTGCAGGGCTGGGCCTGAGGCCCTCAAGCCCTGAGGCCAGGCCCATGGGCAGGCTTTCCAGGGCCTGGCCTGATATTTGACAAGGCCCAAGCCTTGGGCCTGGGCCCTGGCTTGTCCTTGGTGGAAGGTCCAGCAGCAAATCCAAAATGGTAAAACTATACAGTTCTAAAGTTTCTCGATAAGGCAAGTATGTACCGTAACTTGATTGGCTCCACACTCACTTTCGTAATGATGCCTGTCGTGGTGTCTGATGACGAGTCCACATCAGCGCACATTGTGTCTCGACCATGCCGAACTGTCACACTGTCCTCATGGCTCACGGACACCAATAATGATGCAACTCCGGAGCTTTCCATTCACAGGAACAAACCTCCTCCACCTGCCATCACTCAAAAGTCTGCACAATTGAGCAGCAAACGAGCAGCCAATTTTATAGGCAGTCTTTTGGCAGACAAATGTGTGCCTGACGAGGGTGTTATGGAGGACGGGCCCCATGAAAGTAAGCATCTTTTTCATCGTTCATCTCATGCTGATTACAGTCTTTGAATTTTGAAGGCAAACACTTGTGCTGACATGTCTTTGGATGTGCTCACAGGTATGTGATTTTTTTAAACTCGGTGTACAGGTATTTTATTTAATGCTACTACTTGCACTCTAATGTGCTTGACAGATACTCAATCTACAGTGCCTGTGGAAATGCATTCAGGTAAGTTTAAACCTTTGATGTTTCATCTGTTAATGCTGACACACTTTCGAAGGAACACTCGATAGCGAAGGCCTCGAGTGTATCAATGACACCTGCACCACAGTCTCAGACACGAGCAACGCAACGAGAGGTACGTCTGGTATTCACAATGAGTAATATAAATATACACTAATCTTGATTGTATACTAGGACACGCTCAATCAGATGCCATGGACGGCAATGGATTATTAGAAGATATTGATGTCCAAGACATCAGCCCAATCATGAAGGCACACCAGGAGGACAAGACTATGGACATAAGTGCCTTCTTTTGAGCACCATATGCTGCAAAGTCGAAGGATGGCAAGACTCATAATGTCAGAGACTGTAAATCATGCCAGTAAGTGAACAATTGTATTCAATTTCCAATGACACTCATGGGATCACAGCAAGAAAGGCTTCCTGCATCAAATTGTGAGCAACACATCGATGTGTCGACACCATGTTGCATACAGACACTTGGTAAGTTATCTCTCATCCCTCGGCCCTTGACTTATGCACTGTGGCACTGTAGGACACATATCGTAAATGGTGCAAGGCTAACAAATTCGAATCTATGCTGGCTCTAGATGTGAAAGAATGAAAAAATGCAGCCGCAGTCACGAGTGCACAGCAGGGCAGTCTTGATCCTCATCTTCATGAGGTTCAACCAGGCAAACATGTTCTCCCATATTCTGACAAGCTTTTTTGTGAAGCCGCAATCGAGTGGTTGGCATCTACTAACCAGGTATGTATATTCAGTGTGATGTAACAAGATACTGATATCCTTCTCAGCTGATTCAAGCAGTTGATCATCCGAGCTTTAAGAAAATGATTGACACTGCTTCCTGGGCCACAATGGGTGTCCTCATGCCAAATAGAAAGGCAACACGATCCAAAATTATTTCGATCTTCAAGCAGCAGATGACGAGATTAAAGGAACAACTTAATGTAAGTTTGGAATGGCTTTACTCTCACTTGTTTCTGATGCCTTTGAGCAGAGTAAGGCCGCAGCAGGTGCTGTCAATCTAATGTGCGATGCTTGGCAGGCAGCAAATGTCAAGGCATACTTTGCTGTCACTGGCCACTGGATTGAAGAACTGTCTGTTGGGGTTTGGGAAATTCAGAGCACTGTGATCGGGTTCACGCTCCTCAATAATGCACACAATGGGACACGACTTGGCCAGGCACTGTTCAAAATTGTTGATCAAGTGGGAATTGCCCACAAGGTTCGTCATCTCGTATCGTAGTATGACTGCCAGTTGTTTACATGATAATAGATCAGTTATATCACATGTGACAACACTTCAAATAACAATACCATGCTTGATGAGTTTGCACCTCGAATCGAGGCTCGTAGCGGCAAGACTTTTGCACTGAAGAAACATCGTATCAGGTACGCTGTTCTTTGTACATCCTAGGCAGTAATTTAGCTCTTCACAGGTGTCTTGCACATGTGATACATCTTGCCACTCATGCTCTAATCTCGACATATAGCAAAGCTGCCTATTATGATCCTGCGCACACTGAACTTGCCATTCATACGGAAAATGGCCATCGGGATGAGGTAGGCCTTGTTTGTGCAATCACTGTCAAGGTAATATACCATCTGTTATCTATGTGAGGATGGCTGCTAACAGATTTCTAGGAGTGCTCGTCTGCTTCTTGAAAGCAACTTTCAAATATATTCAGAATCGTAATGAGGGTGTTACCTCAGTCCAGCTTCTTCTTGATATGCCTATTCGTTGGTTGTCTACCTATGTGATGCTTGATCAAGCTGAGAAGAAAAAACAAGTAAGTACTTATTTCCACTGCGTGTTTTGAGTTAGTACTGAAGGATTAAAGTTTGTTGACACCTTCGTTTATGAACTCGGCAAGAAGGAGACCAACCTTACAAAACGGGCGAAGATTGATGCTGTTAAGAATGTGCTCAAGGGTCAAATCCGAAGGGCTTGGCTTCAGCTTGTGCGCTGCGCCCCTTACCCGAGTATGTGCCCCTAACTTCCAAAGGCTGTCGAACAATGTCCGAAGGTTACCGGACGATGTCCGGAGTCCAATGTCCGATGCGCGGGATTTCCGGCGGACGTTCAGGAACAAGAGATAAGACTAATCCGGACGAAGTCCAAACTAGAAAGGAAACAGCGGAGGACTACCAGAGGTAGAGGCGGAGGTGTCAAGTCTATAGGATTCAATCCTAAGATGAGCGGAGGACGACGAGAGAGAACTCAAGTCGGATGGAGGAAGGAATGAGCAGAGTCTAAGATAATATTCCAACTAAGGATGTACATAGATTCTACAGGGTTCATATACTACTGAGATGTGAAGTCCGAAGCTATACAAAGCTGTGGATGGAGCATATAGAAAAGTCAAATGCTAGTCTATCGGAAAATAAAGGGCAGACATGAAATGAGGTACGGAAAATGATATAGTCTAACTGGAGTAGGAACATACAAAGGGATAAGGCATGGAAGTTAGACGCGGGTCAGATCCAGACATAGAATAGAAGTCAGCCAGATCCGGATGTCTGGAAATGATGTGTGTTGATAAGTCCAGGTCTGGAACGCGGGATATGACAGATGCACTCAAGCTCAAGTCTGATGAATGGGATCGTGTTAAATTATTTGTAAACTTACTTGCAGTTTGTCTTTTCATTATGATTGATGGTCATCACTGATTGTCCTGAACAGCATGCTGATAATACCCAACAAGCCTTCTCATCTGATACTGGACCTGCCCTTCATTTTGCCCTTCCTGCTCTCGAGGGTCTTCATAAGGCCTGGACCTCTCGCTCGAATAGCTCAAAATATGCTCCCTTTCACACTGCATTAACAGCTGCTACTGAGAAGATCCAAGAGTACTACGAGAAGTCTGCAGAATGTGATGCCTATATTATTAGCATGTGTACGTCAATTTCTTATGTCATTGTCTTTGCTTTTCTGCTCACCCGTGTGAAGTACTTGATCCCAATCACAAAGATAGCCATTTCAAGCGTTTCTGGGGCAAGAATTTGCACAAGGAGGTTCTTGAAGTGACAAACAAAATTGTAAGTTCATTTCATCTTATTTTTTTTCTACTCTGACATGTTACTCGGAGTTTAAGGAAAGGTATATCCAGACATATGGTAAGAATAATGCTCCTTCATCACCCAGGAGGAGGGGATCAGCAAAGTGGGCCAGTGTCCTTCGCAAGTTATTGAGTGATGAGGACAGTGGCAGTGAGATCGAGGCTGAGGTACCTATTGATCCAAAGGAACCATGGATGAGGGAATTTAACCTCTATGTGAACACGATCAAAACTGTGCCTAAAGAGATGTCCATCATCCAGTGGTGGGGGGTATGTGCCAAACCATTAAATAAGATAACTTATTGACCTGGATTTGTAGATTAATGCTCAATGCTATCCTGTCTGGGCCTCATTGGCTCATGACTATCTCTGTATCATGGCTTCTTCAGTGTCTAGTGAACATGCTTTTTCAGCTGCTGGGATGACTCACCTATTACTCCCACCTTTCTAATATAGTAAAGTGGTACATAAGATGTCTACTCACCCTTATATTAAGCTAAAACTCATTATTTGTGAGGACCGGCGGTCCAGACCAGCAATTTAAGGTAACTTATATAATTCCAAGTGACCCAGCCGCAGGAAAGCTGACACAAGCACCGTATTCGGTAATAGCACGCTACCGCTGTTGCACTCAATGCTCTGCTCATCGACACACATGACGAGCTCGATAATTACCTCAATTTTGCTCAATTTTAGGTGCATCTTTTTATATAACCATTCTACTCTTCAATATAACACATCAAAACACTGTATAGGTGTACATAATGTGCCAAAACTTTGCAGCAACATGCTTAATAAGTCTACTAATATGTGCTAGCATTGTTGACATCCTCCCACCTGTTCTCCTCATCTGATTCTACAACAGCAGTGCTCTTTCTATCTCTCTTCGACTTCTTCGACTTCCTTGAAGCTACATAAAGTGCTGCCTTTTCAGTTAGTTTCCTCCTCCGCTTCGACGGCACTCTGAGTCCATCTGCAACATGTTGGGCACCTCGCTTGTGGTTCGTCAAAATTGCGAGAACATTGGATTGCAAAAGTGTTGAGTTGGATGCTGAGGGAGTTAATAAGAATGGATTTCCGTTTGGTGGCTGAGTGTTGGGTAGAAGAGACTCTGTGTGCGACCCATGAGATGATGAAGTTTCTGTAGCAAGTGGAGGTGATGATATGGAGACATTTGGGATAGAAGGGGAGGCTAAAAAATAGCAGAAAGTCAGTAGTAATAATGTACAGAGATAACACAACCACCTCGAAGTGCAGGATCAATGAGATCATTGGTGATCTCACTAGTAGTACGAGGGGCTGGACCTGAGGCAACATTTTGAGCGGGTGTGAGTGGCATGGCATGTTCTGGTGATGTGGGAGAAGATGATGACATGGATGTAGGAAGATGATCTATCTGGTTAGTATAAGTGTTGCTGTCAACAGGGATGACAGGGCTCTCCTCTGGTTCTTGATCTACTTTGTTTGGAGTCAATATCTCACCTGCCTTGATGTGTTTGATGCGTTCATCAGCTTCCTGTCTTGTAATTCGAACGAACTTGCACTTCTCATCTGAAACTGCCCATGCAAGAGCCTCTAGCGTGTCAACTCCACCTTTCAGATTGCTGGGGTTACCCCATTCATTGTGACACCACCCAACCAACTTTGCTAGATGCTCCTGAACCATGCGTTCATAGCGGATAAATTCTAGCGTTGTGTTTGGGTTCTCAGTAACCTTGACTATTTAAATAGATTAGCAGACTATAAATCAAGACGACAAAAATTTATACCTAGACTCTCATTTAGACCACTTCGTATCCCTTGCTTGGCAGCTAACTTGCGGTCTGTGTAACTCATAGATAGAACTGGAAAGGAAGAGAGAGAAACAGTATTAATAATGAGAAAGTATGCAATGAACCAAAAAAAAACTTACCATTTTGTGGCGCAAGCCCAGCTAGCACGGTGGACTCCATCTTGATACCAAGTTTCATTGGATCCTCCCGCAGAAGTGTACGAACAAATTGAGACACCACATTACTTGTCAGGTGCACTTTCAGTAACATGTTGAGGTTTGGTGAACTTCACACTGTGACAATTAACGATTCTGTCCCTACACGTTCCTTCAGCGCTTCAGCCTGTGCCAAGAGACAAGTCAGATTTAAAATCACAAATGAAGAACAATTAAGACTCACTTTGCTGACCATGGCTGCAAAGCTACTGTTTACCTCTGCGAGACGAGTATGAGCAGTTATGTTGACCAGTTTGCTCATTCCAGAAGTCTTGATTTTTTCGAATTCCTCCACCATTTCTGTGCACTATTGGACCATAAGCTTGTGATATTCTTTTGTCTCCTTAGCAATGGCATGAAGATTGGCTCATCGGCCTATCTCTTTATCTATTGGCAATGAATCAGACAAGTCCATTCTATAGTGTTAGATCACATACCTGAATTGAATTTTTCGCTTTTGAAATGCAGAAATGCAGACCAGGCACTTGTCTTGTTGTGCCGCTTTCTCTGTAAGACTGAGCCAATGTAAAACTTTTCCAGGTAATGTCGACAAACTGTAGCCTATTCATCAATATATGTCAGTAAGTCATCCACAGCAGCATCCTCATCTGCCCGCTTTTCATGCTGTCGGGCTGTCAAAGCTTGTCTTGCTTCTCGAGACAGCTTCGGGCCCTTCTTGCGTGTATAGGTGTGACCTATGATGCGGCGTCTGCTACTCAGAAATACTGCTCGAACCATAGCAAAAGAGGTGAAGCGATGTTAGAAATAACATTCATTTCCGTCAGATAAGTATTACAATGCAAACAAAAAAAATCACAGTGAACCGATTACTTTCCGTTAGTGTCACCTAATGCCTTCCAGTCCTCCCACATTGCAACCGAGATTTGATGGACATCGGACTCAGAGCTAATACTACCCCTCTTGGCTAGTTCAGAAGCCCACCTATCAGGAACACATGAATTGAACACCTCACGGCAGACATTGTGAAGGGTGTCGTTATAACCTAAATTCTCTAGTGTGGTGTGAGTTGTTGGACCGAATGGCAGAAGAGGTTTCCCTGGAATTGAATATGATGGTGAAAATGATGCAGGAGGAGACATGCTACTAGATGGTGCCGGTATAGACCCTGCCAGTGAATGTGATGAAGAGGCAAGTGCTGAGTGTGGCGAGGAGGTAAGTGGTGCTGAGCGTGGTGAAAAGGTAAGTGGTGCTGAGTGCGGCAAGGATACAAGTGGCACTGAGTGTCTTGTTGACGAGGGAGTTGATGGCAGCTTTGATGGTATTTTGGATGTTGAACGAGCTGAAGTAACAATAGGCGTAGTTGAATGAGGTGGAGTAACAATTGGTTTAGCGTAATGTTCGAAAGGGGAATCAGGGTTGACTCGCATAGCCAATGGAGAAAGCAAATAGGGTGGCGAATTGTCTCCAAGTGTGAGGTGCTGGAGCCGGTCATCCTACAAAGCAATATTAGTCACAAAAATTTGAATGTGAGCTCACTTACAATATCAAAAGTGTGATCTCTCGGAATTGATTGAGTGCACATACATAGATAATGATATCTCCCGACGTGTCCACTGAATTGATGGAGTTGCGGAATCATTGGGCAAGAATGGCACCATCAAGTTGATAGTTCTTTGAGTGGAGATGGCTCAATCAAGGGAGCCTACAGGCCATCCAAGGATGTTGAAATCAGATGAGTGAGAGCCGCTGGAAGGTAATGGAATGAGAGGGAGGGCATTATAGTCTACATCTGGTGAGCTGCACCTGGGCTCCTGCCTCCATCCGTGCACAAGACAGGCTTCCCGGAATGACTGTGTGACTGGTAGAGCGCACCTCTCGATAAACATCTGTGTGATCTCTGCAATGGGTTGATTGCACCGTAAGGGCTCAGCAAGGAGCTTTGGATTGAGATAAAGTGATGCAGAAAGATCTTGAGGTTGCAGGTCTGTTAATGGTGCGGTTGCACCCGGGTGGTGTATGCAGAGTGTAACACCACCAGACAGGTGGTCAAGAACAGCGCACTGAAAACATGTTGTTGAATAATGAACAGGTAAATGGAGAGGTGACATACCAGGTCATATATTAGTTTTCGCACTCGGAGCAGATGATTAGCTCTCTCTCATGAGGCTGCTTGTTTATTTTCACTTGACATGCCTTCGAAAGTGTTGCCAAGATAGTGCTTTTTCGTTAAAGGGTGGAAGCCTTGGTCTGAACTAAGATGGTCATTGTCACTGTGAGCTCCATGTGCCGACATGGCAATTATTGCTGAGAGCCAGCGATCTGATATGTCTGTAATTCTAGCAAGTTCTAGAGGGCGAGAGAGTTTTTCAAGTAGAGTGCTGATACCATTCATCATGGGCGGCTGATTGAAGGGACTCATTGACCAGTTCATGATTGGATGTAAAATGATGCAGTGATCAAGTGTCTGTCAAATATGGCAATAAGCAATTACACTCAATTTCAGTTCCAGTCGGAGTTCCTGTCTCTTACATTTCACCTTTGCCACATCAGTCTTTTAGATCTAGTATGCAGAGTTCTGCAAGTACATAGTTATCTCGACAGTCATGTTGCACTCAGAAATTTGACAGTGGTGACGGCCAATTCAAAAACTTTGTAACATCACGATTAAGTCAGAAATGCACACAACATTCTACCTTGACATACAATGTAACTGTAAGCTAAACTATATATCAGCTGTGCCTATTGGACCATCATCATGAAGCTGGTCAAAAAAGTCTTCCATCATAGTCTGCTGCTCGCCATCAGGATCATCGTACACATCATCATCTACATCTCCTTCACTGACATCACCCTATAGCAGGGTGCCGGCTATGTGCAGGAGATACCTGGAGGATTCTGCGAGGGTGCGAGGGATATACCTGGAGGATTCTAGGGAGATGTCCAAGTCGCATTCCTGCAGCTCTGCTGCCAGAATATCCTGGGAGTGCCTCGATCTGTGCAATGCGGGACAAGTGAAAAGCATTCATGGAGTGGAGATGATGCCAGCAGCGCTGAACTTCCATTGCGAGAGGGGGATTAGATGTATGAAGTTAAGCAATTACTGCTGGAAAATGTATGGTGTCATGTCGAATCTTTGTGCAAAGTCGTGCGATCTCAACATTGCAGTGCACAATTTCCTCCTTGGATCATTGCAGGTCGAAGTATTTCGCAGAGGCCTGACAATTACGAGGAATTGCCCAATGTTTATGTAGCAACTGATTGTCCGTGTCTTGAAGAAGATCAAATTCAGCAAGCTGTGAGAATTCAACTACCTGCTCCCATGTAATTGGTGGTCGTGGAGGGTCAAGTTGACCTGCATACTTGTTGTAGTGGTTTAGAGCATTCCGGATGGCAGTCGCACGGGTCTTCAGTGCTTTTGCAATCTGTGTGCGTAGCTTATAACCTGAAGAACATATGTCAGAGTATAATCCAATAATATTCAGAGCCTACCTAAGCTGCTCATCTGAAGTTTCATAAGTTCACGCAGCCACATTACCACAAGACGCTCCACATCATCAACGGCTTTATGATACTGCACATTAGCAATATGTCATTGTGCTTTCACACGTTCAGGGTGAGTCATCGTCCATCTCTCCTCAATCCCCATCCGAGTTTCAAAATCGTCGACTACTTGACTTTTCATCTCCATCTTGCTCTGAGTTGTGGTGCGGCGACGACAGATGTTGGCGATATCATTGTTTGTGAATCCATCAGGTATGGTATGCAAGTCAAGGTGATTGAACTTGTGTTGAGCGGTCTCCCACTGAGATCTAAAAAAAGTCAATTATGAGATTTACAGTACAATTAGTCTTACCATGCCACATCAAGCTCATTAAGTGCTTTTGTATACTCAACCTCCACACTGTCTCCAGGTTGCCGTTGATTAGCCTTTTGAAGATAATCATGCTCATCATTCAGATCTGATTCAAAATGTTCAGGGGTGAGATCAAATAGAAGGAGGAATTCACTATCCGCTTGGATACATTCTAATGCCTGCACGTAATTGCGATAAATGAAAGTGCCTAATTATCATTAGTATATATCAGGTGACAGGAGCGATAAACTTACTGAGAGCAGCATATTTGTCTTGATCAGCAAATCGGAAATGTTCATCAAGCACTTGATGCCTGTGAAACTCTGTTGAATTCCGAATTTCGGGCGCTAGGGCATTTGACTCTGAGAATGTCCATTCACAAGTCTCAAAGTCCTCCTTGCCAGCACTGAGCGTGAACTTAGAGTGATGTTGAACTTGACAAAGGCAGTTATGGGCATGTCTATGGAATCCAGGCACGACACCCTCAATACCAAGATCTCATACAGCAGGTCCTAGGAAAGAACATTGAAGGATGGAATGGAATGCATATTTGATGTCATAGCTGTAGAGGAACGGCTCAGCAAAATATCAATCAACTTGTTGATTATCGCCAGTGGATATTTCATCCTGCAAGACAGTCAGTAGACATAACAAGCTAGACTATAACTTACAGCTCGCCACTGCGGACCATGTCGCATATGGACAAAAGGAATCCATGACGGCACATGGCAACAAAAATGCCAGACTTCCGGAAAACAGAGAACATTCGCTTGCGAGCCTCGGGTGCTGCATTACGCCATTGATCAACACAAACATTAACTGATTCATTTGAGTCTTCAGCTTCATTCTCACAATATATCCAGGGATCATCAGGATCCACAGTGTTGGCAGGGGTCGAAGTGTTTGGTTGGCGGCGGTGTCAAGCATTCTTGACCTCATCTTTGAATCGGTCAATGTATCCTTCATCGATCCATATGTCTGATTGCCCATTGCGAGGGTCAAGGTGCTCTCTTCCTCCACGTAATGCAGGGTCTACAAACTTCACCAAGTTATTACCATCCAGTGCGATCTCAAAGGGAAACCTAAGTTCAGGTTCGTCCTGGACCTTGTAGTGGCAACAGGGACACGAATTGCATGCACGCCAGTTGGGACCAGTAAGTCCAAGGACTTGTGAGAAATTTCCAGATACACGTCATATGCAATGCGAAATTGTTCAGCTAAATATCGACCATAACGAACCTGAGAATACTCATTTCCATCATTTTCAACATACTAAATTAATTATGTACTCACATCATGCAAATGAAATAACTTTTTGGCCTCTGCGTTGTAGAAGAGGAATGGGAAGTGGGTGAAAATAGGTGGTGTGAGATAACTCAAGTAGTCCTCGGTGAGCGAGATATACGTCGGCCCAAGGGGATTGCTACTGAGAAGGTTCCTCTAGGTGTATAAACGGAGGGAAACACTGAACCGGGCGCTTGGTCAAGCCTGGTTAGGCGCACGACAATGAGCGAAGCGCGAGCGAACGAAAGCGACGTGAGGCGCCGATGAGCGATAGCAGCCGACGACAGATATCGGCGCGCGACTTATACGGAAGCGCGCGCTTTAAGCAGAAGCGATGCGCGCGGGGGTGATAGAGCGCAGCGACTCTTAATGAGTCAGAATACTAATTTGACAGAGTTTCTAGTAGAGTACGGCGACGGCGCTCGTATTGTACTTTGATACCCTTTCTAGTTTTTAGAGGATAACTTTAGACTTATAGTCCAACGACGTGTGGGCAGGAAAAGATACCCTTACACAGTTTATGTACGTCTATATATACTAAGTAATGATAAGCGCTGTCAAGCGCTAAAGCGAGCCGAGAAGCGAAGCGGACGCGAGATAATATGTAATAAGGGTTCATAACGGAAACATACGAAATATGACCATAAGCGCCGGAGATATGTTAAATCAATGAAAATAGAATCGGAATACGCACCGACGAACCGAACGGACATGGAATGGATGGACGGAGGACGTGCGACGGAACCAAGGATGTGCGCGCCGATGCGCGACTAAGAAGCGACCGGAGCGCTGGCGCTTGCGAGCGGCCGACAAAGCGCGGGGGCGCGCTGCGTGAGGTATGAGTCGCGCTATGTGAGGAAGTGGTAGTAAGAATGGGATTTTAGACCCCTGCAAGGCCACAGAGATATTAGTCTCTACAGCGTGTATACTGAGCCTTGGGCACACACGATGCATCTGACAATAAGCTTCGAGTGTTCGTATGGTAATGGCAACAGTGGGCTGTAATGGTGATGAACTGATGCACCCATGTGTCATGAGAGACACATGAATGTGTGGCGAGCAGTGACTGAATACACCCTGCTGTCGTTCTAAGAGAATATTAGATACATACATGCAGTGAAGATCAAGTTCACTCACCAAAGATGTCAACAATGTTTATAGAAAAGGTGTCTTCTAAGACTGCGGTGCTTGTGTTGAGGTTAGCTAACAAAGGATTTTGGTGACAGAACTTGAGATATGCATCAACAAGGGCTTTGTATTGGTCTGCCCATGCACATGCAAGCCTGGCTGTATGGTCATGACGGTCACGATCATCAATGCAAATTCTGGACAGTTCTGTCAATGGCAGGTAGTAGAAAAAATGACATGTAATTATGCACCATTGGCATGATAAAACATGGCCCAGCTCCTTGTAAAGCTCCATTTCCCCACCACCATGGCTGACTGCAAAACCTTCCTTGCCAATGGGGGGGGATGATAGTTGAAAAATCTGTATCATTGTTGATCCCGTCGTCGTTGAAGTCAGGAATGAGTGCAGTGACACTGTGTTCAGCCTGAAGAAATTGTTCTCTCTGGTGCAGATTCATCTCTGTAGATATTGGTAGATAGTAGCAATAAAAATGAATAGAGAAAGCTTACTTCGCAGCTGGGCTGCATGTTCTGTGGATGCCGCTAAGGCTCATTTGGCACAGTCCTGGTTGCGGACCACCCTATTTCTCCTCCCTCCGACGGACACTCGTGATGCTTGTGAGATACTGGGTGTGCTGAAGCTGCTTTTCGTCATCAGAAGCAGAGGATCTTGAAGGACGGTGGTGGTTGAAGGCAAGTCTTGATGGTGACTGGTGGCGTGTGACACATGATTATGTTGGGAAGCCGTCAAGGCGCCACGTTGCCTGCCATGTTGCTGATGATATTGCAGTAATAATCAAGAAAATGGCCAAAAAGTAGGAATATAAAGTGTATTATTGAGCTCGTCATGGGTGACAGTGAGCAACAGCACTGAGTGACATGCTATTACCAAATATGGTGCTTGCATCAGCTTTCCTGCGGCTGGGTCACTTGGAATTATATAAGTTACCTTAAATTGCTGGTCTGGACCGCCGGTCCTCACAAATAACGAGTTTTAGCTTAATATAAGGGTGAGTAGATGTCTTATGTACCGCTTTACTATATTAGAAAGGTGGGAGTAATCATCAGCAAACTAGGGGGTACCTGTACAAGGTTGTACAAGACTGTACAAGACTGTACAGACTTCACAGGCACACAAGGAAGTCCCCTCTTTACAGTCTTGTCACAAGGTATCACAAGGTATCACAAGAGTTACAAGAGTTACAAGAGTTACAAGTGTTACAAGTGTTACAAGTGATACAAGCATTACAAGAGTTACAAGCCATAAAAGCCATACAGGTGTTACAATATAGACAAACAGAACACACTGTGCAGATAAGACATATTTTGCAGATGAAACACATCATGCAGGCTGTAGGGCACCATACAAGGAAGCATAAACTGTGGTGATTGTTGTAGATCATAAAACATGAGTAGTACTACTAGTACCAGATCATAAAATGATATTGATGTCCTCCAAATCACTGCCTGCACTTGCATCACCATGAACAAACTCGCCCATCCCAATCGTGGCCCACTGCGCCAGCATATCTTCGAGCTCTTTATGATGTTCGGGAATATTCATCAGCTTGTCCACAGACCTCCGCAACGAGTTGAAATCGCTCCTACATTTATCAGCAGAGAGGTCGGGTAATTTGTCAGTACCAGGTTCGGAAAATCCAGAGAGGACGCCCTTCATCTATTAACTGATTAGCGACAAAAAATAAAAATAAATCATGGCGCACCACAGCGGCAACAAGAATAAACCCATTCTGAGGGATTGTGCAGTGAAATTTGTCCGTGTTCTTCAGTGCCTTCTTGCTACTGCTATAGTAAAATGCCAGGCAACCATCCATGAGAGCTTGTGACACAAAATTTTTCCATTTGCCCTAGAGAAATAAACAGTGAGTGGTCGCATTGCGAGTAGTGATCACATACATTAGACGAGTTGGGAATATGAAGATAATCGCCGGTCTTAAGGAGCTCAGTGGCAGCTGCAATGACATGTTTATGTATGTCCTCCTTGCATGTGACTGTGCCCTTCGGGAAGATGTCGTACACCAATTTCGCGATGGGTATAATCACTTTCTTCAGTTCTGTATGGAATGTATACAAGTCGTTGCAGAGCTGATGATGAATATGAAAAAGTAAGCGCACTGGTCGTCAATTAACAACATACTTACCATTCGGGACATTTGTGCTTTGTACTGCAGGAAATAACCTTGTAAACGATGAGATTCAGGTCTGGTGGCGCAATAAACACTTACTTTATCCATTTTGATCTTCTTCTTGTGAAACCTCCAGAGTTCAGCATCCAAGACTTCTTGTGCAAGTTGTAGAGTGTCTCCGTGTTATGGAATAGGATGTGTTAGGACAGCTTGGAGACACATTTCCACCTTTGCTGCCTGCAAAAATGCTTGCCAGGAAGGTGGATAGAAGCCGAGCTTTGCGGGGTCCTCTTGAGTTGGTTTGATCTTTCGTTCCCTGATGGTCTTGCTGCTGCATGAATCTGGCTCAGGTGTGGTACTAGAAGAGCGACCACGAAGAGTGGGTGATGTTGCGCGATCAGATGGAGAAGTGTCCTTGGGAAAGGACTGCAACGAAGAGTGTCCCTGGGAGGAGGGCTGTATGTGATTTGAGGACTGGGTTGGCTGAGATGGAGAACGCTGAAGAGGAGACTGTATGTGGGAGGAAGAAGCGCACACAGACAGTCAATGTCTGTGTTAATGAGCTGATGGAGAGCATGAACGTGGAGATCTTGTGTGCCGACGTGGAGATCTTGTATGCCTACAAGACCTTGAATGAGTGGAAGAAGTACGTGAGTGATGCGGGGGTGAGTACCTATGCTGCACTCGAGCAGGAGAAGCGCGTCAAGGTGAGGGTCAACCAGGTGACTTCGAGCGGTGGGGACATTGACTATATTTTGTTCTCAAGAGGGAAGCCTGCGAAGGAGCCTTGTGCCATCCATTCTTTGCCTGATGAAGCTCGAGGACATCAACAACATCCTAAAAAAATGTGACTAGGCAAACATTATGAAAAATTTATACACCTTCCTGTGATGTCTGTCGAGCTGCATCATTGGGCTTGTCGTCGATACCTTGATCAAAATCATGCATTCCACCTTCGAGATCGTTGTCAAAACCATCCACTTGGTTCCTTTGCTGACATGTGGATTGATTCTGGTCCCTGCGACAGGAATGAATGAAGGACGATGAAGGTAGAGAAGTAGAACACTTGCATTTGACTGTCTTCATCTTCCCTGGGATTATCATCTGGACCCTGGTTGCCGTTCTCGCTAGCACTGTCGGATTCACCCTGATTGTTGTGTTGCAAGTCAAAATCCCTATCGTGCTCAGGCTGTAAGTCAGAATCCCCATCACGCTCAAAATCCCTGTCTTCTGTGATGTCTTGGTCTGCTACTTGGCGTGCCTTCATATGGGTAGCACCAGTCTTCCGAATACTGGATGTGGGCGGCTTGAACCCAAACCTCGCCAAAGCCTGAGTAGTGTGAAGGGTTGGTTGAGAAGTGCAAGAGGGCTGAGGTCCTGGCCTAACTTGGTTGTTGGCTGTAACGGAATGCTGCTTAGGAAATGACATTAGCTTACAGCAGTTAGAAAAATGAGCAATTACATTTTTCTTCATTTTTCGAAGCTGTGATGGAGCCATAGGATTTTCTTCTGCATCTGAATCGCTCCTTTCAATAGTGGGCTCCACACATCCTTTCCTTGTTGGGGCTGCTAACGTTTCTCCAGTCTTTTTCAGTTGCACTGCATGACCACCAACACCTCGCATGCTTCTCTCGCTTCATTGAGAGGGAGGTGCTGCTGAGGTGGAATATTTGGCCCTCTTCCTTGGAGGCATCGGGCAAGCCGGATATGTATGTAATACTGGATCTAGCGCTTTAGTAGTCATTGATTATATAAGCTACAAAGCGCAACAAAAGATTATGATGAGAGAATGGCTAGAAAAGACAAGGAAAGAAAATAGTACATAAATCCAGTACTGCATACAGTGGCTCAAAAAAGTGTCCCAATGTTTGTAGCTTTTCACGTAATTGCTATATCATGAGTCAAGACGTGGAAATATGACTAAGCTATAGGAAGATGTCGGAAAGGTCTGCTTCTCAGCTTCATTTCGGTTTCCTATACCGTGGGAAAATAATGACATTATGTGAAGATATGAGTATTTTAATTTGATGACTCATTGGGACACTTTTTTGACTTTGAGTTTAACTAATGTAATCTCTATAATTCTAGTACTGTGTGTGACCTCCTTCTGCCCCAATCACTTCTGCCACTCTTCTAGACATATTGTCTATCAATTTTGGGTATTCCTCTTTGGTGATTCCATCATACTCTGCTGTAACACTGTCTCATAGTTGGAATAACCCCTATGGTGAATCTTGATATGCTATAAGTAATTTCTTGAGTGATTCTCAGAGGTATTCAATAGGGTTGATGTCTTAGGTCTATGTTGAACATGATAGAATAGTAATATCATGGTCTGCAGGCTATTGGTGGCTGATTTAGAGGTATACTTAGGGTCATTGTCTTATCACAAAACAGTATCTTCTTCATTAACTTATAACTCCTGCATGCTTCTTAGCAGACATTCCTGTCAAATGAGTATTTACTACTCTGTATTCATCCTCCCCTTTGCTTCATAGAAAATTCCCATTCCATTTTATCTCATATAGTCCTATACCATCAAGTTTTCATCTTGAAACTTAAGGTGTGTATTTAACTTTTCTTTATCTTAATGATTGTCCTATCTATTTTAATACAAATTCCTTGCCATATGATCTCATCCTATTGATTTTAACCATATCTAACTAGATAAACCTCTTTCGGCTATCAGCAGTCTAATATTTGTACTTGAAAGTAGCATCTTGTCTTTTCTTTTTATAGGTTGGAGACAGAAGAATCTGTTTTTCTTGATTATAGCTTTAAGATGGGCTGTCTTGAGAGTCTGTCTGACTATTTGAGTAGAGATAGTCATAGGAATGATGGAAATAATCAATTTAGTCACTTTATTAACATCAGCAGCCTTTTAAATTAGAATATAGTGATTAAGAGATCTTAAGTCTTATAGAGCAACCTTCTAGATTGGCTACCAAATAACTTAAAGACCATAATATTACTATTCTATCATGTTCAACATAGACCCAAGACATCAACCCTATTGAATACCTCTGAGAATCACTCAAGAAATTACTTATAGCATATCAAGATTCACCATAGGGGTTATTCCAACTATGAGACAGTGTTACAGCAGAGTATGATGGAATCACCAAAGAGGAATACCCAAAATTGATAGACAATATGTCTAGAAGAGTGGCAGAAGTGATTGGGGCAGAAGGAGGTCACACACAGTACTAGAATTATAGAGATTACATTAGTTAAACTCAAAGTCAAAAAAGTGTCCCAATGAGTCATCAAATTAAAATACTCATATCTTCACATAATGTCATTATTTTCCCACGGTATAGGAAACCGAAATGAAGCTGAGAAGCAGACCTTTCCGACATCTTCCTATAGCTTAGTCATATTTCCACGTCTTGACTCATGATATAGCAATTACGTGAAAAGCTACAAACATTGGGACACTTTTTTGAGCCACTGTATAGGCGAGGCATGTGTCAATAATCATCAAAAAAACAACATAGCTGAACTTGAAAAACCTAATAGTATCACCTCAAGAACTTGAACCAATGAATGTTGTCTATATGAATGCACCCTACGTTGAGGTTGGCCGTTAATAGATGAATATTTGCGACTTCAACACGATGGCGGTGGAGGTACATAAGCACTATATGGTACTCTAAGATGCAATCGGCCAAGGGACACGGCAGACAAAAATATTCTCAGCGAGACTTCTTGAGATTCTGGGTGGAACGATGCAGTGGAAGTTTTGAAGGTCCTGCCTCAAGAATTGGAGGATGACCTATGGAAGCGGACCCTGCTGAGGGCTTAGTAGTAGGTGCGATTTCAACATAGCTGTTGATAAACAGGGTCAAAATCTCGAGAACCTTCTCGTGAGTGGTCTCTATTCTCTCTGCCTTGTTGGGCTTGTTTGCGAGGCAAACCAGAGTCTGCCATTGTTGGACGAGAGGCCTAAACACAGTGAAGTAATCCGAGGTCATCTTCACCATAAAATTTGGGTCCAGGACGACCCCCACTTTCGCGAAACAGCAGGTGCCCAGAAGCCCTCTGAGATCGGCCTTGCCCAAGGCCTCATAGGGGCTTGCCCAAGGCAGCGAGTCTCGAGTCCAGGATGGTGACAATTCACTGCATGGCCCCCCATACTTTGCAACAAACTCGAAAAATATATAAAACAATGACTCCAGGTCATCAGAGGGCTTGTGTTCAATCAGCTGTTGAACATCATTGCCCGGGGCGACGTCATTGCCTGGTGTAGAAACAAAAATACTGCAAGGAATGAACAAGGCTCCAGACTGTATCTATAAATGTTGTAAGGTCGCGCGTTGCCTAGTCTGCTATGCTTGAGAAGATGAGTGCGTTCGACCCTAAAGGGGAAGCGAGTCCAGTGAGGATCTAGAAGTATGCGCTGAAGTGGAGCGCAAGAAAGTACAGGTGCGCGCAAGGCGTGGGAACATGCGCGCATATTAGCGCGAAGTGCGGGAAAGCGCGCGCAAGTATGCAGAAATGAGAGAGAGTAAGCTTAAGTGATGATATAATGCAAGATAGAGCTGTGAGAGTGCGAGATGTAAAAGAATAGGTTTCAACTATGTTCTGCTAGGTAGTAAGTGGGTAGTTCTCAAGTCAAAAAGTAAGGTAAGGTCAAAAGTTAGTTGGAAAGTAAGTTGTGAAAGGTCCAGTCTGGTGTATGTACTGCTGGCGCTTATATAGCACACCTAAGCGTGGTCATGCGGAGCCAAAGCGCTACCGAGTAGGTATGTAAAGATATATATAAGTAAGGGTCCATGATAAATATAAGGTGGAACAATATGCAAATGAGAGAAATGGAAATATACGCACTAGGGAGCTTGGTGGACAGTGGATGGATGCTTCTGGATGGCTGGCGCTATAGGGTGCTCAAGCGCGGGAATACGCGCGCGTGTATACATCGTGAAGCGTGGGAATGGTGCGCGCATGGCGCGCGTTGCGCGGGAAAGCTGCACCTCATATAGGAATAGCTGTGGATAGCACACAGAGTAGTGCTATGAGTTCATGCCATGTACTCCCTAGTGAAAACTACCATATCACGCAATGAGAGGCATGAGTCTCTACACCAGATCAATGTCGCCCAGGTTGGTGTTGGTGTCCAAGAAGGTCATGTTCATCATGCTCTGGAGAATACAGATGGAGATATATGGCATAGTACCCTGTAACAATAAAATTGACAGCACGCACGGCAAATTTCAGAAAAAAAACTTACAGTACCAGGTGAATAAGTGCTGGTCATATTCACTGCCAAAATTGCAGCATGGTCGAGGTCTATGAAGCAGCCAGTACCTTTATAGATAACAAAATTGTTGGGACTGAGGTCACCATTGAAGGTACAACAATTCAGATGGTGAGTCTGAACAATATGTTGGGTCTTGCAGAACCTAGCTGCTATTCGACCCTAAAGGGTTTCTGGACTAGGCTTAAGGCTCAGAGGAGAGGAAATATCATAGAAAACTACTGAGCACTCAGACTCATACTGGTAACTGGTGAAAAGATTGATTGCTTATGTAAGCTACAAAAGTGCCAACATAAGGTAAGGTAAAAACAGTCTCTATAAGCCCAGCCAGAAATGAATCCCTACGCCGTGTAGGACTCGTCTCTCAATCATTGCACGGTGAGCTAAAACAAATAATCATGAGCGCATTTATGTTCTGCGCATTCGATATGACTCACCGATTACAAATTGACGAAAAGCCCTGATCAGCTCCATTCTAGAGTTGAATTGAGAGAGAGGCTCTCCGCAAGGGCTCAAGAGAAGACGCCAGTGAAATCTATTGCAGAATGAGATGTCGTCTTGTTGATCCTGGTTATATTCCTTGTGAATACGCGCTGTACAATCAGGCTGCCCCTCATAATGGACATCCCAGTCGTCAATAAATTCGACGACATTAGGAGTACCCTTAAGCATCCTCAGGATGGTTGGTTCGTGCATTTTTTTCGACTCCTCCACCCAACAATCTTTTAGAGCATACTCTACTCCTTCCTTGTTTCTAACCTGATAGCAGGTCGTTCCTCTGCAGAAAAATCCATGACTCTTCCACAGCAGAGCCATGATTGAATAGATGTTGTGCTTGTTGTCTTGCACCCAGCCTATCGCCCCATCTGCAAGATTGTCATGGGTGCCATTACACGCAACATGACACATGTGAATAGTGGTGTCATATCCCATATATTCACGCTTCTCTTCCGGACTTCGGACCCTGAGATCCGATCCGGTCCGATGTATAGATCCGCTTCCGATCTGATTTACGATAAGCTTTCTAATTCATTTCCTGTTCATATAACGTTAAACACAGCCTATTCGGTATTTCCTCTTCCCGGTGTTTCGGTTATACTTATTACCGGTATGATTACTGATCCGTTAACCTATGTCTCATTTCCGACTCGCGTTTGATAACCTTTGCACATGCTTCATACATAGCCTCGGACCTTTGCTTACTGATACTTCCGTTATCCTCATAGTATATAAACTCGTGTATATGTCCTGTAGTACCTCAGTTCGAATATCATCTTAGTTTGTCCTCTTTCTGTCCTCCGGACTTGAGTCCTTCTTACTCTTGTCACCCTCTGAGACTTCGGATAGATTCCGATAGTCTATATCCT